CAATGCAGTCGTTTCTTGATCGTTTGCTGGTTGCAGTTTTTCATTTCCTCCCCGCGTTTTCTTGGGTTAAACATTGTTGACTCGACTTCATCTTCACGCGAGTCCTGCGTCCCTACCTTCTCAACACACAGCATAGTGTAGGTTACCGTCTCACAAATCCACATCCGGTAGTCTGGGGTGGGGTGGGGTGGGGTGATAACGTCAGTTGCATTTTCACATGAACTGGACGCTACGCTCCATGATATTTACATTTCCACATGACCGTGATGCTACGCTCTATGACCGTCATTTGCGTTTCTACATGAACTTGATGCTACGCTCTATGATCTTCATTTGCACTTTGATGATCTTCATTTGCACTTCACACTACGCTACTTGAATTTCTGCGTAAAATTTTCATGATCTTGATGTTGATGCTACGTTTCTGTTGATGCTACACAACTCACATCTCTACGCAGCAACAGCAGGGGTCAAGGTACGCAGCGCTATGCGACATGAAGATGCTACGCCACATGAACATGCTACGCAGCATGACGATGCTACGCAACATGAAGATGCTACGCTACATGACGTTTCTGTTAATGTTATATTGTGTATCACTGCGGTTTCACACATGAACTTATGTCAATAGCAGTAGATGTGTACATTGTAAGAAAAACCCTGAAGAACAGGGGGAAAGTCAAGATCCACACGGGTGACGTAGATGGCTTCTGGAAGGTCCTCAAGCAAACCATCCCTGGAAATTTGCCATCGAAAAAGGGCCAGGCGCGCAATCCTCAAATATGGAAATGCATGCGCTCTTTCCAGTGGCGGTGGGAGTGCACAGGGAAAACCTGATGGAAGCCACCGCTGAAGCGTTGAAAAAAATGTGAGAAAAGTTGCGGTTGCCCTTTTTGAGGCTGGAGTGATGGAAGGGTTGTCATTCCAAAAGTAGACGGATTTTTTTTTGATAGGTTTCGAATGCTCATATCTGGCTCCTCGCTGTGAGGGCGTCGTAATTTTGATCATTTTCTCGCGCCGGTAACGCTTCCGGCGGGATGTTTTGGCAGATGTTCTTGCAGACCCCATGTTCAAAGCGGAAGGCATGCTTGTTTGGATGTGCCACAGATGTGAAGCGAGGGTGCATCGAGGTAACAAGCGTGTCCTCAATGGTTTTCGCATGGAAACCTTGCTGCAGATGATAAGGGTTTGCTATGATTATGCAGGTATGACTACCTCAGAGTCACAAAACATGATGGACAATGTGGTGGCGATGACAGACCTCTCAGAGGATGAATAGTCGCCGAGACATGGCTTGTCGATGGACATCAAACAGAATGAGATCCAACAAGCCTATCACGCCTTTCAGGTTGGATTGGACCTGATGAGGTGCATGCGAGAAGCTGAGAGGAGACAAGATGAAAATCCAGATGGAGAGACAAACAATGAGGAAACCAGCAATGAGCAGATGGACCAAAACAGTTCATCAGGGTCAGAAGGCCTTCCAGAACGCCTAGGAGATATCTACATATCTCACTGGAGGAGGCATCTGATCCAGATTTGTGGATGGAAATTCACCATGGAGGTGATGACGAGATGGAAAATGGAACATGAGAGAAGTGAAACCCGCTGTGAGCTAACTTGATCTCACAGGGGCGTTTGAATTTTCTTTTGCAGATGATAGCAGCTGTGAGTTAACGAGCGGCAAAATCAAGAGATGGTGGTTGCAAATCGTTTCCAATCACACGCAGATCAGTTGAGGAACCTAGCTTTTGTGGACTGAGTTTCTGGGAGCCGTGAAGGCAAGACCAATGGAAGCCATGCGCAACTGCGGTGCAAAATGCGTTTGGTGGATGGGAGTGAAGCCGTCACTCCAATCCAAGGAAGAGTGCAAAGCATTCAGGTTTGTACTCATGACTGTCAGCATGGCCATTGCGCAAGGATGACACACACACACACACGTCAGAGACTCAGCTCAGTTGCATTTTCAGTTCATGCATGTCAAAGACATGGATTTCACCTCAGGCCCGTGATTCAATGAAAAGGGGCGCCGTTGCATTTGTAAGAACTCTTGTCCAAATGAAATTATAAAAAAAATACAGGAAATACGTGGACTGTGAACACTTGTAGATGAATTTGATGTATATATATGTGGAGGATGTATGTGATGAAAAGGATGTAGTTAGAAATGTAAGAGATGTAGATTATGTATGTGATGTAGATGAAGTTGATGTACATGATGTAGGTGGTGTAAAGGATGTAGGTGATGTTATGCGGATGAAATTAAAATTGGATTTGGCAGCAGTTCTTTGGGAAAAATCCTTTGCAGGAATTTACGGGAAAAATGACACCAGTTGAGAAGAGTTAAGAAGAATCAATAAGAACCGGGAAGAAGTGAGAAGAACTGACGTGGCCCGAGAAAGACTGGGAAAACCTGAGAAGTATTGAAGAGGAGTGTAGAAAGGTGAGGACGAAATCGGAAAGAATTGAGAAGGTGTGAGGCTTCACTCCAAGTCCTATGGGCGAATTTCTCCTCGCCCCTATAGTATAACATTCCTTGCTGTTGGAAATTTCCGCCACCTGCCTTGTGCGGGCTTTACGGCGTTCTACAGTTGTAAAGGGTCTATGGCGATGATAGATAGACCATATGTTTACGCGGGTTAAACGCATTTGAACATATCCACACCCAGTATTTCGCATGGTACAAAGCATTTGCATGCCTGGCATGTGACGTGAAACCCTTGTCCAAACTTGCATTTGTCATGGCATGCATGCAGAGATGAATGATGGATCAATATTCCAACAACGTTTTGCGATCAAGGAAAGAAACAAGAAACCACTGCAAATTCCAGTTTTTTCGTTTCAGTTGCAACATTGGTGGGGTTTTTGTCCAGTAAATCCGCCCAAACTCGATTTGTTTCGCGGTTTTTGGACAAAGTTGTATTTTTTTTTTGTAAGATAATATGTTTTTTTTGCAGGTCAGCACATATTACATATCTGATTTTTTTGGTTCGAAACACTTATATAACAAAAATCATTGCACTCGTGACCGCATATTTTTCCCATTATCAGTTGCCACAACAATGTCAGAATCAGCAATTGAACAAATCAGTGGCCAAATGATGAATTTCGTGTGAAGAACCAATTTCGAACAGCAGCGTCTACAAACATGTGCACGCGGTGGTTATTCAGCATCCATTCGCCCTTTAAAACGCGCTGACAGCTGCATACAAATCAATAAGACTCAATAAATTTGCAATGTTTTGTAACTCCATGTGTCGACACATCAAGAATTTGTGCGCCTTTTTCTTCCATGATGCCCCATCCAGGGTGCCGGCATTACAGGCCAAAAATGGCCAAAGTCAGCCAAACGAAATTCCGCATGACAATGTCAAACTGTGAAAAACATGTAAAAACTGTGCAGGAGACTATGTCAGATCGTTTCTCCGCGCCAAGCTTACCCATTTTGAATCATTTTGACATTTGAAATATGTTGAATTATGTTGAATTATGTTGAATTATGTTGAATTATGTTGAATCACTTGAATGCTGGGCAAATGGGTCATTGGACGTTGATTTGCGATCTTGAGGTGTTGTGGAGAGGTGCGGCGGACAGTCTTTTTGAACACTTCGATTACGATTCATGCTTTGCACTGACATTTTGGGGTCACAGCCGGCTAAATTTGCACCGCCATTTTAACATATTTTAACCATTTACGATACTTCCGGTTTGGTGCCACAATTCCAACAAAATTGTTAACAACCGTGCGTTAGAGGTCTATTGGTGTCGCCATTGCCACAATGAGGTGCGCACCATGACAAATCTGCAGAACTGTAGACAGTCCGTAGATTGTGATCTTTAGACTGTTCCAAACTGTACGTAACCATTGCGAATGCTTGTTGTGATATATTGTGATCGAGTGTGCATTTTGGCTGCAACGACGTGAAATGGTTAAGGATGGTTAAGGAAGGTTCTTGGAGTAACAGATCGTGTTGCCTCGGAATGAAAGAAATGACTTGGGTTGACGAAATCGTTTCACCATGTTTCACCAGGCTGCCAGCAACAGCCGTCGACCTCACGAGATCATCAGAGCGGAGATTGCCGAGGAGAGACTTCTGACGTCCCATTGGGCCACCAAAATTTGAAATTCAGAAAATCGCACAACTGCAGATGATGCAAACTAAACACAAAAATGAAAATTGATGAAATATACGTATGTAATTATATAATATGATGAATCAATATTTAAGATGATCAAATTATGATCAAATTGAAACCAGTGGATGTGATTCAATCTACGATTCATGGGCAGTTGGGACCGCATTTCTCCCCGTTGCCAGGTGATTTGCTTCATCTGTGAACACAAGCAAAAACCTGCGCAGAAGTCGACTTAGCAAACTCAGTAGATTTCCAATGTGCACCATGTATTGGTTAATTTTCATTTAATTTTCTAGTTTTGGTTACAGAGACATCAAATGATGTTTTTCGACGAAACATGTGCAAGTTATTGGCAACTTATGGCAATTTATTGTATGATTTCTTGAGCACAGCATGTTCTGAGGAATTGCGAAGCTTGTGGCCAGTGACCAAGAGCTTTGGTCCCACACATGTTCCATCATGTTCCCTTCCTTCACTGGATGTATGGATATGAAACGGATATGAAATGGATATGAAATGGATATGAGTGGTATTGGTATCTATTGAATCTATTGGTAGCCTGGCATTTCCATGCGGCAAGGCTCTCAATTTGCTGAGTATTTCTGCCCAAAGTGCAACTTTTGGGATGATGTCAGAGACCAAGATCAAGTCGTCACTTGAAACGTATGAGAGCGGCCTTGAAACGAATGAGAGCGGCCTTGTTGAAATGTTGAGACAACATATTACCATGTGTTCGCGTATTTTGTACTACATATGTTACATTGTATGTTACTATGTTGATCTAGGTTGATCTAGGTTGATCTAGGTTGATCTAGGTTGATCTAGGTTGAATGAGAGTTTGAAACACGAAACGGACACCGAGGATGGTCTCAGGAAGCAGGTCTTCCATTGTGACAAGGCTGGGCCGCTGGGCGGCGCAGGCAGTGCAGAGTGCGGCGAGTCGCAGTCACTAGTTGAGCTGGGATATAACATGATATAACATGATATAACATGATATAACATGATATAACACAGCCGTGTGTGAACGTGCGAATGTTTCTGAACATCACAGCTTTCCGATTTTTTAAGAAATCGTTTTTGGCACACCATCTGCGACGTGCAGCGCCATGCATCGACCTGCCAGTGCGGCATTTGTCGAGTGGGAGGTCGAGACAATTATTGCCATGCACTCAGAGCACTCAGATTTTAGACTGCTTGATCTACTTGGGATATACTCGATGTATGTTTGTTTTCTTTTTTTCCCCTTTTTTGTGGTTCCTTTTTTGTTTTCAGTCTGAAGATAGGGAAACAACATGGAAAAAATGGAACGAAGTTGTTGCGAACGGAAACTGCCATACGACAGCCACCAAAATGCCGAGTTCACTGCGACGCGTGTGGCAGCTGCCAGACCCTGAGATGGTCGCAGTACCTGCAGTCACTGTGGGTAAGATCCATTTTGCACTTTGTGTATCTTTGTGTCATGGGAATCTCAATTACCCATTATAGTCAGTATGGTATTCCATGGTATTACAATTGTGATAAGTACCATCTACTACAGTACTAAAAGCCATCATATTTCGAGGATTACTACTGGTGAGTATTACAGATGATCCTGCGAAATTACCTAAGGATACCTAAGGCTTCTTACTGTCACTGGAGTATTACTGTCACTGGTAGATGAGAAAAACCGACCATTGCGGGACGATCGGTAGAACCAGCATCGGACTATCGTTGCCGGTAATGGCTGGCTGGTTGATCATGGATGATCATGGTACAAGTATTTCTTACCAAGAAATAATCAGATAATCCGTTAATGACTTAGCAGTGCTATCTAACTTGTGGAAAAAAACATCGTTGAACCGACTAGTTCACTTCCCACCATCCCCAGGTTTTGCACCAGTAGTTTCTGCCCAGTTACCAGCCATCAGTCACTCTACAACCACCAGTGGCATCTTAAGTGGTTACCAGCCAGCCAGTACAGCTTATATATAGCTATTGGCTATATTGATTATATTGGCTATTGGTTTACACAACCAGCCACCAACATTTGGCTCACAAACAGTAGCATCCACCAACTGCTAAACAACACTGCTACGAAATGCTTGTATATGCAGTGCTGTGTGGAAAAAGTGAACTAAGTGTAGTGCTTCAGAGTGGTTGTCAAGGCTGTTTTTCATATTTTTTCAGCTTCGGACACTGATCTGTCGGATTTTGATGGATGACACCGAGATTGGCTGAGGCTACCCAGCGGAGATCAAAGACTCGCACCGCTGCGTGGAGAACGCCATGCGCCGCAACTGCCCCGTCTGCCTGCAGGCGTCGCGGCGTCGACGTGGACGGACGTGGACGGTGAGAAACTCACCGGGAAACTCGGTGTTACCCGGTGATCATCTCTTGTAGAGTTTCTGTTCACTTTGTGTTCACTTTCTGTTCACTTTGTGTTCACTTTGTGTTTTTTTTGAAGTGGTCAGTGGTCACACTTCTTGTTCTACACGCTGTTCATCGCTGTTCTATAGGATCCAACATGAAAAACCAGCAAAACCGCGTGGAAGTGAGTTGTGGCTGTCGATGTATCACTGTGAGACACCGAGAGTCTTCTGTCGGAGGATCTCTTCCAGTCTGTGACCCAAGTCACCATACTTCAGTGCGGACACACCATTCACCAGGACCCAGTGACCCAGTCGTGGTAGTCGAGTCAAAACATGTCAACACCATGTACCATAGAGTCATAGAGAATCCATAGAGAATCCATAGAGAATCCATCCGGAAAACGTAGAGCAGTGTAAAATAGTGTGAATGTCAAACAAATTTCAAATTTAAAACATGTTCCATTAATTCCAACAAATTTCAAAGCGTAAAAAAAGATTCTCGGTGCAGACTCCGAAGGACTGCCTCCGAAAGCTTCAGCAGTCCTTCGCAGGTCGAGTCGAAGCACGTTGTGGATGTGACATGTGCAAAACCTGCATCGATGCCGGACGTCGTCAAAAACCTGCGCCAAACGTGGTACGCAAAACGTGGTGCGTCCGTGTGATGTCACATGGATTCACATTGATTCACAGCTTTGGAAACCTGAACCAGGTTGACGAGTTGCAGGTGTTTTTTTTGTTTTTTTTTTTCAAACAATTTTCTCAGAGAGTTCCCAGAGATTTTCACCGTCAAGGGCTCCAATCCTTGCGGTGCCCCATGTGCAGCGCCACAGCCTGAGAGCAGATCAGATGAACCCCTGTGCTGAGTCTTTTTGAATCTCCAGATTTCTTGGGCTATTTTAATATATATACATATTAATATATATATATAGGCTATATGTGTTGTTTTTTAATGGTTTGGACATGTTCCAAAATATGTTCAAATGACGATGTTGGAACTTTTCACCGACAGAAATGCTGGGAATCTGCAGAATCCCATGATCTCAGCTTGGTGAAGCCCAGCGAAGCGGATGGATTTTTTGAATTGGATATACAATTGGAATTCGCATGACAATTGGATATACAAGTGGATATACACGGCAATTCCATTTGGATCCCATATTTTTCTGGCAGGTTTCATTTTTTGGCTACGATGATCTTTGGCACGAGATGGACCGACAAATCGAAGAGACTCCGATGCCCTTGGAGTGCAGGCTGGAGTATGTAGGAGCGATTCAATTGTGAAACTCTTGTGACACATTTGTGACACATTTGTGACACATTTGTGATGAATTCAGGATGGCAAAATCCGAGTTGTCAGAGTGTGATTCTCCAGAAATTCTCCAGAAATTTCTAGACGTGTCTAGAATGAATCTCTCAGAGAGCCAGGCACCAGACTGGGATCATTTGCCATCAGCTGAGTTGGTGTTCTCCGCCATCCCCTCCAGATCCTCCAGCTCCGGTTCTCCGTGGTTCATGGATTTCTCCGATCTCGGCCCAAGGTAACGACTGCAAGCAGACTTCCTCGGTGGAATTTCACATCCTGGGGCAAAAGTGTCCAACTTGCAGGCACGGAAGAACTTCAGAATTGGCAGGTCGAAATAGATCCAAAAAAATTGAATGAGTAATGATAGTAATGAGTATCAAAGAGTGTTTGAATGTCTTTGATACATCAATACAAATCACATCAAAATCATCAAATAGCGCAGCGCAGAGCCCAGCTTCTGCTTTTCACTTGCTTTTCACTTCACTTTCACTTCACTTTCAGGTCTTACAACACCAGGCGAGTCTGACTCACTTCAAATCGTTTTGGTCGTGTCGGTGACCGTCGGTGACAATTTCGGTCTCGTTTCACCTCGTTGCAGCCACTGACACGCCATAAGGACGCGACTTCAAGTTGTCATAAGTTCAGTCATAAGTTTGGTCATTTGTGATATATGTGGACCATATGTGGACCATATGTGGACCATATGTGGACCATACCAAGCTACAAGTGTCACTTGTGTTGGTGGCTTTGGACATCTTTAAGAATTACACGAATTACATACATGACAAACGCATAAATACGCATTGTCTGAATTTCAGAGTGCATTTGAGAGGACAAAGCGAGCGGCGTTGAAAAGGATGTTATTGGACACGATGTTGCTGTTCTGTGTAAGCACTGCTCTGCAGAAGTTTGAACACCCAAAGTGTGTGACAAGGACAGCACAGGAAAGCCTATTCAACTTCGTTGAATAAGACTCATCATGAGAAAACAAGCATGCTTCAGATTCACGGCGTGTGGGACTAGAAATTCCCACTTAAGTTCCATTCTTGACACAAGCTTCAAGTCTAGAAACACCTTTAGTCACCTCTGGATTGAGTCAGACTGTGACGCATTGACATGTTCGGCTGTGCCGGTTATCTTGGTGATCTTCACTCCAATGAAGCACGCCCAAGCTGAAAAGTTGATGCTTACATATGCTTGCAGATCGTAGCTGTGGGCTGCTAGAGACAAACTGAATACGACATCAGCAGAGCCGATAGAGGCCGTGGACGTTGGACAGCAAGCTCGTCTGACAAGAAGTGCGTGTGAAGGAATTTACTCCAAGGAACGCAGACATCAGAAAACCAACATAGAAAACCAACATAGAAAACCAACATCAGAAAACCAGAAAGGTAAACCACATGGATTTGCTGGAGCCACGGAGCTACAATCACAGCAGTGCCCCGGGTGCTTCGACGCGTGCGCCGGGTCAGACATGCCGCCGCCGCCGCCGCCTGCTCCGGCCACAGCGGCCACAGCGGCCACAGCGGCCACGTCGCCCAGCCGCGCGTCCCAGCGCCGTGCCGCGCCAGCGTCGACCAGGCAGGGCCTTGAAGAAGTTTCATCTCCGATCTGCAGATTCCGCCAGGATTCTGACACAAATTTCTTGGATGTTTTGTACACCAAAGTTTAAAAAAAAATCGGGCACTTCCTTGCTCTGAAAACCACTACAACTAGGTTCACTGATAGGGAGAACATTCAACCGGTGCAGAAGTTTGGACATTTTCAACCAGTGGACTTCCTGGAATCCAGTGCAACCCTGCAACCCAGGGAACCCGGTACTGAGGTTGGTAGCAAGTGGCCGTGCATCCCTTGCACGAGGCTGGAGTTTGGAAAACTTTTGCAATCTTCTTACGTCTTCTTACCTTTTTCCCACCTTTTGTCACATCTTGCCCGATTCATCCCAAATTCAAAATCAACAAGATATTACGAGATATATCGAGATATCCGAATTCTTGTTGGATGGCAGAATTCCATAGAATTCCAGGATGCCCTGCGAAAATCTCTGCCATCCTATCATTTCGACCAAAATCAGCCCTTGCGCGTGCCCTTCTCCAGGGGCTGCGGAATCCAGGAGCCCCGTGAAGCTGTGGAATTTCATGAGTGTCTTGGAAAAGGTTGAAGAACATCTGATAAGAAAATATAAGAAATATAGAAATATAAGAATGCTGGAAAACAACGAAATGGACATTGTCTATCATTGTCTTCTACTTTTTGCGTGCTGAATTTCGTGCACTGGGTGGATCACTTTCTGATTTTCAATTTGAAGGACAGATGCTGAGAGGTCGGGGCGTTGCGTGATTCGGGTGTTGAAAATCTGACAACGACGAAGTGTGTTCGAAACTGCTCCAGGCTTGGCGATCGAGGAGCTCCAAATTCTTCATATTCAAATCTGTCCGTTTTTTTTTGTTTCTTCAACTTGTCTGAACATCTGAATATTTTGATATTTTTTGATATTTTTTAATGTCATTCATGTCATTCATGTCTTTATTTTGAAGCTTTTGCAGAGGACGAAAGCGCGAAGATCGCGGCGTCCGCGAAGCCTCGACTGCGACGCCGAGTTCAGGTTTCGGGGTGCCGAGTTCCCCGGCTGGAGAATTCTGGGAGGAGAGATGGGATTTTTAGTTTGGGAGATATATGGGTTTTATACGTTTTATATGGGTTTTTATATGGTAATTCTGGGAGATATACATGGAGCACATACACATCATGTGCACATATGCTGTGCACATATGCTCACACATATGTATATATTTGATCATATTTGTCCATTGTACAATAATGATCAATAATGTATTACAATTACAATATACAAATACCTCACGTTACATTGTTACATCTGTCCATGCATCCATCATCAGCCATCTATACAGATACTGACATACAGACATACAGATACCTATGACATACATGACACAACATAACACAAGATAACACAACAGCACACAACATACAATCAACACTATGTCAGAGTAAAGCAGCACATCACATCAGATCACACCACACACCACACAGATACATGGATACATCGGGATTTCATGAACTAAAAGCTGTAACTATCAATAAAATGGAGGTATATACGGTATAACCAACAAAATTTGGGATTTGAAGCAACCAACAGGTATGCAGTGGGGGATTTGGCCACAGGTGGGGAGCTGGGCTTGATGTAGTAGATCCACATCACTTTGATTTGTGGACCGTTTGATCATGTTTTGAAATGTGGCTTAGCGGCTTAGCCAACTCCCTCGCTCTGTCTCTCTTGACCTGTCTTTGAGGTCTCAACCGATCAGCCAGAATCTCGGAGAGCCTGAAATAGCTCAGTCACTGATTCTCCTCGACTTGAGTTGGTTTCACAGAATCAATGTGATTCTCAATTGGTTTTCTTTCAACCTTTCTTTTTCTATTTTTTTCTTGTAAACTACGTATAACACATATTAAAATATATTAACAGATAACACAACATTTTCGTAAAATTGCTCCATTTCCGGCATTTCCGGCATTTCCGGTTGCGAGGCCCGAGGGCCCTGTGGCCCTGGTGGACCTGGTGGACCTGGTGGACCTTGTGGACCTTGTGGCTGTGCACCGCTTTCGGCACAGCTGTCCCACCGCTCCCGTGCCGCGGCTGCACCGGCCGCACCTGCGGTGCGCCGTGTGGACCGCACCATGACCGCCGACACGTCCACCACGGACACCCAAAACGACGAAGACTTTGCCCTGGCGCTGCTGGAGCAGGACAGATCGCTGACAGATCGCTGACAGATCGCTGAGCGCCACGACATGCATCATGCATCGCCCCGCATGCATCGCCATTTTGACGCTTTCCCAGTCTTTTTCCATTGCAGTCTGCCTGCCGAGCGATTGAGTTAAATTCTTTGAGCTTTTCCTGATCGATTTGTGTGTTTCGTTTGGGTTGTTGCCCTCGTGCCCACTGTGTCAAGGACCTTCAAGAGGCATGGAATACTGAAGCTTTGGATCACACAATGCTGCGTGATATCGCACCATGGGTTGGTATCCAGAAGTTTCAACTTCATATGCTCTTGAAAATCCTTGAAATATCTTGAAATACATTTTTGGATATTTTCTGCATCTAAATAACACTCAGACTGGCTTGCTGGGTGGATGCTGAATTGCATCGAATAGCTGTTCCCGGAAGGCTGAGGCAGGGGCCCGGGAACGCGAAGCTCGCGCACGGTCGAATGCCGAGATTGATCTCAACACATTTGGTACAGTCATGTACAGTCGATCTATGCTTTGGCATCGTCTTCGGGATACGTCCACAGTACATGGACTGTGGGGTTCAGTGCCGGTCCACGATTGCACTGCCAAGGCGTCGTGCCAATCGCAGGTCCTTGGAAGAGGACTGTGAACTCTGAAGGAACATGAAACATGAAGAAACACAGGCATTTTCTGGGATTTTCCATATTTTCCAGCAGTTTTCCTCCAGAAGTTGTCGAAATAGCAACTTGGTCAGAAAGTACAACATGATCAACATGATCAACATGAGCCAACAGCTGTTGAACCGCCGAAAAAGCGAGGATGAACTTTTGGCCATGATGCTCGCGATCACTCAGGTGGGGCTCGTCCCGTTGACGACATGTGTTGACAACCTGACAACCTGTTGACATCTGTTGGCTGTTGAGATGTTGATCTGTTTTGCCAGGAATAAACGATAATGAAATATAATAAACGCATATTTCATCATTATCAACAGACGATGTCGACAGGTGATCTCAGATGATCTCAGATGATCTCAGATCTCCAGTTCATTCAGGTTGTAAAAGAGGTTGTTTTACCATGTTTTACCACTTCTTTTTCCATCTTTTTCCATCTTTTTCCATCTTTCGTTGTGACAAACCATGTCCCACCATGGGTTGTGAGGTGCAGGCCGATGAGCAGCAGCTGCAGGCACCCTGTGGCCGCGACTTCGTCGACTTCGGATTACCGATGTCATGATCTGTCAGGAATTATCAGCATCTATCACTATTTCTTAAAGATCACACCTATTGATATTGTATATTTTTTGTATTTTTTTGTGAAATAGTACTATTGGAGCATGGATATTGAAAACAACATCATTTGAATCATCATCTATTTTGGATATTCCAGTTGATGATCATGGATTATCGACAATTACTCATGATTACTGTGGACAAGAAACTACACAAAAGATACTGTACTAGATGATATTCGATGTTTTGATTGTTTTGGTCGTCGTTTTGGCACGATTCTATTTTGGTATTACATACATTTGTTGTGAACCATGACGTGTGCAGGAAGCTTTAGATGTGAGCCAGAGACCCCATGAGGCCCGACCGAAACAGATGGGTCAACCCGGTTCCAGGATGACTTGATGCTTCAACGGTCCAATGGTCTCGTTCCCGGTGTCCCCGGTGTCCCCGGTGTCCCCGGTGTCCCCGGTGTCCCCGGTGTCCGGCCTTGTTTTTCTCGAAATGTGTGACAGTGTGGTGCCGTGCCAGGTCGGTTTCGGTCTGCCTGACATTGCTTGACGTTGCCTCGTCAGGTCACCGATTCGCAGTTGGAGCAGATTCAGCAACGTGGCGAAAAGAAATGTGAATCGGATCTGAGACAACTGATCAACTGATTCGACTGCGGGAAACCTTTCAGGTTGCTGCAGCTGTAGCTGTAGCTTTTGAAAATACCACGGGACACAGAAACACCATGAAAATCCATGAAACACAAACACCAGAGGCGCAGGCCATGAACGCTACAAAGGCTACGAAGGCTACCCGTGATGCGTCGGCATGACCTGAGGCGCAAGTCTCTGCTGGAATCCATTCGCGCCCAACTGCCGGTGACGCGTTGGGCCAAGGCCCGTCAAAGTGCTTCAAACGAGCGCAGGAACTCCGACAAAAAGTCATAAGAAATCATCATAAATCATCATATCATATGAATCATATATCTTAAGAATTCTTAAGATATGTTGATGCATGTTGATGCTATACTTAACGCTTCATTTCCGCATGGACTTATTTGGATCTTTGATATCTGCGTTTTTGCAGTTTTTGCAGTTTTTGCCCAGGATTCGCAGGGGGAATGTGCTCTGTGTCTTGACGAGTACTCCGCTGGCGACTGCGTGACGAGGTTGACGTGCTTCCACGCCACTGGGCTCCAGTGGGCTCCAGTGGGCTCCAGAAAAATGCCTTTGATCTCCTCTGCCGAACGATGTGGAACCAGAATGAGAACTTCGTAGGGATTTTTGTCAGTATTTCTTGTGATTTCTAAAGAGGAGAACAGATATATCAGATATGTCTTCAAGTCTCTGAGGCTTTGATTTTTTTGCTTGGTGATGTTGGTGATGTTGGTGATGTTGGTGATGTTGGTGTAATGTTTCCTTTGCTGCTACCGTTGTCGCTACCAGTGCTACCGTTGTTTCTTTCATCGCGGGTCCCGAGGCCTTCCACAAGTCGTGCCTGGATCCTTGGCTCGACAAGAGCCCCACTTGCAGCCTGGTCGGCACTAGATCCAGGACATATCCATATTAGATTATTATATAGATGATATCCATGTTTAGGTATATATTTAAATATAATAATATATATATATAGATATATTTAGATATCATTGATATCCATATTGGATAACCATATTGGATATCCATGTCATGCGCATTATGCAGGTGTTTTCATTGCAGTTTACAGAGGTTGTTCCAAGTGTTTTGAGTGTTTTGTTGCAGGTTGCACTTACTGAGGTCCATCATGCAAGTTCGATCTGCTGTCTGAGATTCACGGAATGTAGCAACAAGATGCAACAAGTAGAGAAACAGACACTTTGCGCCTGGCTGTGCAGTTCCAGGGTGGGGCTTCTCAAAGCAGAGAGCGTCATCGATGCAAAGTTGTGACTGAGAGACGTGTGGAAAAAATTAAAGTCCATCAATCAGGCTGCAGGCTCTTCTACTAAGGAAAAGTCAGATCGCTTGTGTTTTTTTGCAACATCAGAAACCGTTTCAAGTGGAAGCAAAAAATATGCAGAATCTCATGGAGCCACGAACAAGGTATGGGGGTTGGATGCCCAGGGGCAGAGTACCGACAGAGTAGCGACATCACTGGTGCAGCTAGGTGCAGCTAGTGCAGTGTTTTGAAGCTGTGTGGCTCAACACCTTCCTGGGTGAGCTGGATCAGGCTGCAGCCTGCTCTCAGGACAGAAAAAAGTTGAGGTTCTAGATATGTTCTAGATATGTTCTTCGGTTTATCTAAGTTCTAGACATGTTCTGGATGTGTTCTAGTTGTTCTCAGCTGGAGGATCTCTGAGGTTCTTGAAGTTTTGTTAATTGACGTCAAGCTATCTGAAACTATCTGAAGCTAAGAAGACCCTGGGGAACACACCTCCTTGGCCCTGGGCTTGCGTTTGTTTTTTGTGTGTTTTCTGTGGGTCTGTGGTTCCTTTCACGGATCTGAAGGTAGTTCCTTTCGAAGGATCTGAAGGATCCATTGTATCTGCTTTTGTTGCACCAGATTGTGAGACAACCCAGAAACTCCCAGAAACATTGCATTTTCCTATCATTTTCCTATCATTTTCCTATGATTTTAAGGAAGATCATTGCATTCGCCCTTCCTTCGCTCCCGACTCTTCCAGGAGATGAAGGAGACCTCTACCTATTTGAAGGCCTAGCGGCCTAGCACACCAAATTCTAATTCTAGTGCCTTCCTATTTGCCCCGAAGTGGAACTAGTGGAACTAGTGGAACTAGTGGAACTAGTGGAACTCCATGGAACTCCCAAAAAAACGTTGATCCTTTGTGGATCTTTATGGCAATTGGATGCCTCGGTGTCTCCATGTGTCTCCGATGTGTCTCCGATGTGTCTCCGATGTCTCGGTGTGTCGCTTCTCAGAACCGGGCCAGCGTCCTTTTCGGACGTCCCAGTTTTCATGGACGACACCCACAAGCAGGCTGGATTCATCTGGATTCCGAGATGTGTTAGTGACTGTTAGTGTTGAACAACTGGGACTTCAAGAGTTGAGGGCTCAATCTTCTTGTTTCATTTGTTAGTTGTTTTTGACTCTTGATTCTCTCGATTCTCTTGATTCTTGAGCTGCTTCAGTAGAGGTCTAGTAAGAGTCGACTGGAGTCACATGACAGCCGGATGGACAGCCGGATGGACAGCCGGATGCCGCTGTGTTTCGCTGACACGCCACACGCCAGCTGCGACTTCGGAAGCTTCGTGCTTCGATGCGTGCGCCCGGTCAACCTGTTGCCAGATGCCATGGGATGCCATGGAATGCCATGGGAAATCCCGAAATCAAAAAACATGGTGCCCAAAAAAGATGGAACCCCAACATCCCCAACATCCCGAATTCATGCAGCGGCACATTGCGGCACATTGCACAATGGTCTCTCCAAGAAAGTTTCAATAGTTTAGAGTCAAAGCACGCAAAGCACGGAAAGCACGGCATTTTTGTCCAACCTACCTGCGCCAGTTGCTTCAAGATGGTCCTGGGCTATCCGAGCGTGAGCAACAAGACGACGGTCAGCACGTATTACCCAGAGAAAAAGGCAGCTGAAGAAACGGCAGGGACTGGGCAAACTGAAATTGTCAGTGTCCTAATGTGTCCTATTGAATTATATTGAATTATTGAACAGGCAACTTTAACAAGTTGCTGGTGCTTTTCATTCGAGCATGTTGGGGGGTAGTTTCATGTATTTTCTTTGCGTTGTATTTTTTTGGAAGTACCCTTAAAATACTGAAGACACTTGAAAGAATGGGATGACTGATGAAGCACGCAGAAATGTCATGACATCGGAGAAATCGAAACGTGGTGACAACTGCAATTACCTAGTGAAAACGTAGTGACGACGTGGTGAGAACGTAGTGAGAACGCAATGATAACATATGATAACGTATCACAGTGCGTATATAGTGGATCTATGTGGATCTAATGATACATATGATAACGTGGTTATCAATTGGTTATCACGTATAAGTATTGTATAAGTCGTATCCTATCGTATGGTGCAGTGCGACTCGTGTGTAGAACTTGCAGGCCTTGGGTCCTTTGCCTCCACCGCGGCAATGGGTGCGCAACGGAGAACATCGGAGAACACATAAGAAATAGCTTGAAATAGCATTTGAAATAGCATGAAATAACAATTGAAAATACAATGTAAATACAGTGCTAATACATTGTAAATACTAATGGAATACTAATGGACAAATGGATACGAATGGTCCTATTCAGATTGCTGAGAGCAAATGGAGCTGGAGAGACAGGAGCGACTGAGCAAATTGCAGCTTGATATCGCGATTTTCGGTCGGTTTTTGTCGCAGGCCGAGCTGGCACCAGAGAAGAAGGGTGGGATCCAAGTAGAGGCGCTGGTGAAAGATATCATAAGGGATCAGCATCAGAACTGACACAGAAAACACAGAACTGACACAGAACTGACACAGAACTGACACAGAACTGACACAGAACTGACACAGAACTGACACAGAACTGACACAGAACTGACACGAACTGACACAGAACTGACACAGAACTGACACAGAACTGACACAGAACTGACACGGAACTGACACAGAACTGACACAGAACTGACACAGAACTGACACAGAACTGACACAGAACTGACACAGAACTGACACAGAACTGACACAGAACTGACACGGAACTGACACAGAACTGACACAGAACTGACACAGAACTGACACTGACACAGAACTGACACGGAACTGACACAGAACTGACACTGACACAGAACTGACACAGAACTGACACAGAACTGACACAGAACTGACACGGAACTGACACGGAACTGACACAGAACTGACACAGAACTGACACAGAACTGACACAGAACTGACACGGAACTGACACAGAACTGACACAGAACTGACACAGAACTGACACAGAACTGACACAGAACTGACACGGAACTGACACAGAACTGACACAGAACTGACACGGAACTGACACAGAACTGACACAGAACTGACACAGAACTGACACAGAACTGACACAGAACTGACACGGAACTGACACAGAACTGACACAGAACTGACACAGAACTGACACAGAACTGACACAGAACTGACACAGAACTGACACAGAACTGACACGGAACTGACACAGAACTGACACAGAACTGACACAGAACTGACACGGAACTGACACAGAACTGACACGGAACTGACACAGAACTGACACAGAACTGACACAGAACTGACACAGAACTGACACAGAACTGACACGGAACTGACACGGAACTGACACAGAACTGACACAGAACTGACACAGAACTGACACAGAACTGACACAGAACTGACACAGAACTGACACAGAACTGACACGGAACTGACACAGAACTGACACAGAACTGACACAGAACTGACACAGAACTGACACAGAACTGACACAGAACTGACACAGAACTGACACGGAACTGACACAGAACTGACACGGAACTGACACAGAACTGACACAGAACTGACACGGAACTGACACAGAACTGACACAGAACTGACACGGAACTGACACAGAACTGACACAGAACTGACACGGAACTGACACGGAACTGACACGGAACTGACACGGAACTGACACGGAACTGACACGGAACTGACACAGAACTGACACGGAACTGACACGGAACTGACACAGAACTGACACGGAACTGACACGGAACTGACACGGAACTGACACGGAACTGACACAGAACTGACACAGAACTGACACAGAACTGACACAGAACTGACACAGAACTGACACAGAACTGACACAGAACTGACACGGAACTGACACAGAACTGACACAGAACTGACACAGAACTGACACGGAACTGACACAGAACTGACACAGAACTGACACAGAACTGACACAGAACTGACACAGAACTGACACGGAACTGACACAGAACTGACACAGAACTGACACAGAACTGACACAGAACTGACACAGAACTGACACAGAACTGACACAGAACTGACACGGAACTGACACAGAACTGACACGGAACTGACACAGAACTGACACAGAACTGACACGGAACTGACACAGAACTGACACAGAAATCAGGGATTGAACGGTTCTTTGGGGTCACCGGTGTTTCCGGGCCAGCTGACGACGCAAGACGACGCAAAACGACGCCGATGACGACGCCGACGCCAGGTGGCGTCGCATGCGAAGGAGACGCCCAAGGGATGGATCAATCAGGCGGGGCCCGATGGGTCGATGGGTCGATGGGTCGATGGGAGAAGAATGACCCACATCACTTGGGACGTCACTCCAATGGATGGAAAATGATGGACTGTACAATGAATGTAAGGAATGGATGGGAGGAACTGTGCACTGCACTGTGCTACCACATGCACGGTTTTGTATCACAGAAACTGAGGACTCGGCCATGGCTGTGCTACCAGCTGGTTGCTCTGTGACTTGGCACTGATTGCATTTTGCGTGGGAATTGCTGTTTGGGAAACCTGGAACTGTAAACGTTTCATCCAGAATTTCATCTGAATTTCATCCATGGAATATCGAGGTGGACACGGGTATGCAGGAATACTCACGATAGGAACGGACTTCCTCCGTCAGTCCTTTCAGACTCTTTCAGACTCTTGCAGCTTTGCATGCCTTGTCTTTGTTGTTTGGGGCAGATGTATTGGCAGATTTCTGACAGTCATCTCTTTTTCTTCACATTGGCTTTCAGAATAGCATTTGTGATCATTTGCTTCTCTACATCTCAAAGGGAATTAGCCGATCATCGTCAACATATGTCAACATCAATCAATGAATAACACACACACAAATCTTGTTGTCAACACTTTGTTTTTTTTGTAAATCCGTCTTGTTCTTGACTAACCGTGACTAGCCGTTGTTGAATTTTGTTGACATCGACATTTTCCATCTTTTTTCAATCTTTTTTCACATTTTTTCACCTCCGAAAAATTGGTCGGAAAACGATGTAACGAGGAGAACGGCGACGGGGCGCTCTTTTTGTTCGGCGTCTTCGACGGGCACGGCCGCCTGGGCCACGACGCCTCGGTGCTCGCGGCCACGCGGATGCCCGGGACGCCCAGCGGAGCCGAGAGCCGGAGCCGAGAGCCGCATGGCGAAGTGAAACAGAACGTCAGAACGTGAAACATCGTGAAGCGTGACACAGAACAGAACGTGAAAGATGTTCACATATGTTCACAATCAACACTATCAACACATACAACTTCACAACAGAAATCTGTGACTGAAAGTGAAACATTTTCAAACTTCACTGCCTGCGCAAGATGTTTTAAGATGTTTTCCCAAGGTTCGAGACATTCGCATTTTCCGTGTGTCATGATATTCATAACCCCCAAAGCGGTGATGTGCGGTGATGTTTGATGATGTTTGATGATGTTTCTGATGGTTTCCAGGTGTTTCCAGGTGTTTCCAGGTGTTTCCAGGTGTTTCCAGCTCCAATCCATCAGAAACATGGCCACTCCATGGCCCCACCATGGCGGAACGGCCTGGCTGGGCCTGGGATGGTGTGGCTCCAATGCTCTGCTCCAAGGCCTGGCCATTTGAGTAACCAACCAGTGCATCCGGCACAAAACCCGGGCAAAGCTTTGGAGGCGCCAGAGGATCTGGGAGGCAGAAATTCACATAATCTTATATATTTTTATACTCATATTTTAGACATTTTTGTTGAACCATTTGGAGCTTTTTTACGATTTTACCATGCCAACCATGCCAACCTCTGATATCAAGTGTTCACTGGGTAGAGGATGAATATCATTTTTGGCACACAACCGTGGATAGATAGATGATGTCAAGACTGTTGGTTGTGTTATCTTGGCTTGGATCCTGTGTTTGGATATTTTGGATCAGTTGACGGCTTCAGAGCATTGTCATTTTGCAGGGGGCTTTCAAGAACACCGACGATGACATCTTCGCCAACATGGGCTCTGATGTAGAGTGCGCAAACCGACAGTGACACCGTTTGAGGTGTGGTCATGTGTCAAAAGCATTCAAAAGCCCAGAGTGTTCATGTCAGAATGATAGGGCCTGATAGGGAATGAACACCGGAATGAACACCGGGAGACGCGCCAAGCAGGTACAGTGGTTCCACGGGGGTGGTGGTCATGTTGGATCAAGGCCCTTGCCGATGTGTTGTCACATTGTCCGCACCAGTCGCGTTGCACGTGTTGCACGTGTTGCACGTGTTGCGCTTGCATTTTTTTCGAGCAATGCTGGTTCCACTGGTTCCACTGGTTCCACTGGTTCCAGGCAAAAAGTTGCTGACGATGGCCAACGTCGCTCAGATTTGGACATGGGAATTCGATCACATCAAAATTATCACAACATCAATCGGTGACCATGGTTGGCCCATGTGACAACCTACGAGGTTCTTAAAACGTCGAAAGGAAGCAGTGTGAAGAAGTGACATTGATGCCATGCAAAAAACATGCACTGGGAACATGCATGGCTTTGCTCCAAACATTTGCAACAGAATTCCCCCATAAGTTCCCGAGAACGTTTTGTAGGTTTTGTTTTGAGAGGTGTCCAACGGTGTTTACAATGGTTTCTACATGTTTCTTCTATGGCGTTTTCAAATTGTGTTTATCTTTTTTTTCTGAAAAATCTCATCTCACCTCGGTTGGAACTGGAAGAACTGGAAGAACTGGAAAGTACTGTGTGGCATGTGTGAGATGTCAAATATGTGAAATATGTGAAATATGTGAAATATGTGTGATGACGTTGGTGCAGCATGTTGATGTTGTTGATGTTGTTGCGTGCTGTTGGGTGTTGGTGATGAGGTCGGCGACTCTCGAGTGGTGCTCGGCCGCTTCGATGGCTCAACTTGGAGCGTCCGAGTGCCCAGGGAGAAAAGGGAGTGCCCAGGGAGAAAGTGAAAGTGACAAGACAACTTCGGAAAGTGAAGCTGTGCACATCGAAAATCTGGCAGACTTTCTGAGGCCATGCCGCTGACCACGGATCTGAAGCCCGATCTCCCGGAGGTGCCCAAACTGTCGTGGAACTTCCACCACAAAAACCACGCCAGAACAACGCCGCCGCGTCGCCAGGAACGGGAACGCATCGAACTCACCGGAGGAGACCGTTGTTTCAACGTGGTGAAAACATGGTGATTTTTGGGATTCTGGTGAAACATAGGATGTTTGACATGGTGAAACTAAGGTTTGGTATGAAAAGATATGTTAAAAGATGTGAACTTTGCAAAAAGTATCTTTTAACATATCTTTCTATACACATCTTTTGACACATCTTTTGTTTTTTTTTCAAGCATCAAATCTGATTATCTGATTATCTGATTATCTGATTACACCTTGAATAGATACATGTACAATATGTACACAATATATTTACAACATATCGTGTTTGATATTTGTCTGATATTTGTTGAATTTTACAGTAGAAGGTGGTGAGACCGTGATGCGGATCTGGCGGATCGTCAGGAACAGTTAGTCAGTACCGTGATGAATGCGGAGTGGAGGTCCTGTGGATTGGATTTCAGCACGACCATTCAGCGCATTCAGCCCCCCATTGGTTGATTGGTTTCCATCGCTGCCGAAACTGGTTGCAGGCTGGTCCATTCCGAGCCCATCTCTCAGTGTGTGGCTACTGTCAGTGTCAGCTCATCATCGACTCGTTATCTACGTCAACACACGACAGCGATTCCAGTGATTCATTCAACATGCAACATGCAACATGTCAATTCACAGCCTGCAGGTTTGGGATGGGCCTGCCTGTGAGAAGCCCGGTTTGGCCGTGTCAGGGCCCCGGTGTCGCACAGCGCGGCACAGCGCGGCACTTGTCGTGTTGCGGCGTCGCGTCGAGGTCTCGTAGCTTGGGAGATGGCGCAGCCAGAGCTTTGGGCGTCACCGCCGTGCCAGTGGCCGGGGGGCCGTGACACCAGGGCGACACCAGTGCAGGGGTGGCTTTTTTTCCGTGGGGATTAAGTATACAAGTAGTATCAAGTAGTTGGACAGTTAGTTGGATCATGTTGGACCCCGATGTTCTTTGAGGGCAGCTTCAGTGCGAAGCCGAGGTCTCCAAGCATCATTTGACGCCTCAGGCGAGACAGCGCAGTGGAGCGTCATGGCACACCGCCATGGAACACGGGCCACCACGATGTGGCGCAGTGTGGCATAGTGTGGCACAGGGTGGCACAGTGAAACATGGCGCAGGACAAGTTCCTCATCATTGCAACAGATGGCTTGTGGGATTCCATTCCCAACAACGAGGCTCAGCGTATCTCAGGGTGTTGGTTCCGGGATCAGGTTGCAACTTATGATGATGTCCTCTCCAATCTTTTCCAGGTGAATCTTTCACATTCTTTCACATACTTTAGAACCTGGTTCCGCAATCCCAAGGCGTTTTTTGTGGTTTTTTCCATGTTTTTTCCATGTTTTTCTTGGCCGCGCCAGTGCCAGGTGGTTCGGGTGGTGGCGAAGTTTCAAAACATGCTCCCCATCGCTCTGAAGGCTTTGACGGAGGACCGCGGCTGCTAGTTGTGACATGTTATGACTCTGCGAGTTGTGATGGACCGAAGGGATATGAAGGGACATGAAGGGATGTTATCGATGTCAACCCATTGACGGCGCCAAGGAATAGCAGGAGTGTTTTTCGTGTATTGTAACTGCTGTAACATGCTATGTTGAAGCGAACTTTGAAGGCCATTCAAAATATTCGAACTTGTTGTCCATTGTTGTCCTCATTTGTCTATGATGTGATCAACAGGCTGTGCGTCGTGCAGAAGGTGATGAACTCACCGATGATACCACGATCCTCCTCATCCGCTTTCCAGACCCATGGCCGTGACATGCCGTGACCGTGGATAGCGCGCCTGCTGTACAGCGATCACTGTCACTGTTTGCATTTGTTTGCACTGCAAACAGCACCTAAGTTATCCAAGTTATTCGAAAAGTTCCGTTTCATATTTCAAAAACTCTGGACTGAGCTTATCTGAGCTCCTGCCTGGAGTAGCATCTGATTTCGCATGAATTTGCTTATGATCTTCCCTTTCAGCCGCGCCAAGTTTTGAAGCTTTTCCTCCATCTCGGGGAACTTCTGACCTTGTGTGGAGACCTTGTGTCAGAGATTTCGTAACATGTTATGTAAAGCCAAAACTCAAACAATCGAAGTCAATGTTTAGTAGACATAAAGTAGACATAAGAAGTAGACATCAAGTAGACGTAAAGTAGACAAAGTGGCGGAAGCCACCAAGTTGAAGACATGCGCGCGAAAGGTGAAGAGCTTTTCTTCTCGGTTTCACCGAGTGCTGAAGGCATATCGCGGACGCAATGGCGATTGATTTTTTGAAGGTGTGGAGTCATCAGGAGTCATCAGAAGTCACGGCACAGTGCCTCACCCTTGCGCTGGCCTGTGGCCTTGCGCATCCTTGTGCTCTTTGAGGACATTGGGCACCGCGGCGTGAGACGTCGCTGTAATCTCTGAGCACGGATCGGATGAATATGGACCTAATATGGATGAATCGCACAACATTTGCTGCAGCCTTTGAACTTGCAAAAAAGAACATGTCGCTGCGAGACCGGTTGTTGCACTGTTGCACGCACTTCAGACATCCCGAGAGAGAGGACATCATATGACAATATATGACATCATTCCATATTCCAGGATGGCAGGGGGTCCAATGTTTTGACCGGCGACTCTTGGCCAAAGGCTTTGCTCAAGGCTAGTGACCGCGGCTAGCAGGGGCTCAACCCATTTGCGAAGCCACTTGGCCGCCGATGTCACGCTCAGCAGGCTGGGAAGGGCTCGGAGGCAGAACCTGCAGCTGGTCATTCTGCTCATTCTGCTCATTTGTCCAACCCCTTTGACCAATACATCATGCTTGTGACACAGTGTGACACAGTGTGACACGCTTTTGACATGAATGGATCACTTGAACTTGAGTATGTTGGGTCAACTGAAGTGAGACCATGTGAGTCAGACTCAGATGACTCATATGACTCAGATGACGTCAACACTGACTTAATCAGACTCAAACTTAGTCATACTTATAGTATCTTATAGTCATATACTTATAGTCAATCTGGGTCAATCTTAGTGTCAACTCTGAAGTACCGCAGGTGCCGTGCACCGCTGCACCGCTGCAGGCGCCAGAGCCTCCAAGCGCACCAAGACGGTGTCCTCGCCCTTCTCCAGGGCCCAGAGCTGAGATTTCCACGTCCTGACGTCCTGACGACCCCGTTCTGTGGCCGTAAAGCTGAGCCCGCTGAACCCGCTGAACCCCCAAAAAAACATCAAAAACCGTTGGAAAAAAACGTCTGAAAACACCCACTGTGGGTTTCATCAGTTTTTACTGTAGCAGTTTCTGTGATGTTTCATTGCAAAAAGGATCCAAAGATCAAAGGTGGCAGAAGAAAACATCATGGAAATGAATTGACATGAATTGAAATGTGATGGAAGTGATGTAAAAACTACAGGTGGAATGGCGAAACCGGGGGAAAATCGAAACAGATACTGAAACAGATACTGTTTCCATCATGAAACCCATGGGGATCCTCAGCACATCTCAGCACGCCTGCCACGGCCACGGACGGCTTCAGGCCACGGGTGCCACGGGTGCCACGGGTCGAGATTTGGTGAGCGCCGTGGCCGATGACTTCGGCCAAGGCAACATCGAAGCATCGACCGTCACACGTGATTTGGAAATGACATGGAAATGACATGGATACGATTGGTCTGAAGATGTCTTAAGATAAGCAAAAATGATCAAACATGTATATACTGATGTATATTGTATACTGCTGTATACTATACATATATAATCATATATATTCATATAACATGTATCACATGATGTCACATGATATCACATGATCAAATGATGTATTCGTCAAGCTACGCACACGTTGCAGCAATATGCAGCAATGCTAGGTAGAACGGTGGAATGTGTATTGTTTCATATTGTTTCCAGGTCTAGATTCTGCAGTGGTGGCCTCAATCTTTGACCGTGCAAGCTTGCAGTATGCAGTTCCAGGTAAAACGATCTAATTTAAGCTGATTCAAGCTGATTCAGGTGGACAACTGATCTAAATTGATCTAAATCAATGCACTGACGTGAAGCGCATGGAACCGATGCGTCCGTAGGGACTCCGTAGCGTTGGGGCTCAGAGACACGGAGCCACGGGAGCCATGGGAGACGCCCGAGACGCCCGAGACGGCCAAGGTGGGAGGACGATGCAACGATGTCAGGTGGACGGGTGGACCTGACGAGGTGGTTTGGTTATTTTGGTTCTTGGAGGTTTAGGTCACATCTGTCACATCTGTCACCGCTTTGGGTCGTTTTGCGCTTTGCGTTTTTGTTTTTCAATGTTTTTCAGGTCCTCGAAAAGGGGCTCTGTCTTGGGATGATTACTTTATGGGTCTGGCACTCAGACAGAGATAGTCGACGCATGAACAAATTCAGTCAAACATATTCCAACATATTCCAAATCCATGTCATGTAACATACTGTATGTCGAAACAAATTGAATCAAACTGACAGATTGCCTTTGGATGCCTTTGGCACCTGGAGTTCTATCCGAAAACTCCAGGATTGGCCTTTCTGACGGCGATGCGCTCCAAAGACCCTTCTACGCAGGCAATCTGCGCAGTTTCCGGATTTTTGGCAGGTCATTGCAGCAATTTGTGCTACGGAACGCCGGTGAACTCCAAAATCTCTGAACTCAAGACATGGAAAGCTATGGAAATCTTATGAGTGTACAAGGGAAACACGATATTCAGAAAAGATGAGAAGATATGAGAAGCGAGATCCAATGCATTCCAATGCATTTCAATGTCAGGTGGGCGCTTGCATCGTCAATGCCCGAAATCGGATTATCGGAGTAGGCCGGACACAGACTGACACAGAGTGACACAGAGTGACACAGAGTGACACAGATGCAGATGATGCAGATGATGCAGATGATATGCAGTTCCCGGTGACGCAGTTGCCGTGTGGCCGCGTGGCTTCAGGTTACAACGGCATGCCCAGCAACTGCCCAAACGACGAGCTTCCGTGGGGAAAGAAGTCCAGTTCAGGCCACGACACGGATACGACAGAGATACGACACAGATGAGACGACTGAGATAACCACAAGACATGGCAAGACATGGCAAGACATGGCAAGATTCACAGCCACATTGATCCACATGATATGTACATGATATGATATGTGCATGATATGTACAAATATGGGAACGGGTCAAAATTAAAGACCTGGGCGGCCACAGATTTAAGTCCATTTTTGGTATTAACTAGTATTAACCATCTAATGATTGGGGTACTGATGGGCACTCAATTTTGACGCATGCCCATATGCTGGCAGGGGAATTGGCCACCAAGTACCCGTACGCACTAAACTCAGAGCTTTGATTCATCAGTCTCCAGAGTTAAAGCATATCCGGGCAACTTGTACAGTGACATCAGTGACTGTAGTCTTGAGCTCGAAGAATTTGCAGGAGAAGAGTTTTTGAAATGGCCACAATTATGTAGACAGGGTCCGGGCAGATTTCGTTTTCTTGTGCACTGTTCGTTACTGTTCCTGTCTCAGGTCGTGCACGCGGAACTCAATGCAGTCTTGAACAAGAACTCTGAGAGCTGTGCTGGCTGCAGGCCCACAGTGCAGTGATCCTGCGCCATCCTGCGCCATCTCAGATCCCGAAATCTGCATCCTGCACCATCCTGTTGCACCATCCTGTTGCACCATCATGGTTGGATCATCGTGGCACAAGGATCTACACCACGCTCTTCCCCTGCAACGAATGCGCCAAAGTGATTATCCAGGCCGAGCTCCTGCCTGTCATGGTGTGTCACGGTCTGTCGCTCGGTATCGGTCCTGTGGTCCTGTGCAGGCTGGAATCCGGGAGGTGATCTACGCATCTGTTTGGGCCTCAGATTTTGACAGATTTTCCAATGTGATGAAAAAAGATCCAATGTGATCGTTTCTATGCTGCGATATGCTGGGCAAAAGATGACGACCAGCAGAGACCCCCCTGATCAGGACAAGCATTCGGAGCGCTTGAGCGCCAAAGCCTCGCGACGTCTTTTTGACCTGGCGGGTGTGGAGATGTCACTTGGATCGAAGACGATCCACAGACGATCCACTTGACAAAAGTGTGCTTCAAAGTGTGCTCGTATAGCGGTGAACGTGCTCTGGATTGAACAATCACATATGAACATATTCATACATATTCACTATTGGTGTTCGTTGCATCTCTTTAGATTCTTTTTGTTGTGCTAAACCATGCTTTTGTTACTTTTGCTGGTTTAGCATGGTTTAGCATGGTTTAGCATGGTTTAGCACTTTTATTGACTTGTGTCTCGAGGGATCTCGAGGGTCTTGTCGTCTTGTGATGTTGCGCCGGTCGTCCCTCAGGCGGCACTTTGCACCAGAGAAGGCGCCGAAAAAAACTGGGTGGTCCAGATCGAACATCACAGTAGCATCAGTGTGTCAACTTAGTAGATCAATTATAGCAGATTTATATCTCGATTTATCTAAAAACCCTCTGGTTATGACTAACATAGCCATGGTATAGATGGTGGAAAATGGCCCATAGAAATAGATGGTTATGGCATGTTATGGCCTATTTTACCTATAAAAAATGGTGATTTTCCATGGCGGTTGCCGCCTGGAAACCCAGGATCTCCTGGCACTTCCCCTGAGGCACCGCGGGTCGGGTCGCTGTGTAGAGCGGATCAAAGTTTCACGGTGACACCGAGTGATTGGCTGAGTCATAGTATGTCATGGTATTATAAGTATTATAAGTATTATATGGTATTTGAATGAATTTGAATGTATTTGAATGTATTTGAATGTGTTTGAATGTATTTGAATGTATTTGATTCCAAGGGCTGTGTTGTGTTCCCGCTGGCCTCATGAAAGGTATGCTCGCCTTGAGGTAAGGATCGCATTAACAGTCAACATCAGTCAACTAATCAGTGTCAACAAACTGTTCAATGCCTTTGATATCTTCTGATTGAATACTAATATTTATATATATATACTAATTATATCCCATAAATCTCTGTATATCCCAGGTATACTCGCTTCCCGGGGCCTTCTTTCAGATCCGCGGAACGTTACGTTCTGAGACGTTCTATGGATCTGTCAGTGCCAGGTACACAGAGGACCGGCAACGCGCCGACCGGGTCGTTGAGCGAGTCGTCGACCGCGTCGACCGCGTCGACCGCGTCCCGGCCGCGCAGATGACTCCACTGGCATGCAGTGGATGCAGCTGCAGAGGCCGAACCTCAGAGATCCACAGCTTAGCGAAAGCATCACTTCTTTTATCATTTTTTGTCATCTTTTATCAGTTTCAATTTCTGCGTCAAGAAATAGATTGAAACAGAAAAGCAATGAAAAGCCTCAATCCATCTCAATCCTGAGACACCATGAAACAGCGTTTTCCAACTTGTAGGCAGCGGAGAGACGGCCAATGACAGCCCCTGGGCCAAAGATCCAACGAAACATACGAAATTCGAAAAACTTGGTCCATGTCCCAATGGCCAGAGATGTGTCTGGGTCATATGTAGGTGATACATATAGGCCATATGTAGGCCATATAGTGTAGGTGACTGTAGGTGCAAGGATCCACGGAGTCTAGTTTCGCCCAGGATGGAACGGCCTCGGATGGATGGCGGCCGCAGGCTTCGCTTGCCTCATTGGAGGTGCGGCGCACCATGGCAGTCATGGCATAAACCATGGCATGAACCATGGCAGTCATGACATTTCCCAATGGATTTCCCAATGGCAGTCATGATTTCTCGATATTTCTAGATATTTCTCCCTTGACATCGGCTGCCCATGATCTGCATGGCGCATCAGGTGTTGGGCGCGGGCGCATGCGGCCTGTGGCGAACATGGCAGCCCGATTCGGCCTGCGATGAGCGAAATTCGGGGCAGATAGGCAGCACCAATAGAGGCCCAAGGCCATGGAAGCCACTGAAAACGGCTGAAAAATGGCTGAAATGGCCACTTTATGGCCACTTTATACATCTTCACTATTTCCAGACCTGTCTCCTGTAGGTTTCTCTGAGAGGTGGCATCTGTGTTATGGGGTTGTGCGGGGGTTGAGCACGAAAAAACCATTGCAGCTGTTGCCTGCGCCATTGCAGACACCTTGTGACGTGACTTCCCGTGCTGTCTTCCCGTGCTTTTCACATTTTGTGCCTGTCACTTTCCAGATTTTTGGTAGTCACCTGGTAGTCACAGGTGGTGGCGCTCATCGAAAGCAGATCTCGAGAGGCGATTTCGAATCCCAAATTCACTTCTCTGTGAGAATTCTCTATGTCGAAACCCTGTGAGAATTCATTGTAAACCCCAATTCATCAAATTAGATCAAATTAGTACTTAGAATTCTTACTTAGAATTCTTCTTGTGATCTTGTGAGGTAGGATTGGCTGGCGTGCACAGAAGGAGTCTCTGGCCTGTTTTCAGACAGAGTTGTGAAAGTTGTAAAGTTGTGAAACTCAGGGCGGCATCAATGAAATCAATTGGGGGATCATGACCAACTGAGGCTTATCAGGACACCATTCGGAAACGTTTCCGAACGTGATTGAAACTCATGTCGAAACGGCACGAAACATTCAGAGGTTTGGCAGGGTCGACAAAACTTGGTCCGGAAGGGTCAACAAAAGCCGAAGCTGCCAGCCTTCAGCGCAGTTGGCGCAGTTGGCGCAGTTGGCAGGTCGATGGACTTTGAGTTGACGCAATTCAGTGTCATCCCAAGGGATTTTTTGAGTTGCAAAGCTTGTCATTTTAAAACATTTTTTCATACGAAAGATGAAAGGATCCGTTTCGTTGATATTTGAGACATATTTTGGCATATTTTGATTCATATCATGCCCAGCTGATTGCATGATATGAACTAATCCAATAAAGAGATACTAAGAGATCCTGCTGCACGGCACAGGTGACTCAGCGTCCTACAGGTCCGGGCTGTGAATGTGTCAAACCCAGGGTTTCCCACTTGAGAAGCAGAGGGGATTTAAAGAATCGGCCAAGCAGCAACTGAGAACTGAGAACAACATATTTATCAACATCATATGAATCATAAGATCTATATATATATCTCTATATATATATAGCTATTAGCTTTTAATTGAAATTCAACGGATACAGGTGCAGGGATTCTTGGAACGGTGGCATGTCCTTTCCCGCAGTCGAACTATCTCAGCAGTTCTGGCCGCAGACCCCTCTGCTGTTCTTGTGAGCCCAGCACTTAGTGTGAACCGATAACTACGATGCCTTGATACGTGGCAGAGAGAGCTCTGGGATGCTCTGGGTAACTGATGAAGCTGGAGATGAAAGATATCAAAGATATTCAAAGATGATAAGGAAGAGAGATAGCCAGAGATAGCCAGAGATAGCCAGAGATAGCTCAGTTGGCTCAGTGTCCTTTTGGAATTGCGGAAAGGCCTCGAAGTTCTGAGGCCGAAGTGCTCGTGGCACTCAGCTGGTTCAACTGCTGGAAAAGGCCCGAGCGAAAGATTGTGCAACGGCTGAGTTAAGTTCACATCATTTCACATCCGACCCATCCAGGGAATCCATGTCATTTTCTTGCATTGAGGACACAATTGACACAATCTCCAAGATTTGCTTAGACTTCATTATATTAGACTTCATTATACATCATTGCTTTTTGTTTTTCTCAATCCGACAGTCAACATGGTCGAATAGTGTAATTAAACTAAATGAAGCCCTAAGACTTTCCATTAGAAGGTAATGTGAATTGTGTTAAAAAACATGTTGATATATCTGATACATGTTGTAACTTACTCAGTGAGTTCATGATGTTCATGTCGCCCTTTAAAGGCCCTCAAGGGCGGCTCGTGCCATTTGACCTTCCTGGAGCGGCGGCATTTCGACGAAGCCGAAGGGCAAAGCCTCTTGGAGGAGGCGGATCTGGAAAACTGGAAATCTGCTTGGAAGAGGGTGGTATTATCAGTATTTTCCAAAAACAAACAACAACAATTAAACTTAAACATATTTTGGATTATTTTAGAATCCCTTGGAGGAACACGATGGGGTTATAGTTATGGTTTTGATAGTTGTTGGTCTGGCTTGAGTACGTAGTTTCGTGCGATTTTGTATGTTGTATTCCTCCCCAAGTTCTGAAACTTCGCTGGTTTTGTTCCGCTTTAGTGAGGCAAGCAATTGATTATCCGTTATCCATTGACATGAGCTATGCCAACGGCAGAATGTTTTCTTCTTCTTCTGGGTTTGTTCGTATGAATATGCAAGAGTCCAGTGGTTCAGAAACTGTTGCTTTGTGGGCAAGAGAGCGCAGCTGTGCTAGATTAGTCTTGAGAACTGTTTTCAACATTTTTCAACATCTTCCACTGGCCGCGCAGGCCATTGTCGTGGGTTTGCAACAAGCAGACTTCAGCTCCAAGTCTTGCCCTTAATGTCACCAAAGATGACAAAACCAACATGAAGTCCGATGACAAAAGACTTTCGAAGACTTTCGATAAGGTTTGCGGCAGCTGCCAGCTTCACTGCGTGGCTGGGACTGATCATCTGATCGCATTGATGCAAATCCGGGCAACCATCGGATCCTGACATGGAGAAGAGGAGAAATACATTGAACATCATTCAACATGCTTCGATGTGTTATGCATGTATAATGCATGTTTTGTTACATGTATAATGCATGTATAACATACAAAACCTTGCTGCGCCGAGGTTGTGGCGTTACATCGAATCGTCCTCCGACGTACGCCTGGTGACGTCCAGCTGCAGAGTCACCTTTCGAGCCGCTCGTTTTTCTTTTCTACATCGAGACAGGGACGGAAAGCAGGACGAGAAGTCCAAAGATGCCAGATTTGCATAAATTTGCATTTTTTTGATGACTTAAGTGCAGTTTCTTCCTGTGTCCTGTTATGAAAAAATCATCTCAACACATGTTAACACTATGTACAACATCATATGTTAACATCATATGTAAACATGTATGTAAAATCATATTGTTTTTTTAAAAAAACGTGTAAAAACATATTAAAAACATCAGATTTTACAGTCATATTGACATCAACCGATGTCAACCGATGTCAACCGATGTCAACCGATGACAACCGATGACATCACCGAGGTGGCCAGCGACATCTGCATGGTCGACAGCTCCACGGTGCGGCTGCTGGATCTGGTCTCCTCCCATCGTCGCTCCGTCCTGGGCCTCTTCAAGACCGTGACCTCCCAGGTGTGCCACGACATCAACAGGTGAAACAGGTGGTGTTTCCATAGAAAAAACCATGGAATATGTGGAATTTGAGTCACCAACATGATGAAAAATCTGATGGAAAAATGTGAAAGACACTTTGAAAGACTTGACTGGACAGGTTGCAGGTTGTTTGCAGTTTGATGCTATTTGATGCTTGTTGGAGATTTTTTTGGCATAGCAGAGCTATGCGGCTATGCCCGCTATGCGCAGTGCAGGGAACGCAGATGCTGCGGCAAGCCATTCTGCAGCCATCCGCCAAGCTCCCTGAGATTCAGAAGCGTCATGCAGCTGTAGAGGTGCACCGCTATCGACATCGTGACGCATCGTGACACATCGTGACGCATCGTGACACATTGATGTGATCATGGTGTGACCATGAGTTGAGTTGCAATGCGGTCGGAAGTGGCTTGTGATCAAAACATCTGTGGGACATCAGAATCATTCATGAATCAAAGAAGCATTTGTGAATGCAATGCATAATATATATGATATGTTCAAAGATGTTCAAAGACATGTGGAGGGTCAATGCATTGAATTTCATGGACTTCTCCTCGCAGGCGCTACTGGAGGATCATCTTTTGGAACGCGTCCAACAACTGTTTGGTTCCAAGGGTCACCACGATCCAATTCTTAAAACATGCGATCCGGTCAGCAGATAAAATTGGAGCTGACCGCAACATGAGCTTTTTGAGAAGTCATGGGAAGTCCAGACCGCACATGATTGAATCATGTTAAATCATGTTAAATCATGTTACATCAATCTATCTATCTATCTATCAATCTATCTATCTATCTATTTGTCTATCTATCTATCTAATCTAATCTAAATCTAATCTAATCTAATCTAATCTATCTATCTATCTATCTATATAGATATCATAGATCTATATAGATCTCAGATGCCGAAAGATGCTGAAACAATAGCAGCTATGGCAGCCCCGAGTCCTCCCGAGTCCCGAGGCTTCCTGGTGTGGGCGACCTGGATCTGTTGGTGGCGCGCTTGACCACGGAGCCGAGACAGCGAGGGATGCAATGGTATAAGGCCGAAGAGAGAAGAGAATGAAGAGAATGAAGAGAATGAAGAGGATGAAGAGGATGAAGAGAAAAGACAGGGAAAAGCCACTGCCAAGACTTCCAAGACACAACGTGGTTTCCAACCGCGTTGAAAGGGTCTTTCCAAGAGTTTGATGCAGAAAATAGGTACTTGCATGTACTTGCTTATCTTGGTTCTATTCTGACAGATAAGAATTGCATAGAAGTTTTGGGTCGATTCTGATCAGTGGCCGTTTTCCGGATTCCGATCATTCGAAATCGAGGTGGCTGTGCGCACAGCGTTGCGTCTCCGACATGCCTTGTCAGCTCTTCCACATCTGGCGGATGCCCTGAGCCCTAAAAGCCGCCGGCGCCAGGAGCGATGCTGAGCGATGCTGCATCGCGATGCTGCATCGGGATGCGGCCTCCATTTCTTGAAGTGATGCACTTTGTGAAATGCCATGGCAATTGGCATGAATTTGGCATGAAATTTGGCATGAAATTTGGCATTGGCATGCATTGGCTAGGTGATCTTATGTGATCTTGGTGAATTTCATGAGTTTCATTGAGTTTCGGATGGCTTGAAGAAATTGGATGGTATGCTTTGATGATGTTTCATGATTGATGTTTGATGATGTTTGATGAATCTCACATGTCTCCGGCCCGACTACGGCCCTCCACTGGGATGTTTTTTTTGAGGAGGCGTCCGCGGGGCATCTGGACGATCTCCACGAAGTCTTGAGTCACAGCTTCGCCAAGCAGCTGCAGGACTCAAACAGACTCAAACCATCCAAGACATATATGATATATGTGATATATATACGTATATATTTCCGATCTTTGATGTATTTTCTTCATATATGTTCATCATGTTCCTATAACATTTGTACTATCTATGACATTTAAGTATATTTGTATATTTAAGTACTATTAGCGAGTAGGGTCCTTCGTGTAGGTTTCACTACTTTGCGTTCACATGATAAATCTATTTATATATATATATACATATACACATATATTTCCCATTTTTCTATGTGATATTTATCATAAAAGCATGATGATCATGATGTCTTTGTACATGCAACGTTTGGGGGCTTTCTATCTCCGGGGCGGAGGAGTTGGACCGGATCCTGGACGACACCCCACCGGGACGTGGCTCCATGGCGTGGCCCGGTGGAATCAAACCAGGGACGGTGGAATCATATATGATATATATGTGATATATGATATATGATATAGATATATATATATGATATGTATATATGATATATATATATATATGTTTTTCTTCTATGGCATCCAATGGCCACAGCAGTGCTACTGTGCTAATCCCTACTAATCCGATGGCCACAGCTAGGCATGCTGCTCTGATGTATGCGGTGAAGCCCAATGTGAATGCCCTGCTGGACGTGGCGAGGTGAAGAAAAAAGCAGACAAATATGGGGTTCTGAAGCGGTTTTAGGGTGTGACAGTTGTTCTTCTGATTTGTTGTTTGTGTGTTACTTCTTTCGGTTTCATGTTACGCATGTTTTTTTGTTTTGCCAGGGAAACTTGAGATATTTTATGAATTTTTATGATATTTTGATTGGATGAGGGCCTGAGGGATAGGAATCATTCTGAATGAAATTCTCATGGCTTGCCAGTTACTGTAGTTACTCAGTTTCCGTTCCCACCACTCGTGTTGTACCCACCGAGACTTCCCCCACTTAAAGCGATGTTCACGGGGCAGGCAGACCTGGACTGAAGCCCTGGAGCAAATTCACTCGCTCTTCCGCACGTTGACCTTGAAATATCCGGACCGAACATGTCGAACTGCTAAGATGCCATAAGATTGCCATAAGATGCCTAGATGATTTGCAATAAAAGAAGATCACACATTGAAACGTTGGTCCCAGTTTCACCTTGTTGTTCTTGCACCATGGGTCCTACAAAGAGATACAACGTGGCTTAGTGTAACGTAGTCCGTGCCAGTTTTTAGTGTATCTCAACGCAAAAGTACGCCCAGTAGGCACCCAACTATGCAGCAGCAGTCTCCAGGGACAATGGAAAATATCCGAGCGCAGTGAAGAGAACATCTGGAACTTTGCAGCGTTTTGCTCCGGTCAGGACTTGAATTTGAAACTGGAGTTCGCCGAGAAGAAAGGACGGAGTGGATGGAGTGCGTTGCTTCAAAACTCAAAACGTCGACGTGTTGGATTGTTCAGATTGTGTGTTGCCGGCTCACCCAACTTCCTTTTTGATCTACTCCCAGATGCATGATGATCTGGTCATATGCATAACTGATGCACAAATGATATGTTTCTTTTTCCAAATGCACGCTTGTCTAAGAGTTTTCCGACTACTACTAGAGAGCATACCCCTGATTAGGCGTTTTTGGGTGTTTTTTGAAGACTGTTCTGAACATGCCAAATGTTCCCTGTTGACCTCACCTGGTTGTTATCCAGCCCATCCTTTTTTAGGCTCATAGTCTTTCCCAACGTTTTTGGCATCATGCATCATGGCATCCTGCAGATCGCAGCAATCGTGAGGATGGTATCTTTCGCATGAACGTGCTGCTGTACCAGAACTGCTACAGACCATGCCACGAGGGGGGTACGGCTTCCTGGACCTCATACAGCGTTTTCATCATCATTTGCAGTTGATGCATTCATTGCCTGACACCTGGAAGGTTCTGGTGGGATTATGTGTCGACATGTCCAGGCTAGTCTTTGCAGGTGTATGACGGTGCATGGCGGTGTATGACGGTGTATGGTTTCAGATGTTTCATGATCCAATCATTGAGATGTAGACAAATTAAACGTATCTAAACATACACTGTAAGCATATGCACAACCTTGCAACACTTTTCATTGTCAAACATTTGTTGTCTACACAAGTATCTGCATTATAAAATATGATAAATGTATATGACTATTATTACTGTATGTTACAATTATAGTGGTACACATATTATTCTTACTATTATTACTATACTATTATTACTTCATGTTGGTACGTGTAGATTGTGTAGACACCGTGCAAGCGACGTGTAGATTACCATCTTGCCGCCCGTCTGAGGCGCTTCAGCAGCAGCACCCGGGAGCTGAACAGCGAGAATTTCAAGTTGCACCAGGTGCGCCACGGAAACGTCGACGAATTCCACGAAATCATGAAAATTTACACACTGAATTCTGAAATATTCTGAATATGTATATTTAGAGATATGATATATATATATATATGTATAATAGTATAAATCAGAATATATCAATCTAAAACAAACAAAACATAGTTTAACCATGTTTAACCGTTTAACCTGAAATCACAGGAACTTGTGAAAGAACTTCTGGTTTGGAACTGAAGAAATGTAGTGTTCTGCATAGAGTTCTGCATTTTGCATCCACTGGAGGCAGAGGGCGAGATTTTGCGCCGCAATGTGGAGGCACCGCTTCTGATCACATGGTAACTCTCCTTGCCTGGACAGGTTCCATCTCGTTTTGGGCATCCCAGCACCGCATTCTTTCTCAAAGCGAGGATAGAATTTGCATTGAGGTTCCCAGTCATGAGAAAACGGTTTGCTCCACCTGATTGCCCAAGCCTGTTGCCTGTTGCCATTCTACTTCGATTCGATAGCCGAACCAAGCCTGTCGTTCCAACTGGTGCGGCTCATTCCACATTTTGATGGTAATTCCGGGTATTTCCAGGTAATTCCATGTGTTTTCCACATGTTTTGAATGGTAATTCCGCAGATTTGCTCCTCTGATTTTCACTGATCGGTAGAACCAACGAAGGTCTTAGCGGAGCTCTTCGCTCAGCTGCGGGCCGAAGCACTCCAGTTGCACGCCGCTGCACAGGTCAGTTTTCTAGTTGAGACCAATGGTGTGGACCCCCAAAAATATCCAAAAATCATCCAAAACTGGAAACCAACTGAAGTGGACCTGCAAAATTTACGAACTTTATCATGACTTCATCATGTTTTATTGGGGAAATCAAAAGGTGTAACAGTACAGCACTTTCGAGAAACACCCATTTGGATCCATTTGGCAACCTGTTTTTTCAGCTGATGTTTGAATATATTTGAAACACGAAACCAAGAGAAACACCCTGAAACCACGAGACCTGGATGATTTTGGACCGTTTGACGGGTCAGGCTGTTGGCTTCCTGGACATGTTGCGCGCCTTTGCCGGCTACACCAAAGTCACAGGGGCCGTGAAGCCCGAACTCACCGAGGACCTCGATTTCGGCTTCATTCGAGGTTCAGATATTGCATATTTATGATATGTATGTAATTATGTATGTATTTCAATATATCTTATTGTTCATGTCATTGTTCATGTTATTCACCGGCTTCATGGAATTCATGGAATTCTTTCATGGAATTCCATAGGGTTCCATGATGTCAGTCACAGCATCCCCTCCCAGGATCCGAATGCGCCAATGGCCGTTAAGGCCACGAAGATTGATGCCACTGGTGTTGTGTGTGGAATGCCATGTAAAACCAATGTAAAACCAATGTAAAAAATGCTGTGCACGAAAGATGTGAAACGTGTTTGGGGCTCCAAGTGGAACGCGGCGGAGGCAGGGCGTCATCCCACGCTGGAAGTGATTCTGGCGGAGTCGGGGCAACACTTTGAGCCCGTTGACTTCTTCCTGGGCGAGTCCTGTTTCTTCCAAATCGTCACGGGGCACAACGGAACCTCGGCACCGAACGAAACGCCGCAGGCAGAACCACATTTTCGGTTGTCCGATTGTTCAGGAAAGAAGTCAGGATACTCAAAATATCTCAAAATGCTATTTAACCTTTTCCTTCTCTCACTCTGGGTGGTTTGAAAATATGTCAAAGATATGTAAAGATTTAATATATTTGTCCCCAGGTTCGGCAAGTTGATATTGGTAAGGGATTAGTTAAGAGACTGTAAGAGGGTGCATACGTCAATACGTCAATACGTCGATCATTGGAGCATTCCGAGGTGGAGGAAAGTCGACATATTTACAGACCTTGGCCCAGCTGGTCATCTTAGCCCAAATCGGATGTTTCCTTCCAGCACACTATGCGTCTCTTCGGATCTCTTCATCGTTGTTCACTCGGATGGGCACCAGCGATTCAATCGAAGCTAGTGCTTCCTCCTTCCTCATTGAGATGAAGGCGATGACGGGCTTTTAGAAGTTGGAGCAAGAAGTGAAGAAACAATATCAAACAATATCAAACAATTAACAATTTGCTGGTCTGTCAAAATCATTGCAGTTGCATCCTGCAATTGCATTCTGAGTCACGAATGATACGAAAGTACTTGGATCATCCTTCCATCCGCCATCACTCCATCGGTCACATCTTCTCACATCACTCGTCACTTTGCAGTTGCCAAATTTGGTACCCTTTGGTGCCACCTCCAGGAAGCGTCTCACATTCTCAGCAGCGTGGCTTCAGATAGTCTGGTTCTGATCGACGAGTTGGGTCGTGGCACTGCACATGCCGCTCGGATCCGCTCGGTCTTTTGCTCCGTAGTTTGCTCGGTCAGGTGGTGAAGGATGGTGAAGGTCTACAGAGTTGTCTCTTCATTGTCTCTTCATTTGGTCATGATGCGTGACGGATTTTTGATGCTATTTTGGCCGCGCTTTGACCAGGTTTCCCACCGTTTCCCTCTATCTGATATCTTGGTTTATCATCAGGTGCAATCCAATGCTATGAATGTTGACACAGTGAGCAATACTACAACATTTCCTTCTAATGATTTCTGCTACTTGGACCCCAGCAGACGCACTCGCACGCAATCACAGTTTTCACTACACATGTGATGAATGTTCACACAGTTCATCCACAATGGAAAATCAATGAAGTCGAATGAAGGGTTTCTTGAATTTGGGTCTCAAACTTGCGATTTTTAGTTTCCTCTATGTTGCCCCAAGCACAGCTTGGCTGATGCTGACTGCTGCTTTGCAAAGTGGATCTATGACCCCAGGCTGATGGTTTGGCCATTTGCTGGGCTGTTTGTGAGAAGTTGCTGGACCTCAATGTGAGGCGACGGTTGAGTGACGGAGTGTGAGAAAGGAACACGCATTGGCGGGGAGTGGTCGGAGTCGTCCCAACCGCCAACCGTTGCTATTGTATTCTTTATATTCTGGGCAGAGTGGGCTCCAAGTTTCCTTGCAGATTCTGTTTGCGACTTTTGCGTTTTCTGCAAGAAACTTGCGACTTTTCCATACTTTTCCATACTTTTCTCACTTCTCTCCGCAAGGTGCCTCTTTGCGACGCATTACTTCGAGCTCTGCCATCTGCAGGCGGGATCTCGGACAGTCCAGCACTGGTGTCCTTTGTTGTCACAAGGTGAGGTGACAAGGTGGAACAAGGTGGAACAAGGTGGAGGAACCTGGAGGATTCTACACTGATTCTACACCAACTCAGGATTGCTTGAGACGTGTGAGATGACGCTGTTGAAGCTGTTGAAGCTGTTGAAGTTCAGATAAGGCATGTTATTTGACATGTAAAAAGATGTAAAAAGTATGTGAAGGCTGAAGGCCGTTGCTGTTTCGTTTGAAGCAGGCGCGCGCGCCGGGGCTGCGGAACCTGCACTTGGAGCTCGTCGTTGCGGCCGGCGACGCGGGCGACGCGGGCGACGCGGGCGACGCGGGCGACGCGGGCGTTGCTGCGGCGCGCTTCGTGGTGCAGCACATCTCCTCCCTGGAGGCATCGCTTTCGCCGACTCTGCCGACTCCCCATGGACATCCATGGAGACTTTGCCGTGCGCCCACCTTTCTGATCTTTCCAGGCCTTGCAGCTGAAGGGCCAAAGTCGCTACGGCCTCAAAGCGGCGTTGTGCAGTGGCATCCCCAAAGCCCGGAGCCCAGTGAGCCCAGTGAGCCTTGTGAAAGTCACCAACTGGTCAGCAAATGTATCCAAATTTCATGGTATCAAAAACTGTCTGAATCTTTCCAGATTCAGTTTCCATGTTTCTTCCAAATTTCTACGGACTTGAGATTCACGAGGCAGCTTAGTGTTGATCTTTGCACGATTCAGCTGCATTCAAGGATTTGGTGAAGCGCGCTGAGACCATGGTCGTGCAGGCCGAAACTTGGGAGTTGAAGGGACGAAACGTGAGACAACGTGAGACGAGATTTCACCAGCGAAGATCTGCGAAGCTGAGGTGGATTCTGCATTGAAGCTGTGTCCACACCTTACCTTAGCCGCTGCCTCCCTGCGAATGTCTGTGCCGCATGGACGTGGTCATGTTATGTCATGTTATGTCATGTTATGTCATTTCAAAGATGCTAGCATGATGCTTCTTCAAGCTGCATGACAAATGCTGCCTTGACAAAGTTCGTGTGTGGCTCTACGGTTTGGGGCTTGTGCATGCTTGTGTAACTTGTGTAGGTGAAGATTCCTGGAATAGCTACACGGAGGTGCGGAGTGTCAGAGAAGTGCTCGAATTTCTGATGTTTCTCCTTTGCGGGAAACCATGCTCTGCTTCAACAGCTGAAAGGACGAAACTGCAGCGGAGGCCACATAATGGGATGTGATGGGTGATGGTTCAGAGTGTGCGTGAAATACAGAGAAAGATCTGCACTTCAGAGAGGCAAAGTCCATTCCATAGAAAATGCAGAATACAACATATAGTACCACTACCAACTCAATGCGAAAGAATGATGTACCACTAGCAGTTATGCACTGCATAACCAATCCACATGGTGCCCAGTTATGCAGCATTTATGCGCCATTTATGCACCCGAAAATGTTGTGCCGCTTGCAACATCCATGGTGCTTCAGGCAACTCTTCGTCAGCTCCTGGCTTTGGGCAGAACAGCTCCGACTGCGTGCGGAGACACTGCTCTGCCTACCACGGTTTTCACGGTTTCTAGTTTTCTGGTCCATTTTGGAAATAGAGTCTAATGTCTTAAACTGTGAGAAACGTTGAGAGGCACCCAACAAATGAATATAAATGAACTAAATTGAGCAGTTCATTGATCTTTTTCTTTCCTTTTTTTTCCGGTTTGACCTCGACACCGAGGTCAGCCCTGGCAGACATCCTGAGGTGGGGAAACGTGCACGAAACGGTGAAACGTGCAGTTTTCGGACTCAGGACAAGTGGCCAGTGACGTCGTGTTGCGATGACTGCGCCAGGGAATTGCAGAAGCCATGGTTGGAGAAGGCTCATGTGACAACGAAATCATGACATGAAACGAATGGAGAAAAATTGAGCAGATCGCTGGAGGATGTTCTGTGAACTGTTCGTTTGAATGTCTACTGAATTCTACTGATCTCTGTTTGTTTGCGAGAGGCCAGTCCTGTGGCTGTGGCATCGAAGGTAGAGTGACCTGGCATGGCCACAGCGCATGACCTGAATTCGAGGGACAATGGCAGCCTTGATGCTTCGTCATGTTCCAGATCGTAGTGCGCTTTCAGAATTCGACTTTGACCCAGCCATGGGCAAGGATACATGGGTTGTTTCGGTGATGTAGAGCAACAGCACCAGAACAGATTTGTGGATGTGGGACCGCAGAAGATCCAGAAGAAAAGGCTCTCAGAGAGTGTTCGGCTCACCTAGGGGAGCCCCATGGAACCGCCTTACATTTTTTGCCACACCTAAGATTTTGAGCTGAACATGGTGTGATATGACTCTGATATGACGGCTATGATGTGATTTCTGGCTCAGACGGCAGCAATGCAATGCCCAAACAGACCTTTCAGCTTGCCTCAGCAGGTGGCACGAGACCGGAATGGGGTGAGATGGGCGAGGTGCACCACTACACCCTGTAATGAAAAATGATGAGGAGCTGATGCTCCATGGATCTCCATGGTCATGCGACAGACTTTGCAGAATGAGGGAATGCTGAACAAACCCATCATTCTTCTCAGGAAGCTTTGGATATCTTTGGATCGGGTAGAGATCAGGTGTCCTCTTTGTGGTGTCGTGTCGACCGTGTCGACTGTGTCGACCGTGTCCATTGAAATCAGGCCCTGAGCTGTCTCCGTTGGGCCCTCGGAAATGCACATCATGAAACATCGCTTCGAGCGGAGCCATCCCAAAAAATGTGCCGAGGTGTTGAGACGCCCAGGTGCTCTGAAGGGAGCCAAGAAAGGAGTGTCATTTCGGAATTTTGCCTGAAGAGTGCCGCTTGGTTTTGCCGTTGAAATCCTCTCGAAATTTGGTTTTGCGATCGGCGATGACTGCGACATCACACAGAAAGCTTCCAGATGTGTTTCCACAGGAGAAACGGCAGATCCGCATCATTCCGGACCATTGCAGCAGCCATGGTGCGCTTGCCACGGCTGTGCCACGGCTGTGCCACGGTTGAAACCCGCCTCCTCAGAATGTGTCGCCCAGAACTGTCTCCAGGTAGGTGTTGGGAGCTTGCAAAGCGCCGTACGAAAGGCAAGTCATACCGAGTCATACCATGGATGGATGCACTGGGATGTTGGAAAGATTTGGAAAGTCATACAAAGTGCTGCAGCTTGCTCTGCTCTTGACACGTGCTTGAAATCTTGCGGAAGGCAAGCTGTAGAAGAATGCCTCGATCCTTCAATAGGAAAAACCTAGTTTCCATGCAGGACGGGAAACGCTTGAGAACTTGAGACCACGACAAAAGCAATCCATTTCATCATATCACATCATGTGACATCATTTGTCGATAGTGTTAATATTTGTCCATAGTGTTAATATGTTTTAATATGTTTTAGAGTCCGCTGCAATCCGCGCCTCATCTGCTTCGGACTGCTCAAGCTTGTTGGACTCGTTCCGTTGAGAAGCTCTTCCGTGAGGAGTCCACAAACTCCTCCGGTGTGCTGACTTTGGTGGATGGAATCTCGGCACCAAGACCATATATTGACAGTATGACATTATATTGACCATATGACCATATGACCATATCCATTTATATATATATATAATATATATATATGCATAATACATAATATATAGATATATAATATCTTCACAGATACACCCTCTGACACGATCATCCAACATATCTATCTATTATATATATATACCACATATTATTATTATTATTATTATTATATATATAGAGAGAGAGAGGAGTGGAATGATTCGCATGGTCAGTACGTGTCATTGCCATGGCAAGGTAGCTATCTCTTACACCAGGCCGGATGGTCAGACATTTCACGCCTGGCTTTTGTTAGTCAACACTTTCTGGAACTGAGTTGTGCCTTCCGCAGTGTTGTGTGGTCACGTGAGCTCGTGTCTTTGGACGCATCCAAAATGCGCCAGGGCTTCTATGCCTTCCAAAATGCTGACCTCCGCAATCTGCGCAGTCCGGACACCTGTGTGTTGACATGACTGACCTGTTCCATTTCAGAAGAATTTCAATCCATTTCATACAAAGTGCCTTGATCTTTTTGGGCATTGTCCCCGCAGTACTTCACAAGTTGAGGAAGTTTCATGTTTTTTTCACGTGGGTTTCACATGGGTTTCACATGGAACTCTTCCAGGTGAGCCAGTAGGGGCCCTCTATGGTTTCATGTTGCAACTGGAGAGGAGCCAAATGAGTCAATGATGAGTCAATGAGCAAAGCAATGACCCAATGACCCAATGACCAAGCCATCGCAACATCTGTGGAAGGATACTCCAGTTCACCGATGCATCGCACATGGCGGTGATGTTCGCGTGGGACTCAGAATTTGGGAGGCTGTGCCTTTGGCACAGGGCAGCTGGGAAGGAAAACCACGGCAAATTCAAAGAACATTTATGAAGGGTAAAACCCAGGCAGAACATGTTCCAGTTCCAGATTCCACACCGAAAAGCTTTCAAAGTTTAAAGGAACACAAATGGAAACAAAACTGTTGTCCAAGTTGTTCAGTGCGACCAGGACAGCCGAACTGCTTCCGAATCTCGCAAGAAGACCTTGCCCAAGTGCCCTAAGAGGGCGTGAAGAGGGCGTGAAGAGGGCACGAAGATGCTTGAAAATGTATGGAGCACATGGGGCTCCATGGCGAGTTCTGTAGCCATGGAACCAGGTACAAATCAAACCGTCACTGCAGGGCCCTGAAAACTTCGGTGCTCCTTTTGTTCACACCACCACTCTTCCTAAACTCTTCCTGAGGTCCAGATGAACTTGTGCCTCAGTTTCAGAAGAGCCAAGAGGCTCGACATGGATTTGGGTATGGCCAGGGTGTCACCCAGAATACCTGGAGATGTGGCCACGTCTGAGCATGGCAGCATGCTAACAATGCTAACACGCAAAAAGTATGACAGTTGCGAAACTGGCAGAAATTTCAGGAGGATCATGGAGGGTCCTGGATTGTGTTGATCCATTTCTGTCCATCTGGAGGCCCTGAATGCCTTGGGCTATCACTGGAACCAGTCGGATCACTACGAAGCAGATGATCTCATCGCAACATACGCGTGCGGGGCACAAACATAGGCAATCACAGGGACACCATGGAACACCATCGGACAGCAATTTGTTTCGGGGTATTGACTCTATTTGGGACATGTATTGACACATGTATTGACACATGTCTTTTCCTATTTTTTCCTCATGTATTGTCATGTTTTTTTTCTGTTTCCCTTCGCTGAGATCGGTGTCTGAGGCGGGCGCAGCCCAAAGAGAGAGCTGTCTGCATCGTGTCCACCGACAAAGACTTGCTACAACTGGTGGACGATAAGGCAATGAAACGAATTTGGATACAACATTGAAGGGATTGAAGGGCATCACATCACAATGCATTTTCACCCTGAGTCAGACTGAGGGTGCATTTTTCCGCGATATTCCGTGTAATTTTTAACGATGTGCAGGTGACACTTCTTTCTCCTGCCGGACGGTATGCAACCATGGGCAAGCATGAGGCATAAACTCAGCATTGGCTCAGTGTTTCTGTTCTCCTTTTTTTTCGACCTTTAAGATCTTTAAGCTTTATTGATTGATAGTATTGATATTGTTTGTTCCGTCAGGGCCGTTCTTCACAGATCTTGTGATATCTTGTGATCTTGTTGTGAGCTTTGGATCTTTGTCGTCGGATTCAGGGCTGGCCTGCAGCTGACCAGCTGACAGTCAGCTGACAGGTGATGGAGAAGTGGGGCGTGAGACCTGATCAGATGGGATATCTGATCGCGTTGAGTGTGGGGCTCAACATCCGCAGGACTGTTTTATTCCGTTGATTCCTACGCACCGAGTGTTGAAAGTTCTGTGAGTCCCGAGCGCTCAGAGAGTTGTGAGATGAAACATGTGGACGGCTGTGGACGTGCCAAGTGGGAGACTCTGCAGACGTCATTCCTGGCGCAGGGGGCCTAGCTGGACAAAACAGTTGGACAAACCTAGTTGCTGAGCACAGCCAGCAAAGCACTTGTAAAAAATATGAGATTATAATACTCACAACGACTGTATACCTGCTCCATTCTCCACACTTTGTACTTTCAGTTTGCCAGTGATATGTTCCAATGAAGTATCAGTAACAGCACGCTATTTTTTTTTACTGTACGTATAAAACATATAATTTAAGACATATCATATAAATCACCGAAGGAAGTTTAGAAGTCAAACTTCCGACAATATGGACAGATGGAAAAGCAGAGGTGGGAAGATTCAGAGAAGAGACGAGAAGAAGAGAGAAGATCAGAGTAGAGAAAGAGCCAGAAGAAAGAAGATCCGGTTGCGCCAACAGGTAGGAAAGTCGCAAAACACCGTGTTTTTCCAATTTTGTCGCTCCGGAGGGTCGAAAAGTAGGCTCGCTAAAGCGGCCGGTGCGGAGCCATCTGGGGAGCTGACAAATGAAAAATCGCACACCGTTGTGGCGCGAAGCGCATTTCGAAGTCAAAAGCGTAAAAAACTGACGGATTCGGAGCACTTTTTGATGTTCAGATGTCGTTTTGCGTGGCAAGCGCAAGGGATTCTGCACGTTGCCAAAGGTGAGCAAAACGTGAGGGTTTTGTGGCATTTTAAAGTACAACCACCACTACCCTACACCGCATTACACTACAATCCACTACATTACACTACAACTACAGCTACACCTACACTACATTCCACCACACTACACTACATTACACTACACTACACTCCACTACACTACACTCAATTACTCTACACTACCCCTACCACTACAGCCAGAACTATAATAATTACAACTTCAACTACAACTATACTACATTACACTACCCTACACTTCACCACACCCCACTCCGCTACACTACACTACACTGAATGACACTACACTACACCTACACCTGCAACTACAACTACAACTACATAAGACTACACTACACTAGACTAATTACATTACACTACGCTACGCTACACTACACCACACCACACCACAGTACACTACGCTACACCCCACTCAATGTACACTACTTACACCACACCACACCACGCTACGCTACGCTACGGTACACTACGCTACACTACACTATACTACAACTACGCTACACTAATTACATTACACCACACTACATCACACAACACCACACCACACCACACTACACTACACTACGCCACACTACCCTACATTACATTTTTTTACATCACATTACGTTACATTACACAACACTCATTACACCACCACAAATGCAACTGCAACTACACTACACTACACTACACTAATTACACTACACCACAAGTACCAGTAGTACCGCACAAGGCGGTGGCGGAAGTTTCAAAAATAGGAAACCTATAGGAGAGATTGGTTGTTGTGAATCAGAGATGGCAGAGCGAAGCCACTGATGGACTGAAAGGTGCTTGATCTCTCTCACTCTTTCTCTTTCTTTCTCTGACTATCTACCTACCTACCCACCTACCTACCTATCTATCTACCTATGTATCTATCGATCTATCTATCTCTCTCTTTCTCCCTTTCATCTAATTACCTATCTACCTATCTACCTATCTATCTATCTATCTACCTATCTATCTATCTCTCTCTCTCTCTCTTTCATCTGTCTATCTGTCTAGCTGTCTACCTGTCTATCTGTCTATCTATCTATCTACCTGTCTATCTGTCTACCTGTCTATCTGTGGTGCAGTGTCATTCAGTGTATTGTAGTTTAGTGTAATGTAGTGTAGTGTAGTGGAGTGTAGTGGAATGTAGTGTAGTGTAGTGTAATGTAGTGTAGTGTAGTGTAATTTCGTGTAGTGGAGTGTAGTTGTGTAGTCGTAGTTGTAGTTGTAGTGTAGTGGAGTGTAGTGTAGTGTAATGTAGTGAAGTGTAGTGGAACGTAGTGTAGTGTAGTGTAGTGGAGTGTAGTGTAGTGTAGTGGAGTGTAGTGGAGTGTAGTTGTGTAGTTGTAGTTGTAGTGGAGTGGAGTGTAGTGTAATGTAGTGAAGTGTAGTGGAAGGTAGTGCAGTGTAGTGTAATGTAGTGTAGTGTAGTGTAATGTAGTGTAGTGTAGTGTAATTTAGTGTAGTGGAGTGTAGTGGAGTGTAGTGGAGTGTAGTGGAGTGTAGTGGAGTGTAGTGGAGTGTAGTTGTGTAGTTGTAGTTGTAGTGTTGTGTAATGTAGTGCAGTGTAGTGGAGCGTAGTGTAGTGGAGTGTAGTGTAGTGTAATGTAGTGTACTGGAGTGTAGTGTAGTGTAATGTCCTGTAGTGTATGTAGTGTCTTGAAGCGAAGCGGCATCTGAACCTCCAAAAGTGGTCCCAGAATGGTGTGTTTTGTACATTTTGACTTCAAAATGTGCTTCGCGCCACAACGACGTGCACTTTTTCAACATCTGGACTTCCAAAAGTGGTCCGAACCCCTAGTGTTTTGTACATTTTGACTTCGAAATGTGCTTCCCGCCACAACGGCGTGCACTTTTTCGACATCTCAACTTCCAAAAGTGGTCCGAGACCGCCAGTTTTTAGGACTTTTGACTTGGAAATGTGCTTCGCGCCACAACGGCGTGCACTTTTTCGACATCTCAACTTCCAAAAGTGGTCCGGAGCTGAAGTGTTTTGTACATTTTGACTTCGAAATGTGCTTCGCGCCACAACGGCGTGCACTTCTCGACATCTCAACTTCCAAAAGTGGTCCGAGACCGCCAGTTTTTAGGACTTTTGACTTGGAAATGTGCTTCGCGCCACAACGGCGTGCACTTTTTCGACATCGCAACTTCCAAAAGTGGTCCGGAGCTGAGGTGTCTTGTACATTTTGACTTGGAAATGTGCTTCGCGCCACAACGGCGTGCAATTTTTCATCGCTCCTGTGGCCAGCTGGGTCCGCACCCGCCGCTTTAGCGAGCCTAATTTTCGACCCTCCGGAGCCACAAATCATTGGAAAAACACAGTGTTTCGCGACTTTCCTACCTTTTCTCGCATCTGCATCTTCTTTCTTCTTACTCTTTCTCGTCTACTCTTCTTTCTTCTAATCTTTCTCTTCTCTCTGCCTCTTCCCTGCTCTGCTTTTCATCTGTCCATATTGTCGGAAGTTTGACTTCTAAACTTCCTTCGACAACTCCACTACGCTACAACTACAGCTACAGCTGCACTACACCACACTACGCCCAGCAGTTGCGGGTGAGGTGACCGACCAGGTGACCACTGCAACCCTTGCAACCACTCCAAACACAGCTCCAACCACCTTTCGGTCCATCAGTGGATTCGCTCTGCCATCCGCGATTCACAACAACCAACCTCTCCTATAGGTTTCCTATTTTTGAAACTTCTGCCACCGCCTTGTGCGGCACGGGTAAAAAACATATATAAGTCGATTTCCTAGCATTCAGGTGTTGTCTCGTTACTTTCAGGTTTCATGTTTTGAAGTGCGCAACAGTAACCATAACCCAATATCTGTTCCACAGGGTCTTTGATGTTCTGCCTTGGTGGCACATTTGCACCCACACTGGAGAAGTAATGCGATGTTTCATGTGACTTGATGCTTGTCAGAAACAAGCCAGCTGAGCCGACAGCAATAGGTTTGGCACCTAACCGAGCATTAGCAGAGAATGCAAAACACTTTACACGTCAACCCGCGAAGCATTTCAGCTCACAATCTTTTTGCTCACAAGGGTTTTGGCGTAACCGCAGGCAATCATACTGATGCAATCCTCTCAGTCCTTCTTGGCGCTGGGACATCTACATCCTTGTGGCTATCTTCGTTCTTTGACTGGCACCGGCAACCCCCTGGCACAGGCATACCACCGCGCCCCGGCGCGCCGGCGCCCCGGCGCCCCGGCGCACAGCTCTCCCACCACCGGGCCTTCTTTTAAGACATTTTCTGAGACAAAACATAATATTTAGGAGGCATAGGCTTGCATTTGGGTCTTGGACATGTTGCCTGTGCCTGTGCAGCTGACACCACCAAACTTGCCACACCAGGAACCTGTGGCTGCATCTTTGCTGCGGCATTGCTTCTCCCAAACCAGGGACAGACAAATGCCTTGGACCAACCACCACACAAAAGAAGGGGGATGGCTTTGGCTAAACAACCATCCTTGTTTTTCAACGTCCAAAATGTCCAAAAAAATCGACAGGTATCTGTTTTATTTTATTTTGCACAAAATTCTCGCAGAGATATTTTGCCAAAATATCTTACAATATATTTCGCCACGATACTTTGCCAAAATATCCTGAAAGATATTTTGCCAAAATATTCCGAAATATATTTTGCCAGAATATCCCACCAGATATTTTGCCAGAATATCCCGCAAGATATTTTGGCAACATTTTGCCAACATATCCCACAGGATATCTTGCCAAAATAGCCACAAGGATCCTTAGGAGACAATCTGCATCGCCCTTTTGGGGTCCGAACCAGAAAGTTTCCAGGGGTGATGGTCCGGGTGAAACCATCGTCCCCTGACAGATGGACAAGCTGACAGAGTGAGGTATGCTGTAATCATATCACCCTCGAAAATGTGTTTTAACAGGTTTTCCAAATGCCAGACAGCAAACTGCAACTGTGCATTGCTTTGAAAGCTATCTTTATCCTGGCTGGCCCCCGTTCAGAGGGTGATGGTCCGGGTGAAACCATCGCCCCTGGAAGACTTTTGATGTGAACCAGCAAGGGGTGATGCAGATTGTTTCCTAGATCTTTGTGCCTATTTTGGCAAGATATCTTGTGGGCAAAATTTTGCCAAAATATCTTGCGGGATATTCTGGCGAAATATTTGGTGGGATATTCTGGCAAAATATATTTCGGAATATTTTGGCAAAATATCTTTCGGAATATGTTGGCAAAATATCTTTCGGGATATTTTGGCAAAGTATCGTGGCGAAATATATTGTAAGATATTTTGGCAAAATATCTCTGCGAGAATTTTGTGCAAAATAAAATAAAACAGATACCTGTCGATTTTTTTGGACATTTTGGACGTTGAAAAACAATTATGGTGGTTTAGCCAAAGCCATCCCCCTTCTTTTGTGTGGTGGTTGGTCCAAGGCATTTGTCTGTCCCTGGTTTGGGAGAAGCAATGCCGCAGCAAAGATGCAGCCACAGGTTCCTGGTGTGGCAAGTTTGGTGGTGTCAGCTGCACAGGCACAGGCAACATGTCCAAGACCCAAATGCAAGCCTATGCCTCCTAAATATTATGTTTTGTCTCAGAAAATGTCTTAAAAGAAGGCCCGGTGGTGGGAGAGCTGTGCGCCGGGGCGCCGGGGCGCGGTGGTATGCCTGTGCCAGGGGGTTGCCGGCGCCAGTCAAAGAACGAAGATAGCCACAAGGATGTAGATGTCCGAGCGCCAAGAAGGACTGAGAGGATTGCATCAGTATGATTGCCTGCGGTTACGCCAAAACCCTTGTGAGCAAAAAGATTGTGAGCTGAAATGCTTCGCGGGTTGACGTGTAAAGTGTTTTGCATTCTCTGCTAATGCTCGGTTAGGTGCCAAACCTATTGCTGTCGGCTCAGCTGGCTTGTTTCTGACAAGCATCAAGTCACATGAAACATCGCATTACTTCTCCAGTGTGGGTGCAAATGTGCCACCAAGGCAGAACATCAAAGACCCTGTGGAACAGATATTGGGTTATGGTAACTGTTGCGCACTTCAAAACATGAAACCTGAAAGTAACGAGACAACACCTGAATGCCAGGAGATTGACTTATATATAAAACATTTTGTACACTGTTTCATATGTTTCATGACGGGATGCTAGACCTGCAGACCCAGGTCCCTCGAATTGGCCAAAAGAGAGGTGCAGCCCTCCTTCAGCCAGACCCTCGGTACCCAAAAATCCACATGCAGAAAAGTTCTATGTAGAATGCATGTAGAAAACGGAGACACCAATATATCCAGCGACTTTTCCGAGGCGCTATGAAGATCTGGAAGGCATCATGAAGGCTGCAGAGGCCATCGGGCCCATCAGTTTTGTAGAGTTCCGACTTTATTCTTTTTGCATGTGTTTTGTTTTTTTTTTGCTTTTCAACATGTCACAAAGTCACGAACAGTGTAGTTATTCGGAGATCACCGGAGCAATGTTGCACGGTCGCGTGGTTTCAGGAAGGTCCGTTGGATGTTCCGGGAATCACCGAGCAATTGCGGCAGAATCTCCTCAAGTGCGCCTTCTCGGATGCACCATTTTCAATGGTGTTGTTGCCTTCAAGAGGTTCCAGGACGTTTCGGGAGGTTTCACAAACCACATGCAAAACACACGCAAAACACATGCAAGACACATGCAAGACACATGCAAGACACATGCAAAACACACGCAAAACACATGCAAGACACATGCGCACATGCAACACATGCAAAACACATGCAAAACACATGCAAAACACATGCAAAACACATGAAAACACATGCAAAACACATGCAAAACACATGCAAAAACACATGCAAACCTCATGCAAAACACATGCAAAACACACGCAAAACATATGCAAAACACATGCAAAACACATGCAAAACACATGCAACACACACGCAAAACACATGCAAAACACATGCAAGACACATGCAAGACACATGCAAAACACACGCAAAACACATGCAAGACACCCGCAAAACACATGCAAAACACATGCAAAACACATGCAAAACACATGCAAAACACATGAAAACACATGCAAAACACATGCAAAACACATGCAAAAACACATGCAAACCTCATGCAAAACACATGCAAAACACATGCAAAACACATGCAAAACACACGCAAAACACATGCGAAACACATGCAGAACACATGCAAAACACACGCAAGACATTTGCAAAACACATGCAAAAACACATGCAAAACACATGCAAAACACACGCAAAACATATGCAAAACACATGCAAAACACATGCAAAACACACGCAAAACATATGCAAAACACATGCAAAACACATGCAAAAAACACATGCAAAAGACGTTCAAAACACATGCAAACACAGATGCAGAACACACATGCAAACCACAGATGCAAAAAAACATGCAAAACACATGCAAAACACAATGCAAAACACACGCAAAACACATGCAAAACACATGGCAAAACACATAAACAAAACACATGCAAAACACACATGCAAAACACAATGCAAAACACAATGCAAAACACAATGCAAAACACAATGCAAAACACAATGCAAAACACACATGCAAAACACACATGCAAAACACACATGCAAAACACACATGCAAAACACACATGCAAAACAATCAAAACACAATGCAAAACACAATGCAAAACACAATGCAAAACACATGGCAAAACACATGGCAAAACACATGGCAAAACACAATGCAAAACACAATGCAAAACACAAGGCAAAACACAAGGCAAAACACAAGGCAAAACACAAGGCAAAACACAGGGGAAAACACAATGCGAAACACATGCAAAACACAATGCAAAACACAATGCAAAACACAATGCAAAACACAATGCAAAACACAGTGCAAAACACAATGCAAAACACAATGCAAAACACAATGCAAAACACAATGCAAAACACAATGCAAAACACAATTCAAAACACAATGCAAAACATACACAAATGCAAAACCAACACACATGCAAAACACACATGCAAAACACACATGCAAAACACACATGCAAAACACACATGCAAAACACACATGCAAAACACACATTCAAAACACACATGCAGAACACACATGCAAAGCACACATGCAAAACACACGCAAGACACACGCAAAACATATGCAAGGCACACATGCAAAACACATGCAAAAGACAAAAAACACACATGCAAAACACACATGCAAAACACACATGCAAAACACACATGCAAAACACACATTCAAAACACACATGCAGAACACACATGCAAAGCACACATGCAAAACACACGCAAGACACACGCAAAACATATGCAGAACACACGCAAGACATATTCAAAACACACGCAAGACACACGCAAAACATATGCAAAACACACGCAAGCCACATGCAAAACACAAACAAAAAACATGCAAAACACGAATGCAAAACACACATGCAAAACAATCAAAACACAATGCAAAACACACATGCAAAACACACATGCAAAAAAACATGCAAAACACACATGCAAAACGCACATGCAAAACACACATGCAAAACACACATGCAAAACACACGCGAGACACACACACACACACAAAACACACATGCAAAACGCACATGCAAAACACACATGCAAAACACATGCAAATCACACATGCAAAACACACATGCAAAACACACATGCAAAACACACATGCAGAACACACATGCAAAACACACATGCAAAACACACATGCAAAACACACATGCAAACACACACGCATAACATATGCAGAACACACGCAAGACACATGCAAAACACACGCAAGACACACGCAAAACATATGCAAAACACACGCAAGCCACATGCAAAACACATATGCAAAACACATATGCAAAACACATATGCAAAACACATATGCAAAACACACATGCAAAACACATGCAAAACACACATGCAAAACACACATGCAAAACACACATGCAAAACACACATGCAAAACACACATGCAAAAAACACATGCAAAACACACATGCAAAACACACATTCAAAACACACATGCAGAACACACATGCAAACCAAACATGCAAAACACATGCAAAACACACATGCAAAAGACATGCAAAACACACATGCAAAACACACATGCAAAACACACATGCAAAACACACATGCAAAACACACATGCAAAACACACATGCAAAACACATGCAAAACACATGCAACGCACACATGCAAAACACACGCAAAACACACATGCAAAACGCACATGCAAAACACACATGCAAAACACACATGCAAGACACACATGCAAGACACACATGCAACACACACATGCAAAACACACATGCAAAAAACACACATGCAAAACACACATGCAAAACACACATGCAAAACACACATGCAAAACGCACATGCAAAACACACATGCAAAACACACATGCAAAAAACATGCAAAACACATGCAAAACACACATGCAAAACGCACATGCAAAACGCACATGCAAAACACACATGCAAAACACACATGCAAAACACATGCAAACAACATAAAATAAACACACATGCAAAACACACATGCAAAACACATATGCAAAACACACATGCAAAACACATATGCAAAACACATATGCAAAATACAGATGCAAAACACACATGCAAAGCACATATGCAAAACACACATGCAAAACACATGCAAAACACACATGCAAAACACACATGCAAGACACACATGCAAAACACACATGCAAAACACATATGCAAAACACATATGCAAAACACACATGCAAAACACACATGCAAAACATACACGCAAAACACACATGCAAAACACACATGCAAAAGACACATGCAAAAGACATGCAAAACACACATGCAAAACACACATGCAAAACACACATGCAAAACACACATGCAAAACACATATGCAAAACACACATGCAAAACAGGTATCAGATCTGCACCGTGTGTGCAACACATTGGCAGCATTTCGCATCAGATTCACCGCAGTTTCCTTCGCCGTTTTGGTGTTGACGTCAAGGTACGGGTGGAATGCAGTGGACCTCTATGAGAAGGCCAAATTCATAACGTCGACACGGCAAACTTTGGATCTTCAAGTCTTTTGCATGTGGAAAATTTGAAAATTTTGGATTTTGAAAACATGTTTGAAGACATGTTTAGAATTGTTTAAACAGATACAACACCAAATCAAGCGTTCAACAGCAACGTGCGAACAAAGCTGACTGGAGCAGCTGCAGCTGCTTTTCTGGAGCTGCTGTCTTCTTTTCATCTCCTTCCAAAAACTCGCGATTTTGCCATGTCTTCGCAGTATCTCTTGCTGTTTACTGAAACGGTCCCTCCATTCTGTCTTGTATAGTACGTGGCGATTGTGAGATTGGCAGAATGACCGAGTGACCTGAAAGAGTGTACTTTGCATGTACTCATGTCAAATTGCATCATCGAATCCAGGAACAGGATGCCTTAGAACCTGTTTTATTCTCTCATATTTTTTGTGTAGACAGAGGAGGACCAAGATGAGAGGGATTGCAAAAACTGTTCGGTAGCGACTTCTGCATATTTCGAAATCGGTGATCTTTGGATATTTTTGGATATTTTTGGATATTTTGTTTCATTTTGTTTCGAAATGTGGCAATCTTCGCTGCTCGCTGTCTTTGCTGGGTGTCTAGGTGGTGAAACTGCAGGATGTTCCGCTGGAGGTCCGGACTGCATCCGACCTGCACGGAATGTGCTGCGTCTACCGTTGCCGTTGCCGTTGGCGCCAGGGCCACAAAGGTGCCCTCGACCTCTTGGTGCCAACTCGGGTAGGGAGCACAACAAAAACCTCAGCAGAACAAAAAGCATACCCTCTGGTTATGTCAACATAGCTATTGAAAATGGTGATAGAAATAGTGGATTTACCCATTGAAAATGGTGGATCTTTCCAGTTCGCTATGTTAGTCATTACCAGAGGGTAGCAACAGCAACTTTGCTGCCATGCTGCCATGCTTTTTGTTGGTGCGTCGGACCTCAGGATGGCGCTTGGAGAAGCTCAGGGCTCGGAATCGGGGAATCGTTTGGAATCGCTGTCGATGTTTCTCTACAGGGATGACCATGTCATGGGTCAAATAGCTGGGGAATCTTGATATTGTCATATTGTAGATTTATTTTATATGGGCATACGGGTAGTCAAATAGCTGGGTAATCATATTAGCTGGGGAATCATATTGATAACCATATAATTATCTTGATAACCATATTAGCTGGGGAATCATATTGATAACATTTGACAACCATATTGCCATATTGCCATATTGATATTGTCATCCATTGATATGAGACGGTTACACGGTTACGCCACAAAAGCTCCCAGCAGCGAACTGAGAACGAGTCAAAGAATGGTGCGACCAAGAGGCGCAGCACAGCATGCGGACTGGACAGTGTTGCTGCAGCTGCATATGCTGCAGCTTTGGGAAAGAAATTCATAGATTGAGATCAAGTCAGATCCAATATGATCTAATTAGATCATATTAGATGAGATGTTGGAATAGGTTTGACATGATCTCAACATGATCTCAACTCAATTTTTCACATCTTTCCTTCTCTGCTCGTTCCACTGTCCTTTTTCGAGAGCGTCGAGGCCTTCAAGGACGTCAAGAAGATTCTCCTGGACGGCGCGAGTCGGCCGAGGAAGGCCCTTTACGATGCTCCTCCGCTGAAGGAGACCGGAGGCATCCTGCTGATTTCAAGCGTCAAAGAAGCTGAGCGAGTCAGGGACACCCAGAAACATCCAGAAACCATGGGGGAAATCGAGGATATCGATGTCTATGTCTACCAGTTCTTGGATAAAGGGAGTCCATAGAACACGAAATCTTGGACGTTAAAGATGAGAAATGAAGAGAACTAATGAAGACAAGATCAACGCACATTTTCATTAGCCAGAGTCATGATGAGAATCGTTGATCGACTCGTTAGGTTCTGAAGAGCTTTCCCCAGGGCGAATGCTATGCGGTGTCCCTTCAGGCGAGGCCCTGATGAGACTTGGCCCACCAGTGCCTTTGGACACCCAATGGCCCGCCCAATGGCCCAGCCCACAGCCGTCCCTTGTCGCTTCAGGTGGCGGAAGACAAGCTCAGGTGACTTTTCAAACCATCGGATGTTTTTTTTACATGTAAAAATCATCTGATCCACAATTTGAACCATCGAACAGCTTTTCGAACACCAAAAGAACGGCAAAGATCGAACTCATCGATGTTGGTGCCAGGCCACGTTACCTTTTCATTTATGGAGGTCCGGTGTGTGCGGTTTATCTTAGCTGAAGCAATCACGGTATGTCGACGATATCTCTTGTATTTACCGTTTGTAATTGTCTTAATGGCATTTCATTGTCTATTGTTCCATCTCTCTTGCCTCTTCACTTGCAAGACGGCAACCTTTTCCACATCCATCTTGTCATAATCCAAGTAGGCAAAACTGATTTCAGGCCCAGAGCTAGATGTGGGATGTGTGGGCGATGGCAAGAGAAAAGCCTGCCTCCGAGAAAGTGTCACGGTTCCATGTGCTGCCAGGAAATCAGACTCGCCTTTCGGATTTTTTTGTCGCTTTTCCTCTGGCTTCCCTGCATCAGATAGATGCCGAAACTTTTTGAGCATTTACACACGCTTAAAGAACTTGGAGAAATGCTCATACCATCACATGACAACGGATCTCAAATGCTCGAGCGACGGTATACAAGTCAATTCCGAACTTCAGGTGAGCTTTATTCCACAAAGCGAGTATACTCAGCTTCATTCAACGTATCTTAAAATACCACTTAGTGAAAAGGAAAAGAACTCGTGGTCTCATTGGCCACTCCGGAAGGGTACCTCCGTACCTCCGTGCCAGTCAAACATCTACAACACCCAACTATCCAACATGATCCAAAATGCAGATATGGATTGTTGAACCATGTTGAACCGCTTTTTTGACTAAGATGAAACCGGTGAAGGTGTTCTGGTGGAAACCATCCGTTTCGCATACAATACTCGTGGAAATGGCTCAATTTTTGCTGTGAATCATGCTCTGTCCATCTTCTAGAAGTTGCAACGGAACATCATGGAACAACATCATGGAAGATCACGGAAGATCATGGAAGCAAATTCAGCATAGAGGCTGTTGTGATGCATTTTTGTGAGGTTGTGGTGGACTTCGGAGCGGAGGATTCCTTCAATGTAAGGGGCTGAGTCGTCCACAACGGAGCTCTCCTGCGGCGGATCCTGCGGAAATCCTGGACGGTGCCGTTACTCAGGATGCTTTGGCGGCTGTTTGGTGCCGTTTCTTGTCTGATCCGAACTTCAAGAAGGACCCCATGGCAGATGTTCATGGCTCTGGTACTGTTTGGTAATCCCTTTCCCCTATTACTAAACCCAAACCCAAATAATAAAAAACTAGGGGCCATCTTTTATTTTGGAAAATTTCAGGTTGGCCAATTTGACTTTTAATTGTTCCCCTCTAGAAAACAATTTAAAGACAAAGCTACGATTTGTGGGTTTCGCCCCCTAATAATAAAACTAGTTACCCCGGGGTGTTTATTTTTAGGGTCCGTCCAAAAAAATTAGTTTTGATGTAAGGGTTTTTAATTTAATATTCGGGGGAAGCTTCGACATCCAATTTTTGGCAATTTTTTGAATTGCGTTTTAAAGGGAAATTTAATTGATTTTGAAATCGAAAAATAGTATTTTTTGTTAAGGGTTCAAATTTATTATTAGGGTCTGCTTCGAAATTTAATTTTTGGCAATATTTTAATTGCGTTGTAAAAGGAAATTTAAATGATTTTGAATTCGTTTTTTTTTAATTAAGGGTTTTGATTTAATATTAGGGGGAAGCTTCGAAATCCATTTTTTGCCAATATTTTAATTGCGTTATAAAAGGAAATTGAATTGATTTTGAAATCGAAAAATAGTATTTTTTGTTAAGGTTAAGGGTTTTAAATTATTATTAGGGTTCCCTTCGAAATCTAATTTTTGGCAATATTTTAATTGCGTTATAAAAGGAAATTGAATTGATTTTGAAATCGAAAAATAGTATTTTTTGTTAAGGGTTTTAATTTAATATTAGGGTCTGTTTCGAAATCTAATTTTTGGCAATATTTTAATTGCGTTGTAAAAGGAAATTTAATTGGTTTTGAAATCGAAAAAATAAGGGTTTAAATTTATGATTAGGGTCCGCTTCGAAATCCAATGTTTGGCAATATTTTAATTGCGTTGTAAAAGGAAATTTAATTGATTTTGATTTCGTTTTTTAATTAAGGGTTTTAATTTATTATTCCGGTTCGCTTTGGTTCCCTAATAATAAATACCACCTAATAAAAACTACCTGAGGTGTTTATTATTTTGGGGGGTTAGTATTAGGGGGAAGGGATTACTGTCTGGAACTGTCTGGTAGTTCTCGAATCATCTCGAATCTTGGATGATGAAGACATGACAGAGACAAACGATGCGATACAATGAGATACCCTCTGGTGAACTAACATAGCAATGGAAAGATCCACCATTTTTAATGGGAAAATCCACTATTTCTATGGCCATTTTCAATTGCTATGTTAGTTCACCAGAGGGTATGATGAGACAAACGGGGACAGATGTGCATGGCTTTGTATCGCAGCATTAATGCAGGTGTACCACTGCTTCTCCGAGCTGCGCCGCTGCATGCAGTCCTCTGTGGAGTCAGGCGAATCGAAACTGGTGATCCGTTCCGTTCCGTTTGTGTGTCATACAATGGACCACACAGATACCCTCTGGTAATTTAACATAGCTATTGAAAATGGCCATTTATAGTGGATTTTCCCATTAAAAATGGTGATTTTCCATAGCTATGTTAGTTTACCAGAGGGTATACGAGTCAAACACTTTCACAGCCTGTTTTGGGAGGTGTCGATCTTGCAGCAGGCACCGGTCTCTGCAATCTTTCTTTTTCCTTTTTGTTCGGAGAAAGCATGAAGAATCACATTCCAGCATTTTTAGCCTGGAAGCCCGAAGGCTTGCAGGCCGACACTATGCGAAGGCCTTAGTGTCGCGCTTCTGACAAGGATGCTTTATAATAAATTTATATCTTTTCTAGCAGGGGTACACAGAAATGCGCCAATGGCCCGCCGACACCTGAGGTGTCGCCCTTTTGTGCAAACTTCTTGTGCCTGTAACACCTTGCATCTAAATCCCTTCAAGTCGACATAAAAGATATTCGAAAAAAAATCGGTTGATGCAATGTGGATCGAAGCACTTCACAGACTTCAAACATTCTGAGGCACATGGCTCGCCTCTGGGTTTGGCACTTGGGGCACTTGGGGCACTTGGGGCACTTGGGATGCAGCTGGGCCGCTGCAATTCGCTATTTCCACACCAGGACCCTTCCTTGGAGGAGAAGCGAAGACTGCAGCAGGAGCAAGACGAAGTTGCAGCGTCGAGAATCTCAACCAAATTGTCATTTCCCAACGTTTCCAAATTCGCCACGATTGTGTCACGATTGTCAGCTTGTCGTGCTGAATGTGTTGTTTCCTATTTGTTTCCTTTGTTTCCTTTGTTTCGCCCCTGTGACATTGTCAACTCTTGACGGCAAGACGTCTCAAGGACACGGATGCCTATTCCGTGCAGTGGCTGGCGCAGTACATTCTTGGCCCCACTTGGAGGTGCGATGTGCCAAGATGTGCCAAGATGTGCCAAGATGTGCCAACATGGTCCCAGCATGTCCCACCTACACATATTACGCATGTCGGCAGCATGTGAGTTCAAACCGTGTCCAAGAGCTTCCGACTTGCAGGATGAAGCAACCAGCCGGAAACCCAGAAAAAGGATGATTCAAAATTGCGCAAGTTCTCTCTTTTTTTTGACATTTCATGCTTTGCGTTCGACCAAAGTGACCAAAGGATATATGTAGTGTGGAAGAGTCGTGACAGAAGTGCAGCCACCAGATCCCACCAGATCCCACCAATTTGTCCAAGGGACAGGATCGCCACAGGCTGGGTCATTTTCAGTGTCCTTTGACACGGAACGTCCGATGTTTTTATCAGTGATACCGGAGGGGAAGCGTTTCAACGCGTGTCAATGTCCGGACTGCTGGCTTTACACATCTTTGGACCGTTTCGGAGGACCGTTTGCAAAGCTCTTGCTCTGCTTTCAGGGAAGAGGAGCTGATCCGTTTCAACGCCGACTGTCGTACTTCTCAGATGCCGAGTGCCGTTTGGTGAGATGACACGTTTGATCATGTTTGATCCAGTTTTTCGACGTTTTTCACTGCATCAGGGCTGCATCAGGGTTGCATCAGGGTTGCGTTTTGTGAGGCGCTGCTGGCATCTTTCACCTCCACGAAGCTCTGAAGGACTGCGAAGGGCACGCCCCAGAAATCTTCCATGAAACATGCGAGAGAAACACGTCACCATCGTCACGGAAGGACCTTTTGGAGAAGGACCCCAGGCGCGGGACCGGAGACAGCGGTTCGATGTGGGGCTTCTACGAAGAGCACTGGCAGAGGCCAGGCATGACGTGCAATGACATGCAATGACACGGGCGCAACATGATCAACATGTGAAGTGCAAAACAGCACTTTCTCAACATGGCTTTCAGATGCTTTCAGTGTTGCACCTGTTTTCCATTGGCTTCACCGTACGTCAACGGTGCAGAGATTTCTCCAGTTGTTTGATTGGATTTTCTTGGACACGCGACTCGATGCGAGGCTGGCCAAACTCTTGTCTGACGTCGAGCTCCGTGGAATGCACGTGAACGAGCAAAGGCCTGCTTGGTCCGGGCGACTTGCGCAGTTCACAAGCATGACCAATTTCGTGGACGTTTCTTCACCGTCAAAATTTGTCCCCAGTTGAGCGAGGCTGGCTGAGATCATTCAGGAAGCGGAAACTTTGCAGGAGAAACATCGATCCCATTTCTGCAGCTGGGCCACAGTGGGGCACCAAAAGATTTCGAAAGACGTTCGATGCAGCGGACTTGTCACGGATTGCACACAAGAATTCGAAGAATCGTCCTCGTGTCCTTGTGCGTTGCTGAGGCTTCAATCATGGAGAAATGTGGAAAGGAGGCCAATCTGCAATCTGGATATATCTGGATATAATTCTGGAATATTCTGGATATATCCTGGATGTTCGGATACAATTCGGATATATTTGGAGGAATTCGCCACAGCGAGACACCCAAATGAGGTGTGTTTGGACGCCTTGAACCTGAACTCAGCAGACCAGCTTCGACAGTTGCTCGGAGATGGAGGCAGACTCGACAGATGTGGGCCGGGGATACTGCGCCACATGCGCCACATGCGCCTCTGGACTGAGGTTATTCTTCGGATCAGTCGGTGCAGAGAAGGCCATACAGCCTGTCCCCACCACGTGTTTGTTCATGCTGTTCATATTTCTTTTATTTTCTTTTCAAAGAGACAGCAAATAGATGCAAATAGATGTTTCCAAGTGCAGGAGTTTATTGGTTTGCCCATCACCGACAAGGAGCTAGAATCCTTGCAGCTCTTTGTCGAACTCATGAAACACAACGTGATGATAACGATCCATTCATTCGAAATGTGAAATGAATGATTTTCCGAGCCATTTGATGGCATTTGCGTGAGGAGGTGTGGACACCTTTGAGTCGCGAGGACTTGCGCCACAAGCTGAAACCCGAGCACCTTGGAATCAACGGATCCCAAGCCTAGAGTATGACACATATGGCACACCGCGTCCGAGTGATCTATTTTGACATGTCAATGAATTATTCACGTTTATTCATATTTATTCACAACTTCAAGCTATCCATGGGCTATCCATGGGCTATCCATGGGATCTCGAGGCTTGAGGAGCTTTGCCGCGAGAAGGGCTGCAAGGCTTCACCGGAGTCTGCAAAATCTGAGAAATGTTTCAGACATCTGCAAAACAATGTAAGATCTGAAACATGTGATAACATGCGTGGATTTAGGAGAGGTTTCACCTTTTTCACCTTTTTCATCTTTGAATTCATCTGGCAACCCCTAAGTTGTGCATGTTGTGCATGTTGTGTACGCTCAGATGGGTGGGAAGAAGGAGGAACTCATCGACCGTCTAAGTGGCCTTGAGGAGCAAAAACGGTCAAGTCGAAATCCCCTGGGATCACTCGGGTGATGTTTTTTGCCTTAGATAAAAAGATGATAAACAAATGATAAAAAGATGTAAGTTACGATCTAAGTTACGATTTTTTAGCAGAAATTTCAAGACATCTTGGCACACATTCTAGTGGACACTGCACGCTTAGACTCGCAGATGCAGATCAGAACGGCCAGTGGTAGCACGGGTAACAGCTGTAGCAGCCAAGGTGCAACCAAGATCACATGTCCAAGTCTGTAGCCATGGTGAACAATGGTGAAACAATGGTGAAACCATGGTGAAACATCCGAAAACATTTGAGATAAACATCTGAGATCTTCCCCAGGACCCCAGGCGCAACAAGGCCGGGCCACACTGAGATTGGGACCGCGCATCAGAGAGAAAGTAACCGAAAGTGAAAGGGTCAAAAAAAGGTTCATTTTTTTGGACGTGAAGTAACTTAAGTAACAAGTGAAGTAACACAGATTCCAAGTTCCAAAAAAGGGTCAGACATGTCACATCAAGGTTTTAGCCAAGTTCGTGAGGCAAAAAGGCGAATGATCACCATTCCTGGGCTTGGCCTTCCACATGCTGGACCAGTGACAAAACAACGCGGTCAGCCACAAGTACCTTTGCCAACATTCATTGCAGTCTTTTTTGACAGTAAAGGGCTTAACATGGCTTAAGCCAACATGGCTTAATCAAAAGTTTAGAGGGATTCGAACTGAAACACACATATACAATCTAGGAATCTAGATCAACCGAATCAACCTAGGAAGATTGGCTGATGGCATGTAAAAGGCCATGTGAAAGGCCATGCAACATGATGCAAGCCAAGGTGACCCTTGAGACAATTCAGAGCTTGATGCAGCAGCTTGGAACTGGAAGTGCCGAAGGAAGTGCCGAAGGAAGTGAAGGCGTAGGAGCGTTGTGGCAATGGCGAAAGATCGAGTCGCGTTTGAGCGGCTTCCTGAAACCCTTGCAGTTGGCGTCCTGTGAAGGTCGAGTCTATCCGCAGATCAATTTGAACACCATGACAGGTCGTGTCTCCACTCGAAATCCCAATCTACAAGGAGAACCCACCGGTGAAGGCGAAGAAACTCTGGCAGTGCGAAGTATTTTAGCTGCACCTCCAGGGCGACGACTCTTGGTGGCCGACTATGCCCAGTTGGAACTTCGATTGGTGGCGCATTTGGCCGATTGCCTGTCCATGATTGAGATCTTGGAATCTGGAGGTGACATTCATTCTCGAACTGCCTACAAGATGTTTGAGGAGGTGAAATTGGCCGTGGACCAGGGTTTGGTGTTGCTGGATGAGAGCGATGAGAGGAGCGACGCACAAGACTCAGCATCGTTGGAGCTGGTGAAGGAACACTTCCCGGAGCTGCGGAAAAAGGCCAAGACCCTGAACTTTTCGTTGCTCTACGGGAAAACCAAATATTCCTTTGCCAAGGATTGGAAGATCACAGAGGATGAAGCCCAGGTTTTCATCGATCGTTGGTTTCAAGCATTTCCGGAAGTCAAAGACTGGATGGATCGTGCGCATGCCACCTACCGCCCTGAAATTGCAGGCCCCATGCAGAATTCATAACTGTCGTAACATGTTCCGCCATGTTTCACCATGCTTCGCCATTTTCGGCAAAGTTCGAGACACTTTTGCATTTTCACAGCACCTCATTGTGACACTCTTCTGTCCTATTTTGCCAGGAATACAATTCAGTGCTTTTCCAATTTGGGGATCTCAAAAAGTACGTATTTCAATACAATTCCATGACAAAACATTCCATTTGGGTTGGTTTTGATGGTTTTGGCAGGGTCTTGCGTGCACTAGTTCAAGAGATGGCCATACAACTTCAACATTAATCAACTCAGATCGATGCAATATAACTTGCAACAAGTTGGGTCAGTTTGATCGGACATTCTCACAGTTTCTCATACAGAATTTCGGAACATATCATCATATATGATCATGAACTATCATTCATAGTATAACATATATAACTATCAAAGTGGATATCATATATCATCATATATCATCATCATATATCATATCATAGTATAACATATATAACATACAATATATAACATATATAACATACATAACATACAATATCATATCATCATCATTTATCATATCATAGTATAACATATATAACATCCAGTATATAACATATATAACATACATAGCATACAATATCATATCATCATCATATATCATATCATAGTATAACATATATAACATACAATATATAACACATATAACATACATAACATACAATATCATATCATCATCATATATCATATCATAGTATAACATATATATAACATATATAACATACATAACATACAATATCACATCATATATATCATATCATAGTATAACATATATAACATACATATATCATATCATCATCATATATCATATCATAGTATAACATATATAACATACAATATATAACATATATAACATACATAACATACAATATCATATCATCATATATCATATATCATATATAACATACATAACATACAATATCATATCATCATCATATATCATATCATAGTATAACATATATAACATACAATATATAACATATATAACATACATAACATACAATATCATATCATCATCATATATCATATCATAGTATAACATATATAACATACAATATATAACATATATAACATACATAACATACAATATCATATCATCATCATATATCATATCATAGTATAACATATATAACATACAATATATAACATATATAACATACATAACATACAATATCATCATCATCATCATATATCATATCATAGTATAACATATATAACATACAATATATAACATATATAACATACATAACATACAATATCATATCATCATCATATATCATATCATAGTATAACATATATAACATACAATATATAACATATATAACATACATAACATACAATATCATCATCATCATATATCATATCATAGTATAACATATATAACATACAATATATAACATATATAACATATATAACATACAATATCATATCATCATCATATATCATATCATAGTATAACATATATAACATACAATATATAACATATATAACATACATAACATACAATATCATATCATCATCATATATCATATCATAGTATAACATATATAACATACAATATATAACATATATAACATACATAACATACAATATCATATCATCATCATATATCATATCATCATCATATATCATATCATAGTATAACATATATAACATACAATATATAACATATATAACATACATAACATACATAACATACAATATCATATCATCATCATATATCTTATATCATCATTTTCTCCGGGGTGATATGCGAGGCGTGGAGGGCACCACCTTGGGCACCATCTTGGGCCGATTCCGTCGGCTGCGGGGCCCTCGCCACCGGGCGCTTCGCGTCGCAGGGAACACTCCGGTGCAAGGCGAAGGGCGGGGCCGAAAAGGGGCCATCATATGGAGAGATAGATGGAAAGATGTATGATATATAGATTATATAGGAATTTAACATAATTTAAAGGAATTTAACTTATCATGTCTCAGGTTTCATTTGGAGACATGAGCAGCAAATGATGATGGCACCATGTTTATGGGTGTAGTCAGCTCGGGCAGGTAGTGGTGCTGATGTGGTGTTGAGTGCTATGGTGAAGGCAGAGGACAGCGTGCTGTTGCAACGCCTGGGCTTTCAGACAGTGCTGCAGATCCATGACGAGTTGGTGTTGGAGGGCCCAGAGGACTCAGCTGAGGAAGCCCTGGGTGAATTGGTTCGAATCATGGAGGACCCCTTGCCGTTCAAGCTGAAAGTGCCACTGAAAGTGGATGCCAAGCAAGTTCAGACTTGGCAGGATGCCAAAGCATGAGCTAGCATATCTAGCATGAGCTATAGCCAATGACAGCAATTGTGCGAATTGCTGGACGTGCATTGCCGAATTTGGAGAATTATCTCCAACAGCCCAAGAGGCATGCAAGAGGCATGCAAGAGGCATGCAAGAGCCATAGTGAGTTACAATGAGAAGTCATGAAATTACCTTGCGCTCTGGGGCCCAATTTGGGCCCTGAATGGTGCAAGCGTTGTGCAAAATTCACGAAGAAGATGAGCTGCAGTTTGCAGCTTTTGCAGCTCCAGCTGCACTCGAATTGTGGTTCTGGCCACATTCCCTGTCATTCCCTGTCCCACAATGACCTTTAAACTTTAACGATATTTTATTGTACAGGTAGGTTAGTAGGTCCTGGTGTCGAATTCTGCATCAAATGATGTCTGACAACCTTGTGCTCGAGATGGTGAGCGAAGAAGAAAGATGCTTGAGACAGGACACAAGACGAACATCTGACGAACATCAACGACATCTTTCGATCAAACTGCGTCCGGAAGTCGGGCCATCTGTGCACCGAATAATGTGTTTTGCACGGCTAGACCAATTCCGCAGCCACTGCTGGGCTTTTCGTAGGGCTGTGCACCGCGAGATGTGGTCATGGCGGGTTCAGAACGAGGCTCCTTCAGTGAATCTTGCAGCATTCACAGTCGACATGAGTGACATTTGTTGATGTCAATTGACATCCCTTCACTTCTTTCACTTCGTAAAAAGATGGAGAAGTACGGCCCTGGGAGTTTTGCAGGTTGTCCTGAACTTCAGGGCTCTCAGCTTCTGTGGACACATGAGGCCGTTGCGTTGGACATTTCAGTTTTCTGCGCGGTCCCAACGGTCCCAATCGAATCTGAGGCGTGCTCCTGGACTGCGAAGTCGGCTGATTATCGGGCACTGCAGGAACTGGTACCGAACTCAGCAATGGCTGGCCGCAATGGGCCCTAGCAGCGGCTAGCACTGAGCAGACTGGTGCTCACACAATGAAAAACATATGGTCCAAAGCCATCGTCCAATTCTGGTCCAATGCCAGATATCCCAGGCCTATGTGAATCATGCAGGAGTTCCTGTTGAGTGCGCTGCTGAGTCGCCGAGATATACTTTGTCATGATGACATGGTTTGTCCATGTGCCATAGATGAAAATATCTCGGCAAGCAGTGGCAAGCAGTCGCTAGTCCCAGTTGGCGGAGACGAACACACCTCTGACATATTCAGAATCCTTGGAGTCGCATGGCATATCATGGCATCTTGGTTTCTGCATGTTTCTGTCGGTGTCAGTTGCGTGAGGTCCATCTATGTCCTGATGACGGTCCGGTGCTCAGACCTCACCCTCGAAGCGAAACAATGCAGAAAACACAACGAGAATCAACGGAACGGATTTGTCGGATCTGTCGGATCTGTCGGAATTGAGGCCTTTCCGTTGGTTCTCATGGCGCACCAGTCCTGCGGCCCACTTGGTACGCCGGCTCCACCTTTGGCCAAAGCGCTTTGGGATACCGTGGTAGTGGTGCTGCCATTGTCGCAGCCCCAGTGCGAGGATCGGAGCTGTCGGATGATCTCATCTTATCGCAGCTATTGGATTGCCAAATTGCTATCCAAACTGCCAAATTGCTATCCAAATGTTCTCGATTTCGACAGGACCTTTCATTTCTCGGCGCATTTGGAGCAGCCTTTGTTGCTTTTGCTTCTAGCGACATCCATCCTGGAGTTGAGGAGGCCAGGCCCCATAAAGGCCCCGTGGGGCCCCGGCCCCCCCTGTGCCGGTTGTCACAGTTGCAGGTGCTCCAAAGGAGGACTTTCTTGGCAGGTGAAGTCCTCAGAATGCCACGATGCGATAAGGTCCACATGGTCCACCCGGTTGTGGCATTTTTCTTTTGCAAAAAGAAGGGAGAACATGGAGAACCAGGACACGGATGAAAGTGGAAGTGACGTAGATGAAATCATTGACATTCTCAATCACTCTCACTCCATACAGATCACACAAGACATGGACCTGAAAACGGATTGAAAACTGTTTGAGTTTGAAGGATCTAAATCTAGGGCCTCTAGGGCCTCTAGGGTGATTGCTGTGACGGGAACGGGGCCCGAGGCAACGTTTAGTTTGGACAACGATCGCTTGCGCTTTGTGTCTGAGTACCGGGCTTTGGTCGCTTGCCTTGGTCCAGCAGATGAACAAAGAGAGAAGATCTGAAATGAATTCAACTCATTACAGTACAAAACAAAAAAACACGATGATATACTCTACTACTATTATTATTATTGTTATTATTATTATTATTTATTATTTATGATTTATTATTTAATATTTAGCTATTATTATTGTTGTTGTCATTATTATTATTATTATTACTATTATCATCATTATTATTATTATGATAATCATAAATGAATATCATGTCTATGATAAATCTGAAAGACATCTTGTTTCAAACATGACGAACTATGCAGCCCCCTGTGGCATGTCGTGAGGTCATGATGTCCACCTGCGTTGCCATCTTGGCCGTACCTTGGAGACACGAGAGCCGTCGAGCCGTCGAGTCGTCGAGACACGACCAGTTACTCACACGGATCAACGGATCGATTTCGGAGTTCGATTCAGGTGGACTTCTCTTCAGTTTTCTCACGAGCGCAAGCGAAGACGGAAGAGTCAGATGCACAGTCAGAAGCAGGAGTTCTGACACAGGATGGCATAGCTGCGGCATAGCTCTCTGGTGAAGTTATGTTTTAGACAGAATCTCTGTTGAGCTTTGGCCCTCAGTCATTGATAATCTTTGGATGTCGGGCAGTGAAGTTGCCCAGGTTCGGCTACTCACTGATGGACGTGGGCACTGGCAGCATCATCTTCTCCAGTGGAGTGCCAGACTTATGGCATCTTATGGCTAAGAAGTTCAACCGAGAACCTTGATGCCCGGATGAGCTCAAACATTCCTTAAGAGTACTTGGCGAGGTCTGCACGATGCCAAAGCGAGGAGGTGCCTCACGTCACTTGGCGATGAGATGCGATGAGCACATTGTGCAAGCTGCCAAGTCCTGCCAAGTCCTGCGATGTCCTGCGATGTCCTGCCAAGTGAACATGATTCAAAAACACTATTCAGAAGGGAGGCCTGGGCGTGGCGGCCATGACAAAGTCTTTCTGGGTCTCATCTCACATATCTATACAATTCTATACATATCTCACATTCTCAGAGGTCTCTACAAGATCATGAAGCTTTGGTGCCAGCCTTGGTGGCGTGTGGCGACGTGAAACAGTGGCAAATGTGGCAAACGGTGCCATCCCACTGGTCGCAACGGTCGCAACGGTCGCAGCGTGGCCCTAGGCCAGTGCTTCTGATTGGCTTCGTGCGCGCAGCCCTGATGTGGGGCATTGCCTGGACCACAGCGAAGCGATGCGAAGCGGTGACCGTCCATTGCAGGGGTTGTTTCCAGTGAAAGATGTGGAATATGGTACTTGGCGTCTGAGGATTACCATGTACCACCTGGCGAATATGGTTCAAGACTTGGCGAGAGCAGTGCAGTGCTTTCACTTACGGGTTGAACTACAGGCCTTTCATTAATCATTTTTAGACGTCGCCTGCCAATCGCCACTGACAGGGTTAAGTTTAATGATGTTTAATGTACTTGTAGCATTTTGATCCGCTTTGTAGCTTCAGTGAGGCATTCATTGGAACTTTTTCTTCACCATTGCCGTGATCAGTTTGGTCTCCACTGCGACGGACCGAGTGGGACCGGGACCGAGTGGAACTGTGGTGGGACGCTGACGCCGTTGGGATCTGCAGGATCTGTCTGCATTGGCTTCTGCGACCGCTGCTTCTCTGGCGCTTGGAGCGTACCAGTCATGGACTTAGCGCTTGGGAATCCATGCTTCAGTGCGACATAGATGTGCTATTCGGTGTTCGTCATAAAATCAGGTTTAGTCTCTGTGTCCGAAAAGCTGTTTTAGTCTCTTTATATCTATTTATCCACTTTGGTCCATCGCAATTTCGGGCGGCACGTGCTACGAATGAAAGCATATGCAGAATAATTACAGAATAAGAGGCAACATCACTCAGTTAGAGATTTGGAGAGAAGATGTTGAAACTGGCACAGCAGGTTCTATCTCAGTTGGCTTGGAGGAGTTGTGAAACAGAGATTCAGTTCTGTTGGGAGGCCCATAGCAAAGATGGAGATGGAAAGATCAGCGGAAGTCACTCCACAGCTGAACGGATTTTCCAGGAGCCAATTTCGTGCTTCATGCGGAGCGCCTTGGGCTTTTCACGGCCAATCGGGAAGGCATTTTGAGTTCCGCAGGATATTTGAGTCCGGCCCTCAGCTCGGAGCTCGGAGCTGCACAGTTGGGCTGTGGCCTTCATCAAAATCAATGCGACGCGACCTGCACATGCATTCTATGCATTCTATGATATATATATATATACAGATTATGTATATTTATATATGATTATATACAGTTCATGCTTCAGCTTCATTCGGCTTCGAGGTCTTCATTGGTTCGGCGTTGCAGTGGGTTCCACCTTGAGGACACTTGAGCATGTGGCATGTGGCATCATGTGGCATACCACCACATTTGCCATGTTTAGATTGTTCAGAGTTGACGTGTTTAAAACAGGAACTCTGGGGCTCTTCGTTGCGTGCTGCAGCCCACTGCACAGCTGAAGCACATGTAGCATAAAAAAAAATGAAAGCAAAAACAGTAGCCTTGCAAAGCTCTTGAGTCATCTTGGAAGCCATGTTGGCAGCTTTCTGGATCCGATGTAGATGAGGCTTTTCTTGCTGGCTGCAGCAGGGTACTTCGTGAACCTGACGCTTTCGTTCGCTGGACTGGAAGCGTTTTAAGCCTAGACTGGAAGACGGAAGATGTGTGAAGATGTTACATTAGAATCATCAGACGTTAGATTCGAGGACCGAGCCAGCAGGGACTCCGCAGGGACATGGAGAAACACCACAATGACAAACAATGACAAACGCGATGACAAATACGATGACAAATACTGATTGAATAGCCTTTCAATCTACACAGCGGGATGAGGTCCAGAAGAATGCCGCACACTGAGACCTTGATTTCGAGAGATTTCTAGCACTTGTACGGTGCCTTTGAAAGTTCTCTCGGAAAGGGATGAAGCACATGATAGCACATGATTTCGGCATGATTTCGGAAAATGATTTTGGCACATTGCCAGGCACAGAGTTGTTTTCTCCAAGTTCCGACGTGAAAAACGATCCGTTTTTCACTGAAACAAGTAACGAGGTGCAACTTGCCCTACGTTCTGTTCACCGTGTCGCTGAACGCCTGGGTGCTGGCGCTCCTGGGCTCCGTGGACCTTTTGGCTGGTCGCCCGAGGCGTTGGGAAAGCGTGTTGAAGCAGTGACAGTCTATGTTCATCCAGCAAAATGACTAAAATGCCAAGGAATAGATACTTATAATTTATAATTTATGTTAAAATAAGTTGTGCACTTGACACTTAGTTGGTTTCTCAAATTTGTCATCTTTGTCCATCTTTTTCGAAACAAACTCCGCAGTTTTTCCTACAGATCTCTCCAGATTTGTTTGCGCCAGGACAGCCATGTCCCTCAGCGTTGCTGGAGCCAAGAGCTTAGCCGGCCTTGGCCCCCAAAGTCTCCAAAACGGAGTCAAAAACGGACCAAGGTCTCCGAGTCTCCCAAAAAATCATGCAGATTCCACACCGCACGTTAGGTGCAAGACTCCATGCTGCCGGTCTTCCTCTTTGCGAACCTCCTCACAGGTGTCTCCAACTCAGCTCGCCTCAGCTAACCTCAACCATGGCCGTCCGATTCACTGCATGACATCATATGAATTCATATGACATCATGTGACATCATGTGATATCCTATTACATCCATGCTCCATTGATCTGTCAATTCCAACTTGATGCTAAAACTTAAGATATTTTTTCTTCAAGACAGCCCTTGAAAACCACAAGTAGTGATTGAAGTTGTTGTTTTGGCGTATGTCGTTTTCAAGGGTGCGTGGGTTATCCAGTCCACAAACAGAGACTTTCTTCACACGCTAAGAGTTGAAGATCCGTAAACCGGAAGTACAATCCTACGAGAAAAACCTTGCAGAAAGACACCGCATTCAAAAAGAGGCCTCAAGACACACTTCAACGCAATTTTGTCAGCCCTGCTACTATATGATACTATATGAACTTCCAAACACATCCACAAGATTCTATTCATCCACCATAGTGATCATCGATCCTACAAGATAGTAGGCATCGTATGCATCGTATGCATCATGATTTCACAATGACGCAGAATGAATCATGAAATGATAATGATTCGTAATGATCATGATATGTTCATTATGTTCATGTCATAAAATCATTTTTCATCGCCATCCCTTCGCCATCTCCACTGCACTAGCCACGTGTGCCACGGCATCAAGGCGGTGAATCTGCTTCTGCAGCCCTTGATGGTGCCTTTCTGGCCAGAGCAGACCTCATTTCGTGAAACAGACGAAAAACTCACATTTCGAGCAGAGCGAACTGGCTGGCGCCAACCCAACAACCTGGCCATGGGCACAGGGCAACCACCTGGCCTGGCTGAAAACCGACACCATCTGAGGCGATGGCAGTGATGTTTGGCTACTGCTTGCTTTGGCATTAGCCTCAGACCTGGCAGACCACCTGGCGTAGCTGCAGCCAGGGCGTAGCCCGGTGACCGAGGTCGGTTCCTGCAGCCATGCTTCGCATGAAGAAGAAGAAACTGAAGTTCTGGTGAAGTTCTGGTGATTCGGAACCTTCGGACTTTCTTCGGACTTTCTTCGGACTTTCTTCGAACGCTTCGTGTGATCCTTCGTGTGGTACGCCCTTGACAAGCTATGCCGAAGTGCGGCAAACAACTGGGGGGAAGAGCCGTGGAGGTGTTCCAGTTCCACAAGTTCGGGCTTCAACTGGAAAGATTGGAAAGTCCCCTGCAACATGATTCCCGTTCTAAGGGGATGGAGACGAAGGAAAAGTCGACCGCGACTGCGATGCGCTACGATTTAGCATGTTTAGCATGATCTCTGATTGGCGGACAATCCGATGCCATAGCCACATTAAGCCCAAGGAATCTCCACTCATTTTGATCGAAATGAGAAACAATTTGTTAAACAATTTGTTAAACAATATCTTGCGTTGCCTGGCTCCCTGTAGCTGCTGACGCCAGCGCCAGCGCCAGCTGAGAAAACTGAGAAAAGGTGGAGTGACTCGGTGACAGATCCTGCAGTCAATTTTCATGTCAGATTCTTGGAGGTTGATGCTGTGCTTTTTTGCACAAATCTTATGGCTGAGATGAGCGTGGGCTTTGCTCTGTAGATCTCTGTAGACTCTACATGTCCAAGCTTTGATCAAAGGAATCAAATGGAATCAAATTGGTGGCTGGTGGCTGTTTCTGCATCCGGGCTTGGCTCAAGTGATATAGACTTGGTGCATGCAAGCTGCACTTGCAGGACTCTTTGACATACCTTCACGAGCTTCTCAATATATCTAAAGGTCCTTCCAAACCCTTCAGCTAACGCGGATTCTTCACGAGGGTGTTCGAAGGCATTCTGTGCACGGCAAAACATTCCATGCAGAGTTCTGTACTGATACTGTCAGGACAGTGCAGATGTCTGACGAGTGTCCAGGCTGCACTGAACTCCAAAGATGACGAAATTCGTTTGCCTTTCTGAAATTTCTAAAGCCTGTGTACGGCTTTCCAAGTCGTCATCCCGGTCATCCTGCATAGTTTACATATTTTTTACATATGTTTATTACATATGTTTACATCCATTATCCATTTCTCGCATCAAACAACCCTGCAACAAATTGTCAGGACTTGAGGTCAGCTCGTCTGGGTGATTTCTGACACCTTGTGCACCTTCCAAGGTGGTGCACCATCGAAAGCGACCCGGGCGTCTTTACGCAGCTCTGTGAGGCACAAATTGACCACATGAATCCACATGACACAATACATTGTGAATACATGACATGTGAATACATGTGACATGTCTCATATGTTTTTCTGTGACAGGTTCCTCCAAGTTGCAGAGACAAATTGTCTCTCTGATTATTTTTGACAAGCATCTCGTTCAACAACTTGAAGTTGTTCTCCAGCAACGCCAATGCATTTCAAGGAGATCGGAGTTAAGGGCGTGCAATTCGAGGCCTGCAAACGTTCCTCACAGTTTGACACAGTTCAGCACTTCTTTGCACATCCAGGTAGACTTTTGAAGCTATGCGAAACCAGATTGACATGCCGTTTTTGTTTGTTGGTTATATCGTCGAATGGTGGCCAGGAAATCTATAGCTTAGGGCCTGAAGCCTTTGCAGACTTGGAGGTACCGAAGTGTTTTCCCAGTGTTCCATGATGCATCAGTTGATGCAGTTGTCAGTTGCAATGGGATGGTTCCAGCATGTTCCACTGGTCATGTCCCATTGAAAGGCAGAGAAAATCTATGGCCTCATCTTCCTGTTCAAGTTGCCTGGCGTCTGCAAACCGCTGGTCGAAACGGTCGAGATTCCGATGATTCTCAGAATGTTTCAGAGACATGTGTCGTGTTTCAGAGCTATTCACTACAGTCTATGTAGTTGCCATGGAGCTATGTTGAAAGCTTAAGAAACATCGAATCTTAACCGACTCTCAACCGACTTTCAACATTTATTCAACATGTTTCATATTTTTCCTCCGCTTTTTCGATGCAGATTTTCTCACATGCTCTGAGGTGGCAGCGCGAGGCAGATCCCCGTCCAACCCTGGAGGCTTCCGAGCTGGGGATTTTCTTTGCGCAACAGGCGCGGAACCACGGGGCTGCGGATGAGTGGCATCCCAAAACATCCCAAAACTGTTGGGAAATGATGGTGGATGATGAACGAGATGAACGGTAGATGAACGCAGATGCAGGTAATTCACAATGCCTGTGCGACGCAAGTGGAAAGCTCAACCTTTGCAAGTCAAATGATGCAGCATTTGATGTACAAACTGTGCAAGTTCCTTGCTTTCATTCCCTAAATTCTCACGGGTTTTATGACCTTTCATGATTTTTATTTAGCTAGGTTCAAGATAGGTGGTAGAGGCCTTAAGTAAGATCCAAACATGTCTGGTACGTACGGCTGGTAGGTTTGGTTTTCTTGGTACGGTACGGTTGGTACATGTGGTACGGTACGGTTGGTACGGTTGGTACGCTTAGTAAGGTACGTTTGGTACGCTTACCAACCGTACCGACCTTACCAACCGTACCAGTGAACCGTACCACCGTACCGTACCAGATTAAGGGGGGCATTGGTACATCCAAAACGCCCCCCCCTTGACCCCCCCCTTAATCTGGTACGGTACGGTGGTACGGTTCACTGGTACGGTTGGTACATGTGGTACGGTACGGTTGGTAAGCGTACCAAGCGTACCTACCCAAAGCGTACCAAGCGTACCAAGCGCACCAAGCGTACCGTACCAAGCGCACCAAGCGCACCAAGCGTAGCGTACCTATCTTATAGCTGGATATCAAGCACCTATCTTGAACTTAGATAAATTTTTATGGTGATTGTTTGTTTCATCCGATGCAGAACTCCATGTCAAGTTCGCAGGATTCGCCCTTTGGTATCTTCTAAGGCCATTCTGTCAGCGCTTCTGAACGCAGAGAAACTAGATGTGGGGCCAAACCTCACCAGTTTCAAGGAGAAATCCACAGCAGTGGGACCGCCAGATTTGATGAGATTTTTTTCGAGTGCGCGCTTTTTTTGGACTTCGATGTTCCTTTCTGTTCGATCATTTCGATATTTTCATGTGCAGCTTCAAATTGAGATCATTTCAGACATCTTGTGCAAGATATATGCCGTGTATACCATGTGTATTCCGACCCCGTGCCGAGCCGAAGGAGTTCACAATTGGCCTTGACCCGCAAATGAAGGGCTTGGCCATTGGCAACAGCGAGCCCATTCGCAAGGCGCAGATATTACCGGCTACGACTTCTACGACTTTCACAAATTTCAATGGGTAACATCCAGATTGCAACCGATTTCAGCCGATTTCCCTTGTTTTCGAACGTTTCCGAATGTTTCTGAGGAATCCACCTTTCAGAGTCCTACTGTGTCCTACTTAGGTCCTACTTAGGTCCTACTTAGGTCCTACTTAGGTCCTACTGAGGTCCTACTTGTACCTGTCTTATTCTTATCTGTCTTTGTTTGTGCTCAGTTTGCGTTTCGGAATCTGGCGCCAGGCTCACAACTCCTTCCGTCAGCAGTCGTCCTTTGAAATTGTGCATGACAAGGCTGCGACGGCTGCGACTGTGAAGTCTGGGGTCTTAAGAATTGAAGAAATGAGATTAAATGAGATTAAATGAGGAACTGATAGGAACTGTGCTTAAGTGTCAATTGCATTCAATTGTGCCAATTGTGTCAGTTGTTCCAATCGTGTTTGAACTCCGTGATCCTTTGGAGATCCAGAAGAATCCTCTTGATGTCGATGTTGATGTCCGGGATGTCCGGGATGTCTGTGTCAGATCGTGCCAGGATGAAAAGGGCGATGCCTTCCACTTTGTTTGTTACATTTGCCATGAAGGAAAGGTCTATGAACTGGATGGTCAGAGCCTCAGCATCCTCCGAGCTGGACACCACCATCCGGCATGCGACAGCACTGTGACAGCACTGTGACAGCACTGTGAGGTCTGAAGGCTGGCCCGGTCTTCATTGCAGATGTGCCAGCCGGCACCAATTGGGCAGACAAGGCGGGGGAAGAACGGGTGCGTGGATGATGTGGGAGTGATTCACAAGAACCTCCAATATTCCAATACACACCCGAAAGTGATCTATGTGAACGTTTTTGAGTCTTGATTTGGTGTCCTCCTGGTGAAGAAACTTGTGATTCTTGGTCCAAAACACTGTTTCCCATGGGTATTATTTACATTTATTTACTCTGTTGCGTATGTTGCGATTCTTATCTCAGCATGGCTGAACTGTTTCAAAGTTTCTTACCTTTTTTCTTACCTTTTGCGACTTCGAGCCGAGTTCTTTGATCCACAGACTTGGGCATCTTGGGGTGCGGGTGAGGCACGTGAAGAACTGCAGAGGCGAATAGAGGCGTGGCATGCTGCGATGTTTCTGGGTTTCTGGTGGGTCAAAGAAAACACTCCAAGACTTGCCATATATTCACGAAATGGGGGGAAGGCATCCCGGGTTTGTCCAAGAATTAGGCACCCCCCAAAATCCACAGGTTTAAGACCACAGTTTCTGGACACAACCATTGCAGTCATTTCATGTCATTTCCATTAACTTTCAATGTATTGATTCATATTCCAGCCATATTTTGCTTCAGAAAACATCAACGACATGACAACGCCGTAACGCCATGGGGGCGGCGAGGCCTACACGCAGAAGACCGCGGCTTCAGGGGCCGAAGGGGCCGAAGGGGCTGCCGAGCCCGTGCCCCGGATCCGATGACGACAACTGCAACAGGAGTTCGTTTTTGAAACACATGGAAACACCAACCGCAGATGTATTAGTTATAACCTATTATAACATGTTATAACTGATATGATATGAATTGATCAGGAAACTATAAACCACATCATAAAGCCATGAAGTCCTGAGAGCTGCTGATTATAATAATTATGAAGTATCATGAAGCCAACAATGACAAAAAATGACAAACATATTTGCTACAAAAGCCTTGCCATCCATCAAAGTCTACATCAAAGTCTACCCAGGCTGCGCTTCAATTTGATGGCCATTGTCGCCAATCGCCTGCACGAGGTGCGGTCCGGTCCCAGCAATCCCAGCGGTCCCAGCGGTCCCAGCGGTTCTCGAAGCTCTGAGAAAAATCAGGCCGAGAAGGACATCGCCAGAGCTCGGTGCGGGCCCGAAACCGGTCGATACGGAGTCGATACCACCAGGAAACGAGATTTCCATCGTTGCTCTTCGTTGCTCTTCGTTGCTCCTTGGATCTCACCGCCGTTTTCAGGTTCTTGCGACATCGCGCCCACATTTCGTTGGTGTCAAGAGATGAGGCATCTTAAAACGGGCTGGCTGTTCAGAGAGGATGTCTTTGAATGGTCTCCATGACTCTCCGTTTGTCTTGCGTGCTGACAGGTTAGTTCCGCGTGTGTTAAAAGTTCACTTTGCTCACCTAGATTCGAAGGGGTCCAGAAAAGTCAAATGAGTTTTCCATAATGAGAAGCTGTTGAAACAAAATCCAGAAACAACATCAAACAACCCATGTGCACTGCAATCTGAGCACTCTGTGCACTAAACTGTGCACCCTGTGCATTCAATAAGTCTACAGCTTGGAGTTAAACTTTACAGCTTGTGATACTGCCCCCTGCGGTGAAACCTGCTGAAACCCGGTGAGACCGGTGTCAGGAAGTGGAGCTGCTGGATGAAGTGGATGATGACGATGCACCCGCAGACATCCCCAGCTTTGAAGATCTCCTGGAAAAAGAGGCCTATCTGCTCTCGTGAAGCATAGATTTGGACCATTTCATGGTAAAAACATGCCAGCAACTGTAGGGGTTGGTTTTCCCACATTTTGTTGGCCACTTTTCCTGTGCTTTTCCGAATGCCATTTGACATGTTTTGACATGTGAAATGTGCAGATCCCCGCTATCAAAGCCATTGTGGAAGACTGCACCAAGAAGATCTCGGAGCTCAGCCCGGTGGTTGAAGTGGCCAGGCAGCAGACGTTTATAGTCATAGTCCCTTTGCAAAGAAAGACAGATTGAGATATATTGAGATGATTAATTTATTGTCCTCGCATGAATTCTCCAGATTGACAGAAGACTTCAAGGGATGAGTATGATGAGTCCATGTTTTTTTCTCCTTCGTGACACCCTTTGTGCCGGTATTTTGGTTCCAAGCAGCTAGTTGTTGCGAGGCAGGAAGACGGGCAAAGATAGGTAAGAGAGGGGGCATGGGTAGGTATAGGTAAAGATATGAAAACAAATTTCCGGGGTAAAAGGATTGAAGTGCCATAACGCGTAGAACAGGGGCCTTGCGCTCTGTTGCACCTTGCACCTGAGGCCGAGCAGAAGAAGCGACAGAAGTGGATGAAGGCATGACCAAGGGGAAAGACCAAGGGGAAAGACTTGGGAGCCGAACTGTGCCAGGAGAACAGCTTGCGGCAAGCTGATCTCGTTCCGTTGGCTCTCTGTGCCATGCGGCACCTGGCTCGAAAGGGTTTCCAGCTCAGCTTGCCATGAACCTCAATGCCGAATTCGTTGCCCATCGTCACTTGTTGAATTCGGTTTAACGGGGGGAACACCAAAAGTAAGCTGATGCCCTGCTTTGTTCTTGACCTCAATGGTTTCTCATACGAAATAAGCATGAGACAGGTGTGTGTGTGTGTTTGTCTGAAAACGTTAACAGAAGCTACGCTGTTTCATTTTTGTTCATGTCAACTGCACAATTGGACCATGCTCAGGCCAATTGGTTGCAGCATTGGAGAAGGGCAAAGAAGTACATCAAAAGCGCATTGAGCCGCCCTTAGTAGATCCTGGTAGGCTCTAGCATCTTGAAACCTCCATGGTGGTGTTTTGACTCCTTCCTTTCCATGACCGAAAAAGCATGGACACGTGGTCATGTGAAATCAGAATGCAGCTCGACCTACTTTTCTGCAATTCCTTCTGTTGATTCTTGGAGCACAATCTAGGTCCCATGTACTGTGGCTTAGGCCGACAAGCAAGCAGCTTCTGCTTGAGCAGAGCAAGAGCGAGAGACGGTCCAAAGAAGTTCGGACCACGCTCCATGCCGTGCCCAAAAGAAGCGTCTCCACATGCACTGCGGCACTGCGTTGGTCACTGAAATGCCGTCAGCCATTCAGCCAGTCAGGGATTCACATTCGTCAAGCAGTCCCCCAATCAGTGAATCAGTGTGACCAAGCGATCCACCTCGTCCGTCAGTCAGGCAGTCAGTCAGGATCCTTCCCTTCCAAGGGCCTTCCTATAAGCCCTCTCCTTTGGAGACTTCCACCACCGCCTTGTGTGCAGGAGTAAATTGCATGTCAGAATCTTTGGAGCGGAATCCGCCGTCAGGGATCAGAATCTCTGACTCTGGATCAGCGTCAGAGATGTATCCTGCATCAGCGTCATGGATCAGCATCGGGATGGTTGTGATGGTCGGGATGGCTGGGATGCTTGGGAGGGTCAGGCCGGTTGGGACGTTCAGGATGGGACGGTCGGGATGGCTGGGACGGAGGACGGTGGGGACGTTTGGGACGGGCTGGCCAGAAGCGTCAGGTTTCCATGGTCCAGGCAGTCACGATCACTGCTACAAGCTGGCCAGCAAGTGAATCAACGCATTTTTTGGATTCTTGCTGATGAGAAAACGTTCGTGGACATGGCCCGGAGCAATGCTCTATTTCAGCGTCCAAATTTGATGAACTACGCGCGCACCAGCCGCTCGGGACCAAAGCGCTAAACATATGAGTCTGAGAGGCGCCAACTGCACATGCCAACGAGCATGCAGGCCCGACTGTTACATGCATTTGGGAGATGTTAATCTTGAGCTTGCTACTTTGGACTGGATTCAATGTCTAGTTTCTAGGAGGGTCCCAGTCCTGTTGCATGACGATGTTTTACCATTGTGTTTGTTCTGATCTGTTGATCTTTTTTGGCACGAAGCTTTGCTGATGCCAGGGTTTAAGCCAATGATGTTGGGCCTACACTCCGCAATTTGCGAGGTAGGGTGCAGCACATCGCATAGCGAGACTTTTGAGGCAATTGGGGTCGTGCTGAGGTAGTTTCGCGGCTTTGATGTGCATGGTTCTGCAGGCTTCTTTTGGTGCTGAGATTAGGATTGATGCCAGGGTGACCAATGATGTTGGGCCTATAGCGGGCAACTTGCGAGATAGGGCGCGGGACGTTGGGGCTACAAAGCAGCATTTTTCAGGCATTTGGGGTCATGTTGAAGTAGCTTCGGGGCTTTGATGCAGGTGGTTGAAGTAGTCACCTCCATCTAGTGCTTGTTCTGAACGTTGGGCCTGTATTAGGCAGTTTCGGGAAATTTTCGCAGGCATCTTGAGTCATGGCTTTCTTACCCTTGTTGACCCCTTGGCTGGAGTGAGAGTAGGGGCCTTCGTGTAGGTGCTTGTTCTGACTGGTTTCCTTTGTGCGCAGACCCTGTGTTGATTCCATTATGGGGCCATGGCGGCTCACGCTGGGCCGATGTTGGGCCAGTTCGGAGGTAGTCACCCGGTAGCGGGGACCTTCGGATGGGTGGGGTGGTTGGGATTGTTGGGGCGGTCGACTGGGGCGGTCAGTTGGATTGGTTGGGACGGGAGGGTTGGCACGGGCGGGATGGTTGGGACGGTGTCGGGTTGGGATGGCAAAGATGGTCGGGTTAGCTGCCACGGGGCTGCCCAGTCCCCCACTTCGACCATGTCGATCCTGCCCATTCCGGTCCAACCTACGCCCCCTGCAAGGGTAGCAAATTTGGTTCCGACTGTTCAAATTCGTTGGAGTACCACATCGAGGAAAACGAGAGCCCACAAAGTCACAAAGCGTTGCGATTCCACAATTATTGCAAGTCTCCAGCGCAGGCCGCCTTAGTTTCTTGCAGCAGGTTCTTGCAGAAATGTAAATTTTTGCTCTGCGGGTTTGGAGCGGAACATGTTGACGCTCATGCTGCGGCTCACAGGAACCGTAAGGCCCAGCGACTTCCTCGCCTGAAGCGCTCAAACTTCATGAGTGCTTCTACGGGTCAGTTTGCCCTGCAGGTCAAGTTGATCATGGGCTGCAAGTGTTGCAAAGAGGCAGGCTCATGTGCAAGATCTCGGAATGATCTCGGCTATTGGTGGCCTTGTCCAGCAACTCTTCTCATCTCATGTTGTTCCCGAAATCTCCCGGGAAGGTTTTTTCACAAAGAGCTGCTGCCAATTTCAACTTTTACTTCATCTTCGTGACATACATCATCCACATCGCCCATCAACTGCATCTACATCGCCTACATCATCTACATCATCTACATCATCTACATCATCTACATCATCTACGCAATTTTTCTATCGACTTCATCTAGATAATATACATTATCTACATCATCGTCTACATCATCTACAACATCGACAATCGAGAGCATGTACATCATCTACAGCACCTACAACATCTACATCACCTACATCACTTCTAAAGGTAACTCGTACAAAACCCGTACAATGTCATTTGCTCAAAAGTCGACTTGCAGGTGATCGACGCCTATTTGCGCCCCTACAAACTCCTACAGTGTATTTGCGCAGATGTTGTTGCACAGCAGTTGTTACACAGGCCTTGCTACACAGGAGTCGTTACACAGGAGTCGTTACACAGGAGTTAGCTTGTAGGTGATCAACTTTTGTCTGAACTTCTCTCGTATGGCGGCAGGGGCAGCCAGGCCGCGTCCATCGAAACGTGACGGAGTGCGGGGATCGTGCGTGTCGTCCAAAACTGAGGTAAAATTGTGATTTTAAAAGGCCGGACGCAACCTTTTTGCACGAAATGAGGGCCTAACGTCCAAACCTGAAGTAAAATTGCGATTTTGCAACGTACGCAAAAGCAAAAAATGTTGCAAAAGGGTGATGTTCCAAAGTTAGACACAACACTTTCACAAAAAGTGATCGTCGAACGCAAAAAACTGAAGTAAACTTGCGATGTTCCAACGCCACACGCAACCCTTGCGCGCGAATTTATGGTCGAATGTCAAAAACTGCAGCAAAATTGCGATGTTCCAACGTCGGATGCATCCTTTGCACGCATCAAAAGCTGCGGTAAATTTGCGATTTTGAAGCATGTAAAAGCTGCTCTGTTTTTGTGTGTAAAGATTTTTTTGTGAAAGAGATTCTGTATGTAAAAACCTTTGTGTGTACAAGCTCCTCTATGTAAAAGCTTCTGTGCGTAAAGGCGTCTGTGTGCAAAAGCTCCTCTGTGCAAAAGCTTCTCTGTGCAAAAGCCTTTGTGTGTGAAATTTTCACTGTGTAAAAGCTGCTGTGCGAAAGGCTTCTGTGTGTGAAAGTATCTGCGCGTGCAAGCTTGTATGTGTAAAGGCTCCTGTGAAAAAAGCTTCTGTGTGTAAACGTTTAACAAGAAACTACCACTACAATTGCAACTGTAGATACAACTGCGAAAACTACAGCAACTACAACAGCTGCAACTGCAACAAGAATGGTGTTCTTTGCAGCTGGTGCATTTGCCTATGCAGGCGGTTAGTTTCTTGTCGAAAACCTGCGTTGTTTGTCAGCTGCGCGGCAGTTTGCGGGAAGGTGCGCCTTCACCTTGTTGTCGCACATGCAAACTCGCATGATTCCAACGCTTTGTAAAAATTATCTGACCCGTTTGTGACTTGAAGGCCAGCGCAAATTTGGGATATGCGGTGTGAAGCATTCGGGTTCGATTTCATTTCCAAGCTGGCTAAAGCCGCAAATCCGCACGGGTAATTTCAGCTTTGTGAGGCACAGCAAATTGATGCAAACATGCTGTGCCCAGTCTGAACCCAACTCACACCTGCGGCAGTTCCCTCAGATGTTTCCTAGGAAAGTATAGTTTTCAGTGTTGAGTTCTGTGGGTTTTGATGGTTGCCCCAGGTGTCCTTTCGCATTTGCCGTTTTGCAAAGGGAATCAACCACTCTTGCAGCAGCTCGTAACAACTCGTGACAGCTGTCTTTCGTTGACCTTGCAAAAAATTGCATACGTCTTGGCGGCTTTTCGGAGCCCACTCGTGACAGCGCTTGACAGCCCATGACGCCCCGCAGTCTGCGCTGTCCAGTTATTGATCCGATCGGTGCTTTTGAAACCGTATTTTCCCCAACATTCAGCCAAGTTTTTTCCAAAATCCTCAATGACCGACACAGCCAAGACGAACTTCAATCCATCTAAGGAAGAGGTCGGGGCATAAATGCCTGAATTGAGTGCCGATGCATTTCCGGTGGCGAAATCCCTTTCTTTGACGGCTTTTCGCAAATAGTAAAGACGTGTGAGCCGGGATATAAAATTCCTCAATGCATACGCGCAAGTTACTTTCCAAACAATAAGCAACAGGGTGGGCCGTTGGCGCGTGCTTTCCTGTGAAGCCGCAGCATACTTATGTTTTCCTTTTTGGCGCTTCTCTTGTGAAAAGATACATGCAACCATTCAAAAGCATCATGAGACGGACGCAGTAGATGCGGTGGGAAATACGGTAGCTGAACGTATTGCTCCCGGAAGTTTTCGCAAGTGTGTCGGAAGGCTTCCAGAGTCAATTCGGGTGTAGCTATGCCAGTGGTTCCAAACCTGCATTGTCTAATGTTGGTAAGTGCCACACGCACAGGGCTATGTGCGGGGCCGGGGACCCTAAGGCAAAAGACTCAAACGAACCAATTCCTAGTTCAAATGCTCACATGTGCCAATTAGTTTGGCATGCTGTTGGGTCATGCTGCAAACTATTTGGATGAAACAGCAAGGAATCCGAATTGCATGGGTTCTTGGGTGACCTGCAAGGTGTTTGATTGAGTAGGGTGTTTTTAGGTTGCCCTTCCAAAATCACTTTACTTTGATCGATTGAGATTTTCTTGGGTGGCCCACATTAAAATTAAAACATGATATTTGATTGAACAGAGCGTTATGATGTGGTCTCCCAGAGTGGAATTTTTGTTGGCCAAGGAGATAGGTGTTGGTACGGGTGTCATGTCCCAAGGGTGTCCCTTCCACTTTTTTGTCACAGCCACGCCTAAGCAATCCGAGGATCATTAAAGAGCCCTGGGCTACAAAAAAGTGAAAACATCAAACATTCCCAAAAAATCCAAAAACAACAAAAACCGCTTAAGATCAATCCAACAAGTTAGGAAAATCAAAAACTATCTAAAAACAAGTCCAGCATTCCAAAAAAAATGAACGAAAATCAAAACATAGTTAATTTTGAAGCACATGAAATCTCCAAAAAACAGACAGTTCAAAAAACAATGCAGTTCAAAAAAGCAAACAACCAATCCAACCAGTTTCAAAAAATGCAAAACAAAAACCAAAAACATCAAAAAATCCGAAAAAACAAAAAACAAAATGATTAAACAACACCATGAAAACAGCAAAAAACTTTAACGAAGGAAGTTTAGAAGTCAAACTTCGGATAAAATGTACAGATGGAAAAAAGCAGAGGTGGGAAGAGTCAGAGAAGAGAAGAGAAGAAGAAAGAAGATAAGAGAAGAGAAACAGTCAGAAGAAAGAAGATGCAGGTGTGCGAAAAGGTAGAAAAGCGCGATTCACGGTGTTTTCCAATGATTTGTGGCTCCGGAGGGTCGAAAAGTAGGCTCGTTAAAGCAGCGGGTGCAGAGCCATGTGGCCAGCTGAGAGATGAAAAACTGCAAGCCGTTGTGGCGCGAAGCACGTTCCGAAGTCAGAATGTCCAAAGCACCTCAGCTTGGGACATTTAGAAGTTGAGATGTCGAAAAAGTGCCCGCCGTTGTTCGAAGTCAAAATGTACAAAGCACCATTCTCGGAGCACTTTTGGAAGTTGCGATGTCGAAAAAGTGCACGCCGTTGTGGCGCAAAGCACATTTGGAAGTGAAAATGGTAAAAGCACCACATGCTCGGACCACTTTTGGACGTTCCGATGGCGTTTTGTGTGGCAGGGGCAGGGGATTCGGCACCTTCCCAAAAGTGAGCAAAACGTGAGGGCTTTGTAGCAGTTTCAAAAACATTGGCAGGCGTGGGACATTTGAAGAAGATCTGCAAAGATGCATTTCGCGCAATACAAGAGACATGTTCACCAGAGATGTTACGAGGTCAGGGCGGAGATTTCCTGAGAGGGGTTGCATTTTGGAGCGTTAGATCTTCAGGTTTGCCAAGATGATTTTGCGCGACAGGCACAGCACTTCGTATGACCTGGCTTTACTTTTTCGTGGCAGGCGCAGTACTTTAAACAGATGGAATGGAAAAATCTCGAAACGCATTGGTACGAGGCCGTCGCCTTTGCTCTCAATTTTCCATTTTTGATGGAAGTCTCGCAGAATTGCTTCGTTTTTGATATTGTCAACTTCGAAACTTGAGGAAGTCTCGTAGAATTGTTTCGTTCTTGACGTTGTCAAGTTCAAAAATTGAGGAAGTCTCGCAGAATTGCTGTGTTTTTGATGTTGCCAAGTTCAAAAACTGAGGAAGTCTCGCAGAATAGCTTCGTTTTCAAGCTTGCAGATAGACAGATAGATAAATAGACAACTACAACTATACAACTACCACTACACTACACTACTACTACAACTACAAATGCAAATATACTACGCTTACATTAATTACACTACCCTAATTTTGTCATTAAAGAGCGGAACAGTGCCTGGTTCAGCATGCGAAGAATCTGTGCAGTGCTTCGGTGTCCTTTTTCCCTTGGCTGAGCAAATTGGCTGATCTATGAACAAGCAGGACGGACATGCTATTTCTCTCAATTTTGGGCCCTGTGAAAAACGAAATTTCAAACAAAATCACCTTTGCGAGGCCGGGCGTGAGCGTCTTCGGTGCATTGCATTGCATGTCGTGCAGTAGATGTCTCCTGTCAGCCAAGATTTTGCACATGCAGATACACATGCTGCATCTGGGCTCAAGTTGCATGTTGGTGCAACAAGTGCGCTTGCCACATTCTTGGCCAGTCAATCGGTCACCGGAGGTGGTCAACCTCATTGGTGCAGAATGGCTACATTTTCCCCAAGGGTTGGCCTGACAGTGCTGTTTGTCTTGGCATTTCTCGGGCCAAGTGCCGCAGGATGGAGATCTGCCCAAGTGACGAGTTCGGTGATCGAGATTTTGATCTCCGAGATTCTGCGATACACCATTGCTCTTAAACCACGAGCACCTGCTTCGAGTTTGAGTCGATCTATTGCATGCTGGGCTGCGCAACCTGGTGGAATGCCACCACTCGTGGATGTGAGACCAGGAAGGTAAAGCATCATATGATGATCGACGCTTGGTATGCTAGCTTCACCCACGCCATCAACAGCTTGGCAGAGATCTACATGGCATCTTGGTTGAGCCAACATGCGAAATCCCTGGGGAAATGGATGGAAATGGGAGAATCAATGAGAATCACCAACAGAATTCCAACAGAACTCCAGCAGAATTCCAACAGATATTGACATCCTGACATTGAGACGTTGACCAGAGGGTAATGCCGTGCGCCAGGTATCCGACCGCTTCAGAAAGGCCTTGGGTAGACATCGGCCTTGGAAGACGTGTCGAACTCAGATTGCCACGGGAAACAGATTCCATGTCACACGTGGATGTAGAAAATCAACCAAAATCACAATGTTATGTGGTTGGAACCATGATCCACCAGTTTGTTAGAATAAACCATGGGTTAACAAAAGTTGACAGGCAGTGATTGTAGCAATTGTTGATGCCTTGGCTTCGACATACCATCGGTAGAAACCAGCATTGCATGACATGTTTCTGCAAGATTTGACCTGGCAGATATTCCTCTTGACATTGCATCGGCATTTTGGCTATAGGTCGACCTATATATAATTTTAGTATCCTATAGTGTGGGTCATATGCTCAGTACTCTGTGTGATATGCTCTTAAAACCTATGCGACACAAAAATTCAGCCTTGGAAGAACAGAAGAGACATGGTTTATCGTTTTGGATTGATCCTGCTTAAAACAAGCTGCCGTGGAATCCAGTGAATGAGCTGTTTCAAGATGTTTGCAACCGACATGGTGAGTTTGTGCTACCGTCATTGTTTCCAATCAAGTCTCCCATTCGAGCCTCATATTTTGCAAGGGGTTGAAAAATGTCAAGATATGACTGGGTCGTGAACGGATCTAATCGCAGTGAAACATAAAGTAGAACTCCGTTTCTTGCAATGTCAGGCATCCCAGTGCGATGTTAAACTTTCAGCAAGGACCCCAGGACCTCTTTGCAGAAGTGGAGCTAGCAGAAGCGATGTAAGTCTTCTGACTGTTTCGTTACAGATTTTGTTTTCTCTACACGGCTCAGTTTTGTCCAACAATTTCGTTGCAAATGCCTTCTCTGTACCTGGAGATCCGTTTTTTCCTTGGCGGCGTCCCACCAAGGCATCTCTTCCCTTCTGCTCAATCTGCTCTGCCTGGGGAAATTGCTGGGCCTGCGGCTGACGGAAACTGGTGGGCGCAGCTCGCTGCAAGGCGGGGATGCCTTGCCAGAGAAGTGAGAGGCCCAAGTTTCTGTTGAAATCTTTGTCTTGAAGTCCCCGTTTTTTGGGACTATAAACAAAACATCCCGGCACCAATATGTCAATATTCCGTTCACCGTCCTTTCTTGAAGCCTTGCAACTTGACTTGATCGTTTGCCACATGTGAAAACAGCCTTCCATGGTTGAAATATGTTGATACGTTGTTTTCGGCTAAGCAGTGTTTAGTGACCGCCATAAGCGTGGAACTCCATTTTGGTGATGGGCTGCAGCTGCAGCAAAAACGCTGCGTTGGAGCCGCGCCGTCCGCTGCCAACATTGTTGGGTGCTGTGCCGAAACACAGCGAAGCATCAGACCCCAAAGGAGAGAAGGATGTTGAGAAGGCTCAGGAGAAGGCTCAGAAGGCAGAGAGAGCTGTCGAAGTTTCGTGCCATGCCTCTGCAGGTGCGAAGTGGCATTTGGAACTGCTGGCTGTGAGCGCCGAACTGAAACAAAAGCTGCAAGATCCTCAGTTCGTGGCAACCCGCTGCGACTTGGATGGCTCTGGTGATCTCGATGCACACGAGCTGAAGCAGGCGGCTAGGGTCTACGGCATCTCGCAGAGTGGCAGCTCCGAAAACCACGACGGCACCAATCCTCGTCTCATGGCTGGGCAACGCGTCAGCAAAGAAAGCTTCGCTGAAATGGTGGCCTCTCAAGGAAGCACCAAGCTGAGAGCCTTTGATTCAAACACGGTCAAAGTTTTGCTAGGTGGAACATGTCCGCAGAATGCATTGACAATATCGACATGCATCTCAATTTTGGCCCAATTTCGATCGGCGATTTGTTAAACGCGTCTTTTTTATTTTTTATTTTTTGTTCAGCGGTTGTTTTCTGGATCCACTTCCGAATCAGCATGAATCTACAGCAACGCAAAGCATGAAGACATGCATGGGGGTTCGGAATGTTTGGACATGTTGGTGCCCATCAAGCATGACTTTGCAGGCATTTCCAGGTCGTTTGATACGTGTTGACGCACCGGAATCTGTAGAACGATGAACAGTGTAGAAATTACTTAGTCCGGAATTTGAAACCAATCTGAATCCAAACACTTGGCAGCACATTTTTTCCAATGAGTCAGGAACAGTCCCGCACTCCTTGCGTGGAATGGCATTGGGCCAGCTTCAACATCTTGAAGCCTTGTTCGTCACAACTGGATGGCTATCTGCGCGATGTGAATCCTTCAACGCAGAGAATGCCCATGCCATTGCCAAAGGCAGGAAGTTCAGACAAGATACCAATCTTTATGCCTTGGACACTTTTGTGGTGACTCCAATGTCGAAGCCAGGCATGTGTGGAGCCCGTGAACATGATGAGCAGCAGACCATTGCCGAAGCACGCGGAATTTCATCCTTTTCACAACTGGTGAACCCATTCGGCCTGTTTGTTCACTGCTTTGTCTCCCATTTTTGGGGACACAAGTTCACAAGCACTGTCACGGCTCTTGACTTGTGGGCAGGTGCGAACTACGACAAGCTGACCTCGGAGAAGGAGGCCCTGGTCTACTGGATATGCCTCTTTGCGTTGAACCAGCACGACGTGGCCGAGGAGGTGGGGGAAAATCCTCAGCAGGGGCCATTCAACGCAGCACTGGCGCAAGCCACTGGTGGTGCAGTGATGGTTTTGGATGAAGAAGTGAAGCCGTTTTCTCGCATCTGGTGCCTCTTCGAGGCTTCTCGGTTGAAGGACTTGCAGCGGCCCTTTGAACTGATTTGCAGTGAGGGTTCCTTGTCCCAGCCTGAGAACGGTGGACACACGGCTGTGAGCGCCAAGATGCTCGAAACCACATGCCAGGCCTTGTGGAACGTGTCCACTGCCAAGGCTGAAAGCTCAATAGTCGCCGACAAATATCAGATTTGGATAGAAACGGCCGACAAATCCATCAGGGGTGCCATAAAGGGAGTGGGTGCCGAACGTTGGTTCAATGCTGTCATAGATCAACATGGGGCCGATGCGTTGGCAGAGGTCTTCGGCGACTTTGATTGCTACATGAAGTCTCTACTCTCCACCACGGTGCTTCAGCTCCTGATGGCTAGGGGCGACTTTGCTTCGGCGGCCACGTGCTGCCTTCAAGGAGCAGATGTTAGTTCTGAGCAGCTGGCAGAGATTTGCAGCAGTTTTGCTGCAGAAACTGAGAGAAGAGAATGGCTGAACAGTATGCTGCTGCAGGCATCGAAAGCATCCATGGCCAAACTGCTTTTGGAGAAGGGTACTGATGGGAGGGCCGCAAGGCACGATGGTTTCACAGCGCTGATGTCCGCTGCTGAAGGGGGCCATGAGGCCGTGGCCCAGCTGTTGCTACAGCACGGTGCCGATGTGGCGGCAGCAATGAACGATGGCGACACAGCATTGATGTTGGCTGCTTACAATGGCCATGAGGCCGTTGCCAAGGTGCTGCTACAGCACGGTGCCGATGTGGCGGCAGCAATGAACAATGGTTTCACAGCACTGATGTTTGCTGCTGTAGGTGGCCATGAGGCCGTGGCCCAGCTGTTGCTACAGCACGGTGCCGATGTGGCGGTAGCAAGCAACGATGGTGGCACAGCATTGATGTTGGCTGCTTACAATGGCCATGAGGCCGTTGCCAAGGTGCTGCTACAGCACGGTGCCGATGTGGGGGCAGCAAAGAACGATGGTGACACGGCATTGATATCAGCTGCTTGTGGTGGTCACGAGGCCATGGCCCAGCTGTTGCTACAGCACGGTGCCGATGTGGCGGCAGCAAAGAACGATGGTGTCACAGCACTGATGTTTGCTGCTCAAGGTGGTCATGAGGCCGTGGCCCAGCTGTTGCTACAGCACGGTGCCGATGTGGCGGCAGCAAGCAACGATGGTGGCACAGCACTGATGTGGGCTGCTCAAGGTGGCCATGAGGCCGTGGCCCAGCTGTTGCTACAGCACGGTGCCGATGTGGTGGTAGCAAGCAACGATGGTGGCACAGCTTTGATGTGTGGTGCTCTAGGTGGCCATGAGGCCATGGCCCAGCTGTTGCTACAGCACGGTGCCGATGTGGCGGCAGCAAGCAACGATGGTGGCACAGCACTGATGTTGGCTGCTCAAGGTGGTCATGAGGCCGTGGCCCAGCTGTTGCTACAGCACGGTGCCGATGTGGCGGCAGCAAGCAACGATGGTGGCACAGCACTGATGTTGGCTGCTCAAGGTGGCCATGATCATGTGGCCGTAGCCCAGCTGTTGCTACAGCACGGTGCCGATGTGGCGGTAGCAAACAACGATGGCGACACAGCATTGATGTGGGCTGCTCTAGGTGGCCATGAGGCCGTTGCCCTGCTGTTGCTACAGCACGGTGCCGATGTGGCGGCAGCAAGCAACGATGGTGTCACAGCACTGATGTTTGCTGCTCAAGGTGGTCATGAGGCCGTGGCCCAGCTGTTGCTTCAGCACGGTGCCGATGTGGCGGCAGCAAGCAACGATGGTGTCACAGCACTGATGTTTGCTGCTCAAGGTGGTCATGAGGCCGTGGCCCAGCTGTTGCTTCAGCACGGTGCCGATGTGGCGGCAGCAAGCAACGATGGTGTCACAGCACTGATGTTTGCTGCTCAAGGTGGTCATGAGGCCGTGGCCCAGCTGTTGCTTCAGCACGGTGCCGATGTGGCGGCAGCAAGCAACGATGGTGTCACAGCACTGATGTTTGCTGCTCAAGGTGGTCATGAGGCCGTGGCCCAGCTGTTGCTTCAGCACGGTGCCGATGTGGCGGCAGCAAGCAACGATGGTGTCACAGCACTGATGTTTGCTGCTCAAGGTGGTCATGAGGCCGTGGCCCAGCTGTTGCTTCAGCACGGTGCCGATGTGGCGGTAGCAAGCAACGATGGCGACACAGCATTGATGTGGGCTGCTCGAGGTGGTCATGAGGCCATGGCCCAGCTGTTGCTACAGCACGGTGCCGATGTGGCGGCAGCAAGCAACGATGGTGTCACAGCATTGATGTGTGCTGCTCTAGGTGGTCATGAGGCCGTTGCCCAGTTGTTGCTACAGCACGGTGCCGATGTGGCGGCAGCAATGAACGATGGTGGCACAGCATTGATGTGTGGTGCTCTAGATGGCCATGAGGCCATGGCCCAGCTGTTGCTACAGCACGGAGCCGATGTGGCGGCAGCTAGCAACGATGGTTCCACAGCAGTGATGTTTGCTAGGGCAAACCGTCATGAGGCTGTGGCTAGGCTCCTCAGGGAGCATGGTGGTGGTCAGAATTGGTTTCTGCGTTGGCTTTTTGGATAGCCGCTGCGGGCATCCAATTTATCGTAGAGCGCAGAGAAAACGATGCTGTGCAACGAGTGTGCTGCCAACTTGCGTGATGGAAGTTGGGAAGTCCTGATGAGTTCGTTTGTTGTTTTTTTGGCAGAATCCAGGTTTGTGATGATTCGTGCAGAATAGTGAGAGTCCCGTTGGTCAAAAGCTTTGCATGATCAAAGATCTCCAGATCTTTCACAAACTGAATCAATTTGTAGCTTTGGTGAATCCGTACCTTGTTTTGCCCAGGCCGCGCGAACCGTGGAAAACGAGGTACTTCATGCAATCGCAGACACTGAGCATTGCTTGGGCGCATGGTATGGTGTCTTTTTTGTGTTGCTGGTTATTATTGTTCGTCTTAATGATTGAAGATGTTTGTTCAAACCATTTTTTGGGCGCTTCAACCAGCATTTCGAGAACTTGACTGAGGACTGTGCCTGTCAAACTTCCAGGTTTTGTTCGGCTAGCTGCTAGCTCCGCCCTAGGAGAAACCAGCTTCAACTTGAGCTCCTTGGACCCACAGTTCACCTTCCAGGTGAGTTGCGTGCCCAGCCGTGGAATAGGCTGCAGTCGGTTTGGAACATGGGGTTGTTGGACGAAAACTGGGCCGTGGAACACCTTGTTATGGCCATTTGGTGTCTTCATCGGTTTTTGACTACATTTTTTCAATCATCAAATTTAGAGTCCAAGTTTGAGACAAAGCCAAAGCCACACATCTCATGGCCAGAGATGGACATTCACAGGAAGCACCATTAGCTTTGACCCATGAAGTCATGAGTTGAAACATTTCGATCGTCAATCCAACCGGCACCAGTGTCACCTGGGGATGTGAGCAACGCTCTTGGGATTTTTGCGGTATAGGAGCAAAAGGAACAGCGACAACTGATGGATGTACCGAGACAGTTCCACCACCAAAAAATCACTCGGAGACAAGCAGTGGCTACCAACACCTTACCCACACTGATGCATGAACTGATTCAACATGTCATCACTGTTCACCATCCAATGACCTGGGGGTTTTGCATTGACTCAAGAAACAAAACATGTCAAAACAAGTCAAAACATGTCAAAAGATGTCACTTGTCGAAGTGGTCTGCGATGTCTCTTCTGTAATTGTAATCTTTGGTCCTGCGCCAAACTTAGAGGTTTTTCGTCAGCATTTTGGGATGGGAGGACCTCTGCAACTCTTGTGCCCCCAATGGGCCAATGGGTCAATGGTCATGGCTTTGTCGAACCAAGGCCGAGACGAAGCTACCATCATTCCTCAGAATGTTTCCCGGAGGCCCCCAGCATCGCATGTCATCCTGATGAAAAACATCAGGTGGTGAATTTCATGGATGTTACCCACATCAAGTATCACTGAATATCCATGATATATTGATGATATCCTGATGTTTCATTGATGAAATTTGATAAGATCTGGAGAGAAATTACAGATATCGACATATTTGGATTCCGAGATTTTCGCAGATGTCAGAGATCTTCCATGGATCTCCAGGATATCCACTGCCAGGGAAGAAAAGCACCGGCACGGGGAAAGCCACGACTGCACCGGCCCCTGGCCACCGAGACCTGTTTGGAACTCGGTGAAACCAGGTTTCAACCAGCACTTTCCACATGAATTTGTCTGGAAACTACGGTTAAAACATGTAAAAACCCAAATCTGATGGTTAATAATGTTTATTTCCCTCATACATCGCTATTTTGAAGGTATCTCCTATCTCCATACACAGCTGAATGGTTGATGATTTATGAACTGCTTCACAATGTTTCACATGTTTCATGGGGGTTCTTTGATTTGGATGGTTTTGTGGTGAAACCGTGAAACCACTAAGTCTGGGAAGACTGCCCCTGGATCACAAAGCCTCACCAAAGCTTACTGACCGGTCATGGCCTCAGAGTGAAAAATTACTTTACTTCGTGTGATCCCCACCATGACATTTATACATTTTCTTGCTGGCAAATCTTCTGGCATTCTATCTGACATATCTTCTGACATTCTATTTGGCATTCTATCTGGCATATCTTCTGACATTCTATTTGGCATTCTATCTGGCATATCTTCTGGCATATGATCTGGCATATCTTCTGGCATATTATCTGGCATTATATCTGGCATATCTTCTGGCATTATATCCTGATGTTTCATTGATGAAATTTGATAAGATCTGGAGAGAAATTACAGATATCGACATATTTGGATTCCGAGATTTTCGCAGATGTCAGAGATCTTCCATGGATCTCCAGGATATCCACTGCCAGGGAAGAAAAGCACCGGCACGGGGAAAGCCACGACTGCACCGGCCCCTGGCCACCGAGACCTGTTTGGAACTCAGTGGTGAAACCAGGTTTCAACCAGCACTTTCCACATGAATTTGTCTGGAAACTACGGTTAAAACATGTAAAAACCCAAATCTGATGGTTAATAATGTTTATTTCCCTCATACATCGCTATTTTGAAGGTATCTCCTATCTCCATACACAGCTGAATGGTTGATGATTTATGAACTGCTTCACAATGTTTCACATGTTTCATGGGGGTTCTTTGATTTGGATGGTTTTTTGGTGAAACCGTGAAACCACTAAGTCTGGGAAGACTGCCCCTGGATCACAAAGCCTCACCAAAGCTTACCGACCGGTCATGGCCTCAGAGTGAAAAAAAATGGGCAAATGAGGAAATCAATGGTGAGCTGGAGCATCCCACCAAATGAAGGTTTTTAAAGGGAAGATCAAACTAAATGGCGGGTTTTCGAGACCATGTTTACCAAGGGGTCAATCGTTTTTTTTGGCAGTCACAAAAAATGGCATTTGGTGTATATCCATGGTATATCGGTGGTGGCCAGGAGATCCACAGCCATGTGGCTTAGAGAACGGTGACATCGATCTTCGTTTCCCATGGATTTTTCCATTTCTTGGTGAGGTCATGAGAGACGTGCAGGAGACTTCGTCTGAAATTCAGAAAAAGATGACCTGAAATTCAGACATCTTTTTGTGACAGTTGAAACATCTTGAAACATCTTGGAAGATCTTGAGACATCTTTGTTTACTACGTTGTTTTTTTTTCATGTTTGTCCTACTTTCATAGCCGTCGTGGCAGGAAGCCATTCAAAATGTGCCAATGCGGCACAGCCCTGGGACCCCAGCGAGTATGTGGGGCACACCCTGCTGCAGGTCCGGTCCTGGTAGGTTCTGGTCGTGGTACTTTGGAATGCTGCCATATGTTGCCATGAGCTGACCAGATGAAACATGAAATTGATGAAAGTTTAGTTGTTGAAGTCTTGTTTAAGTAATGTTTGATGATTTTGAAGTGTAACTCGGATTTTTCATTGGGAAGCCAAATCATATTAGATGTTGCAATCAGCCATGTTTCCAGGAGGCAGTTCGCAACCATGGGCGAGTCGACTTGATGCAGAAGAAGGACTGACATAACTTGGGATTTAATGGCATTTAACCATCTAAAATTATGAGAATTATGCTATATCACCAAGATTAATGGGATGATGGTGGTGGTTGCAAACAGATGAGTTTTTTCAAGTAAAATGGGATGATGATCCCCAATGACTGTCCGGCATGTCAGGGTTGAAAGCATCATGCAGAGTATTCTCGAAGTTTCCCAGTATCTTCACCAACTTGGGCCAGTAAAGAATGAGACATAAGGAGTATGACCAGTATGACCATAGCAGGGCACGTGAATGTCTGGGCTTAGCTCTTGGATTCCTGATGAACTATGATGAACTATGATGAAGTCTGGAGTTCAAGTCGCACTGTTCCTTTCTGTATCCATCATGCAGAGTATTCTCGAAGTTTCCCCATCATGCAGAGTATTCAGCCATAGTTCCATTTTAAGTTTTAATTTAAATTGCCATAGTTCAGCAATAGTTTCATTTTTCTAATTTAAGTTTAAATTGCCATAGTTCATCCATAGTCCAGCCATAGTCCAGCCAAGTTCCAATCCCTGCTTTTTTAACTAAAAAAGTGAGCTTGGGGCACTCCTATTTTGAGACATTCCCATATTTAATTTAATCTCAAGACTTGGACACAATATTGCAAACAATGTGCAAAAAAATAATACTTAAAAAATAAGCATGTTTTTTTGTTTATAATTAATTACTCCTTAGCATTATATAATAAGCAAGTTAAATAATAATAAAACAAATAATTAGAAAAAGCTCCCCATGTTTGTATATCTTTATGAAAAAGTGTCTTTTCAGACTTTATCCCTTTCAGGAACTGCCTTTAGCCACTGGATCCTTTTCAGGAACTATCTTTTCAGATTTGATCCTTTTCAGGATGTGCCTTGCAAGACTTGATCCGTTTCAGAAACTTTCGTGTCACATTTGTTTTTTTGACTGAAAATTTTGCCTATCATTCATTTTACCCTGCCCAAACAAATCCACAGAGGCAGCACACGCAAGACGCCTTTCCCCTCCAGATTCCATGTCCACAGCGGGACTATGGCTGAACTATAGCTACTTTAGTTTGAACTATAGCTAGTTCAGCTTGAACTCTTGCTAGTTCGATCTAAACTATAACCAGTCTGAACTATAGCTAGTTCAGTCCGAAATATAGCGAGTTCAATCTGAATTCTAGCCTAGTAATTTTCCTTTTGGTTTGGGATTTTTAATGGCGACCTTTTTCTTTGTTTTTGGGACCTTTTTGGGTGCAAAAAGGTCGCCCTTCTTAACCCCTTTCGCGGTGCCAAACCAACGGGAAAAGCTGCTACAATTTAGAAAAAGTAAAGCTATTATAACTTCAATATGATTGAGCTAATTTTGTTTATATACAATATAAAAAAATGAGTAAATATATATATATATCATATATATATACATATATATATATATTACATATAAATATAAAATATATGTACGATACCAACAACATAGTTTCCTCCACGTTTGGAATTGAAATGACCCTCGTTTTTTCGAAATTGAGTCATAAGAAAGAAATCCAGCCAGCTGAGAAAAAACCAAGTCCCTTGCAGCAGCTTTGCTGGAAACCACAACCTTTCCGAGAAAGCATCTTTGCATTTTTCCAAGCAACATTACTACAGCTATCTAGAAATACAGCACAAGTTCAATTTTTGTCACAACTGTGTGCTCTTAGTATCTTTTTTGATAAATTTCTATAACTTATGATAACTTTTTCCTAAGTGCTTATGTTAAGTCTGTTAACATAGTTATGAAAAGATAACATAAAGATAAGAACTTCCGATAAGGTCGTTAAGAACTTATATTATACCTAAACATTTACAACTTCACGTAGCCGGCTAGCTGAAATTATAACTTACTTGACACAAGTTATGAAACTTTACATACTTGCAAGCAGGTTATAGAGGCATTGTAGAGGGTTTATAAACACGTTAAAACACGTTATATAACTCATATATAAATTTGTAAACTCACACTTTAAGCGCACAATCTCCGTTGAATTCAACGAGCAGTGCCCTTTGTTTGATTTGCGTCCGGTCCGGAAAGACAGCATGGCCAACCTTTGGCTAGCTCGAGCGCCGGGAAATCTTCGAAAATCCATTGAAATCCCTTGGGAAAGATGGGAAATGGGAGAATCAATGAGAACCACGAACAGAATTCCAACAGAATTCCAACAGATATTAACATCCTGACACTACCAGAGGGTAATGCGGTGCGCCAGGTATCCAACCGCGGCCTTGGGTAGACATCGGCCTTGGAAGACGTTGTTTCGAACTCAGATTGCCACGGGAAACAGATTCCATGTCAGACGTGGATGTAGAAAATCAATCAAAATCACAATGTGGTTGGAACCATGATCTACGAGTTTATGAGGATAAACCATGGGTGAACAAAAGTTGACAGGCAGTGATTGTAACAATTGTTGATGATGCCTTGACTTTGACATAGCACCGGTAGAAACCAGCATTGCATGACATCTTTCTGCAAGATTGAGTTCCGATCCGGAGAGCCACCCAAAAGTCGGATTCGAGTCGGTTTCGGGTTTCGGGTTTCGGGTTTCGGGTTTCGGGTTTCGCTTGAAACCAACTTTCGCTGTCGGTTTCGGGTTTCGGGTTTCGGGTTTCGTCGATTGAAACCCACTTTCGCTGTCGGTTTCGGGTTTCGGGTTTCGGGTTTCGGGTTTCGATCGGCCCTGGGGGAGTTAAGTCTTCAGAGTCGGTTTCGGGTTTCGGGTTTCGGGTTTCGGGTTTCGATCGGTCCTGGGGAAGGCAAGTCTTCAGAGTCGGTTTCGGGTTTCGGGTTTCGGGTTTCGGGTTTCGGGTTTCGGGTTTCGGTCGGTCCTGGGGAAGGTAAGCAGTCGGTTTCGGGTTTCGGGTTTCGCAGTTCGAAAACCAACTTTAACAGTCGGTTTCGGGTTTCGGGTTTCTCTGGTCGAAACCAACTCTGCAGACCTCTCTCCGGATCACGTCTCGCAAGATTTGACCTGGAAGATATACCTCTTGACTGGCATTGGCATTTTAGTTGGCTTTAGGATCTATAGATCGACCTATATATTACTACGGCCAGACGCCTTGTGTTGCCCGGAGATTTACAGGGACGTTCCCGGCATGTTGATGATGATGATGATGATGATGATGATGATGATGATGATGATTGAAGATCTTCAATGGATGTAAGAGGTTAACGGAGTTGGGAGAATTAAACCCTTATTGAAGATCTTCAATGAATGTAAGAGTTTAACGGGGGTTGGAGAATTAATCCCTTATTGAAGATCTTCAATTAATGTAAGAGTTTAACGGGGGTGGGAGAATTAAACCCTTATTGAAGATCTTCAATGAATGTAAGAGTTTAACGGGGGTTGGAGAATTAAACCCTTATTGAAGATCTTCAATGAATGTAAGAGTTTAACGGGGGTGGGAGAATTAAACCCTTATTGAAGATCTTCAATGAATGTAGAAGTTGGCTGGGCGCGCGCAGAAGGCCGCGTCATGAAACAGTGTTTTTGCTAGTTCACTGCACTGGTGCCACAGCGAGAGCGCATTTTTTCCTTTTTTACTGCTGTGTTTGGCCTCAGTGAAACCTCTTTTTTGGTCTTTTTTTTTTTTGGCGTGGTGTTGGTTGGGGGGGTGGGGGGGGGTGGGGGGGGGTGGGGGGGTGGGGGGGGTGGGGGGGTGTAATAACGTTCTTTGGACTTGAACACATCTGGGTCATGGATCTTTTCTTGGAATTCGGGATCATGAGATCTTTTCTTGGAATTCAACACATCTGGGATGGTACGTCATGAGATCTTTTCTTGGAATTCAACACATCTGGGATGGTACGTCATGAGATCTTTTCTTGGAATTCAACACATCTGGGATGGTACGTCATGAGATCTTTTCTTGGAATTCGACACATCTTGGATGGTACGTCATGAGATCTTTTCTTGGAATTCAACACATCTGGGATGGTACGTCATGAGATCTTTTCTTGGAATTCAACACATCTGGGATGGTACGTCATGAGATCTTTTCTTGGAATTCAACACATCTGGGATGGTACGTCATGAGATCTTTTCTTGGAATTCAACACATCTGGGATGGTACGTCATGAGATCTTTTCTTGGAATTCAACACATCTGGGATGGTACGTCATGAGATCTTTTCTTGGAATTCAACACATCTGGGATGGTACGTCATGAGATCTTTTCTTGGAATTCAACACATCTGGGATGGTACGTCATGAGATCTTTTGTTGGAATTCAACACATCTGAATCCAAGGCGAGGGTTCTCGAGCAACTGTTCCTCGATTTTTTGCAGATTAAAGTGGATGCGATAAAAAGTCATGCTGAATAAATAAACCTGAAAGTGTCCTCAACTAAGTAGTTTTTTTTTTTTCGACGTCAAAATATGACACGCCAAGATATAACATTGACATGTGAAGTTGTACATGCATTTCGAATGGCCAGCGTGGAGGATTTTCCATATCACCATTCATACTTTTGTGTCAAAAAAAAACTGAGATGAAAAGTGCACGAAAACCATACGTGCCATCTATGAGCGCCCGACCTAGAAGTTTAACGGGGGGGGGGAATTAAACCCTTATTGAAGATCTTCAATGAATGTAAGAGTTTAACGGGGGTGGGAGAATTAAACCCTTATTGAAGATCTTCAATGAATGTAAGAGTTTAACGGGGGTGGGAGAATTAAACCCTTATTGAAGATCTTCAATGAATGTAAGAGTTTAACGGGGGTTGGAGAATTAAACCCTTATTGAAGATCTTCAATGAATGTAAGAGTTTAACGGGGGTGGGAGAATTAAACCCATATTGAAGATCTTCAATGAATGTAGAAGTTTAACGGGCGTGGGAGAATTAATCCCTTATTGAAGATCTTCAATGAATGTAAGAGTTTAACGGGGGTTGGAGAATTAAACCCTTATTGAAGATCTTCAATGAATGTAGAAGTTTAACGGGGGTGGGAGAATTAAACCCATATTGAAGATCTTCAATGAATGTAAGAGTTTAACGGGGGTTGGAGAATTAAACCCTTATTGAAGATATTCAATGAATGTAAGAGTTTAACGGGGGTTGGAGAATTAAACCCTTATTGAAGATCTTCAATGAATGTAAGAGTTTAACGGGGGTGGGAGAATTAAACCCTTATTGAAGATCTTCAATGAATGTAAGAGTTTAACGGGGGTGGGAGAATTAAACCCTTCTTGAAAATCTTCAATGAATGTAAGAGTTTAACGGGGGTGGGAGAATTAAACCCATATTGAAGATCTTCAATGAATGTAAGAGTTTAACGGGGGTTTGGAGAATTAAACCCTTATTGAAGATCTTCAATGAATGTAAGAGTTTAACGGGGGTGGGAGAATTAAACCCATATTGAAGATCTTCAATGAATGTAGAAGTGTAATGGTGGTGGGAGAATTAAACCCTTATTGAAGATCTTCAATGAATGTAAGAGTCTAACGGGGGTGGGAGAATTAAACCCTTCTTGAAGATCTTCAATGAATGTAAGAGTTTAACGGGGGTGGGAGAATTGTTGAAGATCTTCAATGAATGTAGAAGTTTAACGGGGGTTGGAGAATTAAACCCTTATTGAAGATCTTCAATGAATGTAAGAGTTTAACGGGGGTTGGAGAATTAAACCCTTATTGAAGATCTTCAATGAATGTAAGAGTTTAACGGGGGTGGGAGAATTAAACCCTTATTGAAGATCTTCAATGAATGTAAGAGTTTAACGGGGGTGGGAGAATTAAACCCCAATTGAAGATCTTCAATGAATGTAGAAGTTTAAGAATTAATCCCTTATTGGATCTTCAATGAATGTAAGAGTTTAACGGGGGTTGGAGAATTAAACCCTTATTGAAGATCTTCAATGATGTAGAGTTTAACGGGGGTGGGAGAATTAAACCCTTATTGAAGATCTTCAATGAATGTAAGAGTTTAACGGGGGTGGGAGAATTAAACCCTTATTGAAGATCTTCAATGAATGTAAGAGTTTAACGGGGGTGGGAGAATTAAACCCTTATTGAAGATCTTCAATGAATGTAAGAGTTTAACGGGGGTTGGGAGAATTAAACCCTTATTGAAGATCTTCAATGAATGTAAGAGTTTAACGGGGGTGGGAGAATTAAACCCATATTGAAGATCTTCAATGAATGTAGAAGTTTAACGGGCGTGGGAGAATTAATCCCTTATTGAAGATCTTCAATGAATGTAAGAGTTTAACGGGGGTTGGAGAATTAAACCCTTATTGAAGATCTTCAATGAATGTAAGAGTTTAACGGGGGTGGGAGAATTAAACCCTTATTGAAGATCTTCAATGAATGTAAGAGTTTAACGGGGGTGGGAGAATTAAACCCTTATTGAAGATCTTCAATGAATGGAAGAGTTTAACGGGGGTGAAGATCTTCAATGAATGGAAGAGTTTAACGGGGGTGGGAGAATTAAACCCTTATTGAAGAATCTTCAATGAATGTAGAAGTTTAACGGGGGTGGGAGAATTTATATGAGATGTATTGTGTGAACAACAAACCCTTGTAATTTACGCTATTCTGGGCTTGGGCAACACACGGTGTCTGTGGGTATTACTATAGTATCCTATAGTGTGGGTCGTATGCTCAGTACTGTGTGTGAATGTGTGTGTGATATGCTCTTAAAACCAATGTGACGCACCAAAATTCAGCCTTGGAAGAACAGAAGAGACATGGTTTATCGTTATGGACTGATCCTGCTTAAAACAAGCTGCCGTGGAATCCAGTGAATGAGTTGTTTCCAGATGATGTTTGCAACCGACATGGTGAGTTTGTGCTACCGTCATTGTTTCCAATCAAGTCTCCCATTCGAGCCTCATATTTAGGGGTTGAAGAATGTAAAGATATGACTGGGTCGTGAACGGCTTATTTTTTAGTCCCAGTGAAACAGAAACGTATAACTCAGTCTCTTGCAACTTCAGGCATCCCAGCGCGATGTCAAACTTTCAGCAAGGACCCCAGGACCTCTTTGCAGAAGTGGAGCCAGCAGAAGCAATGTAAGTTGTCTGACTGTTTCGTTCCAGATTTTGTTTTCTCCACACAGCTCAGTTTTGTCTAGCAACTTCGTTCTTGCAAATCCCTTCTAGGTACCTTGAGATCCGTTTTTTTCCTTGATGACATGTCAGTCTTAGTTCAGCCCCGAACCGAAGCTCCAAGGCATCTCTTCCCCGGCTGATGGATTGTGGGCAGGAAGTGGAAACTGCTGCAGCTCGCTGCAAGGCGGGGATGCCTTGCCAGAGGAGTGAGAGACCCAAGTTTCTGTTGAAATCTGCGTCTTGAAGTCCCAATTTTTTGGGACTAAACAAAACATCGCGGCATCGATATGTCAATATTCCATTCACCGTCCTTTATTGAACCACTTCATTGAAGTGAACTTGATGTGCGTTTGCTTCATCATGTTTCATCTGTTTGACCCTTTTAAGCCTTGCAACTTGACCGTTTGCCACGTGTGAAAACAGCCTTCCATGGTTGAAAGATGTTGAAATGTTGTTTTGGGCTAAGCAGTTTTGAGTGACCGCCATAAGAGCGGAACTCCATTTTGGTGATGGGCTGCAGCTGCAGCAAAAACGCTGCGTTGGAGCCGCGCCGTCCGCTGCCAACATTGTTGGGTGCTGTGCCGAAACACAGCGAACCATCAGACCCCAAAGGAGAGAAGGATGTTGAGAAGGCTCAGGAGAAGGCTCAGAAGGCAGAGAGAGCTGTCGAAGTTTCGTGCCATGCCTCTGCAGGTGCGAAGTGGCATTTGGAACTGCTGGCTGTGAGCGCCGAACTGAAAGAAAAGCTGCAAGATCCTCAGTTCGTGGCGACCCGCTGCGACTTGGATGGCTCTGGTGATCTCGATGCACACGAGCTGAAGCAGGCCGCTAGGGTCTATGGCATCTCGCAGAGTGGCAGCTCCGAAAACCACAGCACCAATCCTCGTCTCATGGCTGGGCAACGCGTCAGCAAAGAAAGCTTCGCTGAAATGGTGGCCTCTCAACGAAGCACCAAGCTGATCAGAGCCTTTGATTCAAACACGGTTGGGTGGAACATGTCCCCAAAATGCATTGACAATACTGACATGCATCTCAATTTTGGTCCAATTTCGATCGGCGATTTGTTAAACGCTTCTTTTTTTGGAAAAAAACAACACGAAACATGAAGACATGAATGAGGTTTCGGAATGATTGGACATCTTGGGAACTGTGAACCGTGACTTTGCAGGCATTTCCAGGTCGTTTGATACATGTTGACGCACCGGAATCTGATGGAATCTGTAGAACGATGAACGTTGCACAAATTATTTAGTCCGGAATTTGAAACCAATCTGAATCCAAACACTTGGCAGCACATTTTTTCCGCTGAGTCAGGAACAGTCCCGCACTCCTTGCGTGGAATGGCATTGGGCCAGCTTCAACATCTTGAAGCCTTGTTCGTCACAACTGGATGGCTCTTTGCGCGATGTGAATCCTTCAACGCAGAGAATGCCCATGCCATTGCCAAAGGCACGAAGTTCAGACAAGATACCAATCTTTATGCCTTGGACACTTTTGTGGTGACTCCAATGTCGAAGCCAGGCATGTGTGGAGCCCGTGAACATGATGAGCAGCAGACCATTGCCGAAGCACACGGAATTTCATCCTTTTCACAACTGGTGAATCCATTCGGCCTGTTTGTTCACTGCTTTGTCTCCCATTTTTGGGGACACAACTGGACCAGCACTGTCACGGCTCTTGATTTGTGGGCAGATTCGAACTACGACAAGCTGACCTCGGAGAAGGAGGCCTTGGTCTACTGGATATGCCTCTTTGCGTTGAACCAGCACGACGTGGCGGAGGAGGTGGGGGAAAATCCTCAGCAGGGGCCATTTAACGCAGCACTGGCGCAAGCCACTGGTGGTGCAGTGATGGTTTTGGATGAAGAAGTGAAACCATTTTCCCCGGGAGGGGGGCGCAGCTATGACCTGGCATGGCTGCGCGGGAATTAACCCGATATCCGGTTGCACGATTCCGGATGATAAATACCTCCCTGGTCGGGGGGTGCTTTAGCCACCCCCCCGACTATGTCATGGCGCTCAGCGCGAACCTGGAACCTCCAGGCCTGTGGTGTTTACTTTGGCGCCTCGCCAAAGATGATGTGATCCAGGATATTGCAGACGAGGGCTGCTACAGTTTTGGTTGGCGGCTGCTGCAGACGTGGCAGTCGCAACCCGCCATACGGCGGGAGTTTTGTGGAGCTGAGCGCTTGGCCCAGCTTGTGTGAGGCAGGTGAGCTCGGTTCTTGCTATTGGATGATGAGGCGCTTCCATGGCATGGCACGCTGCGTGCACTTGACGGCTGCTCTTCTTCAGGCCGTCTACCGCAGCTGCCTCTTTGCCTCGGTTGAGCACATCTTTCACTGGCTACCAGTGGTTCACTTCAATGCGTGATGGGCGAGGGCCCGTCACCGAATTGAGTGTAGATGGTGCTAGACCATCCGTTAATGTACCCACGCCTTGAAGAGAGGCAACTTCTGCTGTGGCGGAAGTATGGTTTGGCGAGCATGTGGTCACCACATCGTTCTCTACGATTGGCTGGCGACTCTTGAGGCAGCATTTTGCTGCCAAGGTTTTTGTCTTCCACCCACGCTGGAAGTTGTATTGTACAGGATTGCGAGCTTTGTCTCAAGCTACCCTCCAGGAGTGGGGGTGGCCCCCAGCGCCTATGGCGCCCGAAAGCTGCCTCCAGCCACTCACCTCGGTGGGCCCAGGCTGTGGCAGCGTTACAAATGCCCAACAACAACAACAACAGTGAAACCATTCTCGAGAATCTGGTGCCTCTTCGAGGCTTCTCGGTTGAAGGACTTGCAGCGTCCCTTTGAACTGATTTGCAGTGAGGGTTCCTTGTCCCAGCCTGAGAACGGTGGACGAAAGGCTGTGAGCGCCAAGATGCTCGAAACCACATGCCAGGCCTTGTGGAACGTGTCCACTGCCAAGGCTGAAAGCTCAATAGCCAAGGACAAGTACCAGATTTGGGGAGAAACGGCCAACGAATCCTTCAGGAGTACCATAAAGGGAGTGGGTGCCGAACTCTGGTTCAAGGAAAAGGGTGCCAATGTGTTGGCGATGATCTTCAGCGACTTTGATTTCTACATGAAGTCTCTACTCTCCACTACGGTGCTGAAGGTCCTGATGGCTAGGGGCGACTTTGCTTCGGCGGCCACGTGCTGCCTTCAAGGAGCAGATGTTAGTTCTGAGCAGCTGGCAGAGATTTGCAGCAGTTTTGCAGCAGAAACTGAGAGAAGAGCATGGTTGAACATCATGCTGCGGCAGGCATCCGATGCATCCATGGCCAAGTTGCTTTTGGATCACGGTGCCGATGTGGCGGCAGCAAGCAACGAGGGTTCCACAGCACTGATTTGTGCTGCTCAAGGTGGCCATGAGGCCGTTGCCAAGTTGCTGCTACAGCACGGTGCCGATGCGGCGGCAGCAAGCAACGATGGTTTCACAGCATTGATGTTGGCTGCTCTAGGTGGCCATGAGGCCGTGGCCCAGCTGCTGCTACAGCACGGTGCCGATGTGGCGGCAGCAATGGACGTTGGTGCCACAGCCCTGATGTCTGCTGCTCGAGGTGGCCATGTGGCCGTGGCCCAGCTGTTGCTACAGCACGGTGCCGATGTAGCGGCAGCAGGTAACGATGGTGGCACAGCATTGATGTTGGCTGCTCAAGGTGGCCATGAGGCCGTGGCCCAGCTGTTGCTACAGCACGGTGCCGATGTGGCGGCAGCAAGTAACAATGGTGTCACAGCATTGATGTCGGCTGCTCGAGGTGGCCATGAGGCCGTGGCCCAGCTGTTGCTACAGCACGGTGCCGATGTGGCGGCAGCAAGTAACAAGGGTGTCACAGCACTGATGTCGGCTGCTCGAGGTGGCCATGAGGCCGTGGCCCAGCTGTTGCTACAGCACGGTGCCGATGTGGCGGCAGCAAGTAACAATGGTTCCACAGCATTGATGTTGGCTGCTCAAGGTGGCCATGAGGCCGTGGCCCAGCTGTTGCTACAGCACGGTGCCGATGTGGCGGCAGCAAAGAACGATGGCGACACAGCATTGATGTTGGCTGCTCTAGGTGGCCACGAGGCCGTCGCCCAGCTGTTGCTACAGCACGGTGCCGATGTGGCGGCTGCAGGTAACAATGGTGTCACAGCACTGATGTTGGCTGCTCACGGTGGCAATGAGGCCGTGGCCCAGCTGTTGCTACAGCACGGTGCCGATGTGGCGGCAGCAAGTAACAATGGTGTCACAGCACTGATGTCGGCTGCTCGAGGTGGCCATGAGGCCGTGGCCCAGCTGTTGCTACAGCACGGTGCCGATGTGGCGGCAGCAAGTAACAATGGTTCCACAGCATTGATGTTGGCTGCTCAAGGTGGCCATGAGGCCGTGGCCCAGCTGTTGCTACAGCACGGTGCCGATGTGGCGGCAGCAAAGAACGATGGCGACACAGCATTGATGTTGGCTGCTCTAGGTGGCCATGAGGCCGTGGCCCAGCTGTTGCTACAGCACGGTGCCGATGTGGCGGCAGCAAGTAACAATGGTGTCACAGCATTGATGTTGGCTGCTCGAGGTGGCCATGAGGCCGTGGCCCAGCTGTTGCTACAGCACGGTGCCGATGTGGCGGCAGCAGGTAACAATGGTGTCACAGCACTGATGTTGGCTGCTCACGGTGGCAATGAGGCCGTGGCCCAGCTGTTGCTACAGCACGGTGCCGATGTGGCGGCAGCAAGTAACAATGGTGTCACAGCACTGATGTCGGCTGCTCGAGGTGGCCATGAGGCCGTGGCCCAGCTGTTGCTACAGCACGGTGCCGATGTGGCGGCAGCAAGAAACGATGGTTGGACAGCATTGATGTTGGCTGCTCAAGGTGGCCATGAGGCCATGGCCCAGCTGCTGCTACAGCACGGTGCCGATGTGGCGGCAGCAAACAACGATGGCTTCACAGCACTGATGATTGCTAGGGCAAACCGTCATGAGGCTGTGGCTAGGCTCCTGTGGTGATTCGAATTGGTTTCGGCGTTGGCTTTTTGGATAGCTGCTGCGGGCATCCAATTTATCCATATCGTAGAGAAAAGGATGCTGTGCAACGAGTGTGCTGCAAACTTGCGTGATGGAAGTTGGGAAGTCCTGATGAGTTCGTTTGTTTTAGGCAGGATCCAGGTTTGTGATGATTTGTGCATAGTGAGAGTCCGGTTGGTCAAAAGCTTTGCATGATCAAAGATCTCCAGATCGTTCACAAACTGAATCAATTTGTGGAAGCTTTGGTGAATCCGTAGCTTGCTTTGCCCAGGCTGCGCGAACCGTGGAAAACGAGGTACTTCATGCAATCGCAGGCAGTGAGCGTTTTTATGTTGTTGGCTGTTGTTATTTTTAATGATCCCTGATTTTTGTTCAGATTTCTGGGGGGGCGGGATACAAAGCATTTCAGATGATTGAGCAGAATTTCGAGAACTTGACTCAGAACTTTGCTTGTCAAAATCCAAGTTCCTTTTTGGCTAGCTCCGCCTCGCTGGGAAAAAGAATAGTGGCTTGCAGCAAGGTGCCCAGAGGTGGAATAGGCTGCGGTTGGTTTGTTGGTCCAAAAATGGGCTGAACACCTGCACATGTTTTGGCCATGCTTATCTGATCGCATTTTTTTCAATCATCAA